TTTTTATATTATCGACCTCTTGTGGTGCGTGGGCGGCCTTTTCTATTATATTTAACTAATATTTTTATTTCTCCCCCCCCCCCCCCCCCCCCCCCCACCATCGCCCAAGCGGCGCAGAAAGCCAGCTTCAGCACGAGACAATATATTTTACCTAGATTCTTGGGTTTCTAGCTCGCTAAGCTAACTTGGTATGTACGGTAAGTTAAAGTGTCCTGTACCTTAATGACCAGACATGCCTGCAGCGGACCACTGTCGCCCGTTCCGGACTGATGTAATGTCAATGAGGTATTTCGAGGTTCATCTTCGAGTCAGCCGCCATGTCCAGAAGAGCCGACTAGTTGTAGATCTTTAACCGCTGGGGCGAAGACTCGACCGTCATGCCACACGCAAAACTTTTTTTGCTTGATTATGTTTGGTAAAAGGCCGGATTGGTTTTACAATGAAGCTCCGTGCCAAATCACCAACAAGCTGTTGGGAGATTCCGTGATGATGGGTCTTAGTAACACAACACCGTTTCTTGACGATCATGTCGATTTAACATGATCCCATTCCGGATAGGTACTATCGTGATTGGCCGTTCCGTAGCAACCTGTGGAATGAGATTCTTGTGACCGCAATTATTTCTATCACCTTGCCACTTGTTGCCGCAAGCATCGACACGCTTGCGGGCGAAGTATATACTTCGTATACCTTATTATGTATGTAATGGTAAATATGTTCTGTTCTTATGGGCTGTGGGATATGGGTCGAAATTGAACCAAGCCTTGTGACGGTGGAGGCCACTGCGAGCATCGCATGAATTATGTTATGCGAGAACAATATCGGTTTAACAGGATCTGATTTCACACGTTTTAATACCCATATAATCACCTCATGGGCGTGTATCTAAACAGGAAAAAGACACGAAAAGACCCGCCAGCTGATGACTGATAAAGCCTTAGCCTCACGGTCATCAAACCCATTATCCGCCAATGCCTTAAGGAAGTTAAGCAAATAAGCGCTGCCCGGTGTCTTTTCTTTCATGTAATAAGTCTCCTGTTGCAAGGAATATCTTTCGGAATAGGCTCTCTCTTACGGCAGCCGACCTGGGACTAGAATTCGAGAATTCCCCATTCTCTACGCGCAAAGTTTCGTATCCCAAGGCTCCGCGCCAAAATAATTTATATTAGTGTACAATCGAACGACGGGCGTTGGGTCTATTCGGTCTATTCCCTGTACGACACTCGTTTCCAAATTGCGCATCATTCGTTGGTTCATTTCCAACAGACGAGACAGAGCACACGCTTTTCCCACGCATCCGTACGCTAGCATCTCCGACGACGACGCATATTAGGAGTCATACATCTCGCATTTCGTCAGCCTAACCTGGGACCTCGATCCTAGACACACGCACTTGATTGACCAATATGTAACGATATACATAGTAAGTATAGTATGCGATGTGCGTATGGGCACCCGGAGGCTAGCTGGGTTCGTGACGGTGATGGGAATTGGGTTGACCTGCCGCATTCGAATCACCCATCCACATCCACATTCACACATCATGCTCCATTCAATATAGATTGTACGCACGAGAACATCGTTCAGAACTCGGGACGCACACGCTCTCGAGTTAGATTGTTGGTTCTCATTGCTTCAAAACCCCGCCTCCGCCTGATGGCTTACTTTTATTAAAACTGCTTAAACCCTGAAAAGAACCGAGGCGATTCGCTAAACCGTCATTGCGTATGCGTATGGGTGTATTTGCCATCATTAAAACCAAACCATTAAACAATGGCGCAAATCCGCTTCCCTGGAATAGGCTTCGTCCCGTGGCTCGGAATACGATAGCTTGCGTCTTTTTTTTCTTCTTTCTTCCTCTCTCTGACCCCCTTTCTTACGTCTCATGAGCGGTCACAAAATAGCCTTTTCCCTTGGTGGTAGGAAGTTGATGCCTGCTTCTACAATACATACTATGTAATGGTAGTAGTAGTAGCGTAGTGGCGTTTCCAGGGCGGGCTCCTTCACGTCGCCAACGATCATCTTTCCCATTTGGTGTCCGCTCCCCGAGCCGCCCAGGCCGAACTGGTCGTATGTCTGATGAGCGGATCACAAAACAGTTCCTCCCCCCCTACCCCTCCCCCTCTCCTTACTTAGCTATGTTTAAAGCCCTTGAATCGTGTCCCAGTTTTTCCTAGCATCGCCAAAGCTTCGTCATCTCTGTTCAGCTCATAATGTACTACATACATTACATCCCGTGCTAGCCACCGCCTACGTAGGTACCATTGGACTTGGGTTTGGAATTTCCCGGTAGCATCTCACTGGCCGGATATTGCGGGATAGATTATGGGGAACAGCGCAAATGGTTTCGCCCTCTACTTTAGCGTCGTAGAAGTCTGGACAGTTCCGCGACTTGCAAAATAGGTGTTGCCTGCCTCTTAGGTGCTACCCAAATACGACGCGAGGCTTCCCGAAACCTCTACACTATCAGCTCGTTTCCCTGTGATAATTAAATCCCGTGCCATCGTGTCATCCAAATCCAGTCTACTGACAGCAAAACCCCATTGTTGCCCCTTTTTGGAGAAAATCAAATCCCCCCTTTACGTTAATCCTCTAGATTAGTAGCGTTAGACACCGAAATTCGTGCTTCCCTCCCTGCCAACGCAACGAATGACCACTTCGATCAGCGTGCGCCCATTTTGCCTTTTTTTATCGACCCTTAAACTAAAAATGCTTCGCCGCTAGGAGTTATATCCGGTGATACATCCATTTGATCCCTCTTCTTTTTTTTCTCGCCCGCTCCCTCATAGTCATAAGTGTCAATCACCGACAGTGTCGAGTCTTGCCTAGACAGTCAGAGATGCTTGTCGCTTCCCTGCATGCGTTCGAAGTCGCCTGCATAGTAGGATGGTATCCTGCCGAGCCGACGTGTACTTCGCCGCGTTTTTAGTCTAGGTAGCCGTCAAAGTCAGCATTTCGTCTCCTTTTTCTAACCCCCTTTTCTCTTCTACCACGACCCTAATGTAGGCACCATCGTTTTCACTTTTCTTCAATGACGTTTGCCGCCTCGTCGTCCTTGCAGATATGTGTCAGCTTCCTTGATCCCGGTCCCGCATCGCGAACTCCCACAATACTACCTAACTATTCCCTTTGAGATGGAGGCCGCAAATATCAGTTCACCATCTTACGTCCCTTCTAGTGTAATTGCCTAGTTAGTGTAAGGAAGCTTCTGATTCAAGCAATTCGAGGCAATTATTTTTTTTTCTTTTCCTTCTTTTTCCGCCTTCTTCCTTTCACCGACACCTCGCACTAACTTAAGATGCGCGGCACGAGTGATTCTCCACATTGCCGTCTGCTGTCCCCAACCATATCATCATGATACTTGATATGGTTGGTGGGTATATTTGTGTCGGAGGCAACGTGAAGGACCCGCGAAAGGAATATCCAGCGTTGGGGGCCAAAGACGGGTCACGACGATACCGTACCTCTTCTCGTCAGCTGCATATTCGATTTCATTGGTCCTCTTCCTGCGATATCTTGGTAACTTTCGCCACATTCCCTCGTACCACACACGACCGTCGTAGCCTCACATAACCGGCGTGGGTGACCAGCATGCCGAGACGCGAATCTATTTTCGAGAAGCCTGCCTACTTTTTCGAGATCCGATATTGTAGCCCGGCCAGCCAGGCATCTGGCCCACTGACAGCTCGAAATATACTAGTTATTTTTCCCGAGCCTGCCGCCCTCTAGGACTCTTACGTCCGATTCTAGGTCCGGAACTGCAGTTATTCGTGTCCTAATTAAAGGTATCCAGACGCAAGTGCTGGAACCCGAATAGAAAAAAAATGGGCTTCGACGTTGAGAAGAGGCGCAGATGTTGCGGCCTGCTGCGCTGGCCCGGGAATTATAGACCTAGGTATGCATGTGCGCTACGATGCAGATGTCGAAGATCGAATACCTATAGCGAGGATGTATTAACCCGTGTGACAGTTTGTCATTTAACCCAGTGTCTGGACAGGCATCATTGAGCGTTATGTATCTTGATGTCTATCAACGTCATCTATGCTTGATAGAAAATTACCAAAGCATTGCATTCTAACATGTGGTAGAGGCGTAACTATCCAGCTGGCCGGTTCAAGCACCGGTCTTACCCGCTGATCAGATCTTGAAATCAACTTCATCTACCTAAAAGAATAGAATGTGCTGCGAAGTCATTGCTTATATAATGTTCACTCTCTGAGATCATGAGTTGTTTAGGTAGGTAATAGTAATTCGAATCCGTCCAAGAGACACCTCGTGAACGGACCACCTTAAACACCAATCCATGTTTCTGTCGCAAGAATTTTGCTGGAAGACCGCTTTTGACATTATCCCTTCGTAAACTTAGGGTACCACAATAAAACTTATATTAACCTGGCTAAGCCAGTGAAGTTGCTAAGATGCCCCCTTCTAACAAGTGGCGGTCCAAGTCGAGTTGTGTGTAGTATACTACTTGTTATAAGAAAAACCCTTAAGTGAATGAATGAATGGAACTAATAAAGATTAATAGTACCAAGAACTGTGTGGGAAACGGCTCGGAAAGCATATCGCCGCGTTTCTCGCTTCCAACGCCCTGTTACTGGTCCCGTCATCTTCCTTTTGGACCTTCTTCCTCGACGCCTGCCAGAAGAAAACGTTCGACGTCCTGGCCACAATAAACCTTTCTCGCTAGTTAATCGTAGAGGCAATCGTGAGTTTTAGTTTTAGGCCCTTTCTAATAATATATGGATATCTAATTAGAGACAGAAAATTTGTTGGCCTTATGTGTTCAAATTGGCGGTCGCCTACATGCTGGCGATCAACGCTGTGCTCAGTGCAAGAAGGGGTCCGGCTTATGGAAGGAATGTGTGACTGCCCCTATAGTACCAAATCGAAACACTGATTTAACCAATGGTGCCTGTGCATGTTGCTATTATAACGGCGGTGGTTCGCTGTGTTCTTTCGTTGGTAAGTACAATGGATTGCAAATTTATTGTCTTGATCAAGGGACTTACCGTTATACGTCCGAATTATTAGCTACAGCGATACCACCAAAAACTACGGCCTCTTCGAGGGCTACACAACCCTTCTTACCTACTGATCTTGAAGGGACTTGGTGTACTCAAGGACAGGTGGATTATATGGATATATATAAAAATATGACCAACGTGGAACGGCAAAGGGCTCAAGCTGATTTGCAGGCGAGATTAGGAGCATTATAAGCTTTAGAGGAAGAAGAAAATCGGCAGCTAGAGCACTTATTTGGTGCCTTGATGGACGACATCATCCAGGACGAGGCGGGCGACTATGAGCAGGACGCTTTATTAAAGGAATTCTCGTTATGCTTTAAAGTCCGCAATGTTCTATCACATGAATGAAAGGGAAACAACACCTACCTAGCTATACCTATGAAGGACTCTTGGAGTTCCATGTCACAGTATAATCCAAACTCGTTTATAACTCCGTGTAGAGGAATATGTAGCTTAGATGATTCAATTTCGTCCTAGAATCATGAATATCAAGAAGAGGTTAGGTTATTAGAATACACCGGGAAAGTCATTGATTTGTTCGCTTGGGCTAGAGCAGGATCAAATTCGATGGTTGGTCTAGTGATTACGACCATGGCAATATCTTCTAACACTAGTTGCCTACCTACTAGGTAGGTAGCTTTATGAAATGATCGCAAGTTATTGAGAAATTATGTTGGAAATGGATTACTCTATATGAGTTGCTCTCAACTAAGTTGTCCCGCCAGTAAAGCATGTCTGAATCAAAGAGAAATCTCTCTAGGATGTGATTCCCGTTGATTCTTAATGCATAAAATAGCTATTGCTGGTATCAAATCTCAATATATGGTTACATTTTCATCGTTCCAATATCTGTCGACACTATGGATGTGTTTACCCATAAGGTGCCAACGACTTGAGCAACACTCAAGACCAGTTCCATAGGTATATTTTGGCTTAATCAGCTAGATCTATTCAGAGGATTGAGGGATGTAGTGAGCTGAGGGCTGGCATGAGGTCTGATATGGCATGTTGAGAGAAATCTCGGAGTCGTTTGTTTCTAGTATGTGACTCCTTACCACACGTGTATATCTTGAAGTACGTGAATGAATACCTATAAATGAATCACTTTCTAGAACGGACTTTTACTTACTTACCTACTCACATATTAGGTAAAGGTATAGATGTGAGGAGGATATGCTTGGCCACACCAGGGCAGTCCGTTAGTAGGCTTCAAACACGATTATTATCAAAGCTTTTGTACCAGGTCTTTTTGAAGTGGGCAGGTTTCCTAGGATAAAGACGATGTTGTTCTAGCTTTCTATCCACATTACCAACATAAACCATGAACAATAGACGTATATTTTAGGGGATGGAATAAAAGGGGTAAAAGCAGTTTGACACCAACTTGGATCTAGGCTCATTGATGAGGTTGTCCATAATTCGTATTTGGCGTAAAGCCATGATTGAGATTTGCTAAAGAGTAGGTAGATTTAGCAGACCGAACCCAAGTTCCGACCAACACTTACGAACACAAGAATTCTTTCATCGTACATAGCACATATACAAATAAGACGGAGATTAGAAGCGGCAGGCCGTCAATCAATGCGAGATTACTATATACCATCGATATCAAACCCATTATAGTATGCCAACCCGGCTGAACCATAAAGGAACAGCCCCTCTACATGCTGAATTATCGTGCTTATTGTCCGTATGACCTAGGCCGCAACAGTAAGGACCTTAGGCCCCTATCAAGCCCGTGTCTTAGGGTTCGCGACGCCCTGTTTCTATGGCAAAACACACCAAGCCGTACCAAAATTCCGGGACTATGTGAATCCCCCTATGACACAAAATGCTGCGCTCCCGTCAGCCTTAGCTACGCCCGTTTCTCCGAAACCCAAGTTCCACGCCACTTCTGAGAGCCCCCCCTGGTGGACAGAAAGCGATGAAGAAAAGTTTTAGACCAAATACAAATGTCGTTCCATCGTTATTATTCTGTGGTTCCAAGTGACGCCTTTGAAAAAAGGTCGCTTGAAGACATTGGGTATCCAACCGTAGTTGCTGCTGCTAAAGGCCGCCGAGAGCGTCGCCTCAATGCTAGCGTATCCCTCACTACGGGCTAGCCCATCCGCCGGCCACATCAACCCATTCCGCCAGACATGACCCTTCCTTGCCTTCAACATCCACGATATCGGTATCACAGCGGCAGCGGCAGCCGACACCGTTCTCTTTTTCGGGATCCCATTGGTCCCAGTACTCGTCCTCTTCGATTCGCTTCCTCTCCTCAAGAGTCGTTTTCTCGAGGAATGGTTCACGTGGAAGTTGGCGAGCCGGAGCATTTGCCGGACAATGCTGGATAGTAGTGTGTCGGTAGCCGAAATCCCGGAAGTAGTGGATATCTTTAGGACCTAATAGGATACCGGCAGCAAGAGAATGAATCGGGGCATCACCCCACTGGAATGTAGTTAGTAAAATAGCCTCCTTTCAAAATTTGAGTTTACTTACTCGTTCCATCCAGAAGCCACCACTGCGGTCCATCATCTCGAAGAAAGCTTTGTACTCTGGACTTCGAAACCAGCTGAGCTTCGCAATTTCGAAGTTAGACCAGAAATGACACATGTTGTAGCTCTCGCCCTCCATAGCTTCGGGATCAATTTCTGGCAGGTTCATCCGGCCGGGGTCAGTACGCAGAATTTCCTCAGGTAGAGGAGGCTTGTAGTTAGGATCGTTCTCAGGAGGTGCAGGCTTCTCTGGCTTGGGCTCGACAAACATTTCCCACAGTCCTTGAGAAGTGATGTTGTTTAGGCGCTTGTATGCAGAGGCGTATCGGAAGATGTTAGGGACGGTTTCTCGAAGCTCTTTAACGGCAATGGTGAAGCCATAAGTCTTGTTGTACTCGATCATCTTGAGGAACGGGTCACTAGAGACATGGGTTAGTAAATCAGAACAAGAATGAGGAATCAAGTGGTTAAACATACTAGGTGATGTCACAGAAGTACTTGATCTCGGGCTCCAATCGCCAGTACCATTCGTATTTAGCGAGAAGAGGGTGGTCATAGAAGAATCTAAATCGTGTTAGCAATATTCGGGATCCATAATATTTTGGGATGTATTTGCATACCCAGAGTAGAAGCGGCACATGGCATGGTAACTCTCCAGACCGCCGTACATGACGGCGGCATCTCCTTGCTTAGCAATGCCCTCCTTCGCGACCTTGGGGTCGATCCAGTCAGGGTATCCCCACATCTCGGCGCCAACCTTGCCAAACTCGACGGGAGCGGAAGTGTAATTGCGGATGGTATCCTTGAACGTTTGGTTGAAGTCTCCATCGTTCAAGAAGACATAGGGATAATGGTACCATCGGTTGAAGTGTCGTTCGATAGACTTGACGGATTGGATAACACCGTCCAGCTCCTTATTTCGGGCGAGGACGACGAATGCGCCATTCACTCGCTTTGTTGTGGTGTCAGGCTCGAGACAGCCGGTAACGAATACTTTGTCGTGCTCTTCGCTAATTTTTCTGTTCACGCACGACAGTTAGGGTCCGAACTGCGAATCTATAGGTAGGTAGAGAGTAAGGGATCCATACCGAATAGCTGGAGGAGCACCAGCTGGCATCAATATTCTGCCGGGAGAACTCGGATGTCTGACAAATAAGACCAGGATAAGGACCACAACAATGCATGGAAATAAAACAACAACGCCAAGAGGGACAGATATACTAGAGTTTCCCTTTAATCGAAGGGGTCTCCTGAAGAAAGCGAGCCGCGATGTGAATCTGTTCGGTGGAGGTCTCTTCTCGCCCGTTGTGGGAAGCTGAGCAGGGCCCATGACTGTAGGCACACGCCTGTAAGCGCGCCTAAGCAAATCCATAATGGCGGCTTAGCGACGCTCTCCAAGCGCCAGCTGGCGAAGTGGGAAGCAATAAGCAATTGGAATAGAACAACGATGAGTTCTATGCTAATGGAATTAATAAGCAGATGTGTATGCCGTCTTCGTCGCAATCGTGATTATTCTATTCAACCATGAAAAAAAGCCTTGGGTATTTCCGTTTCCCGTAATCTATCGGTGTAGATCGCCTTAGTGAATTGCGCAAGGTAGCGAACGACACAAGGGATTAGACTCCCTCGAAAGATTCGATAACGGTAACGGTGATGGAAGTGAAAAAGGCCACGCGATCTAGAAGAGCAGAAGTGTGGGTTGTGGACGGTTAGATAGGTGGTCAATACGCATACGCGTCAGACTTGTTTCTGGTGGCGTCGCTCAAACCCGTCAAACGAGTCCAACTTAATCGGATCAATCTAACAGATCGAAATCGAAAACGACTGCATTGGGGCCGCCGATAAAGTTGAATGGCAACAATCCACGGACGACGTGCGGATGTTGCCAAGGAGTGATGAATAAAAAAAGGGGGTTTAGCAGAAAGATGAATTGGGAAGCAGATAATGGATACGAGATCAAAAAAATTGAGATGAGATGAAGGGGTACAGTAAGAAAAAAATAACTTAGGACGGTTACTTTCTAGGTTGCAAGGTTGGCTGGTTCATTGGTTCCAGGTTAGTTTGGTGACCTTAACAATTAACTTTTTGACATGCGATGGCGAAATTGTGCTTGGACTCATGCTTGGACCAGGGGTTCAAGGCCAATCAGGTTTCGAATAAGAAAAGGAGACGGCGCTGAGACCACTAAGATTCACTAAATCTCACTAAAAACACGAGCTAGTAAAGCATGTACCCATGTACTGAGGCTGACGAGTACCTGTGTGCATAAACGGCAATGATCTCCCATAGTTTTACCGAGCATTTGGGGCTTCGCTGATGTGGCTTGATTATGTAATTGTAAGCGCTTTCATTGGAAGATTGATAAAAATAGATTTTACCTAATTTCCTTTCCAATCTTTTCAATGGTCTAGAACACTTACATCATTGGCCAAAGGCTGCCAGCGATGGCTTCACTTTATACACTTTGCGGTATTGGATGACTCATTTTTATGGCATCTATTGCTTTTAGTTTAGAAAATGCGAACAGAGAGCTCATCATTGCTTTTCAAACTCGTGTTTGAAGTTCTTGTTTCTCGGCCCAGACGAACCAAGGACGATTGATCTAGCATTGATCAGGCTAGTCAGGTGAGAATTGCCTTGTTTGACTTGGCTATTACAAACTGATGCCATTATTGCTGGTCAAGACCTTCCTGGGTGGCTAAATATGAATATCTACCGAGGGCACTCGAAGACAGAGTCACGACGCAAACACATATAATCATGTTGCTAAGGTTACTGCAAACAACTATATTCGACTCATAGCTTGAGGCTTATTCTTTAATTCAACCACGATCGGTCTTTGTCACTGGTCATGAAGAGCATGCCTGACACCATTGCACTTCGGCGACAATATCTGCCTCGTGGGACTTATTCTTGACTAGAAGAGCCAGGTTTTGGATACTCTTATCTTGGCTCGAAGCACATCATATTGTATGGTTCGAGGAATATGAGGTATTATCAGGAATAGCGTCGCTTTGCGATAGTCAACTTCTAAAGACGCTTGCCTCGAGCAAACCTCGAAAACTACGATATCAGAGTATGCTTCCCAGCAGAGGATGCCGTGAGATCCGAAAGATTTGTTAGCTAGCCGCTTCCCCATATTAACTGCCACTCCTTTCTTGGCTTATTCTCGACGGATATCTGACGGAGTGTGAGAGTTGGGTTGAGGTGGGTGGGCGGCGAGAGTTCATATATGAAGCATCTCGCCGTCAAGGATATATCATCGAGACTTACGACGCTGTCTCGGTTATCCCATATTACACAGTCCCTAAGAATACCCCCTATTTGCCAATGACGTCTGACCTTCTTTATTTACTCGTCTCGGCCGTCTGTTTCACTGATAAACATGTTTCTACGATCTGCCGGCACGAGAAGAATGCCTGCGGGGGCCGCGAGGCGAGACTCAATCTTGGAGTCGCATTTTGTCTTTCCGCCTAATTACATCAATAAACCATTTGCCTCCGCAGACCGAAAACAACAATACCTGATCCTGTCACCCTCATAATTAAGCTGGCCTATAGCTCAAGCAGATATGGTATCATCGCTACTATATAAGGAAATCTTGATCGCCATTGCCTAAACTAGGTCGACCTGTCACCGGCTTGCCCAATCAATCATGATATCGCCTTGGGCAAGCATCTCGAGATGGGCATGCCCTGTTAATTACTTAAAGCATCCCGGTTCGTGGACACTCCGCATTCGAGATGGCCTCCCACCGAGCATGCTTGCATCATCAGGGGTGGTTGAGGGAGGTGAGCTGCAGATCTGCTGGTATATAACAAGATACCCCCTCTGATCTATCCTATCGTAGCTCTTTCAAAGGATTTGGCTCCCTGTCAAGTGACTAAGGTTAATTACTCGGTTCGATAATTGTCGTAAGTCAGATATCAACATGCGTTTTTGGACGACTGTTTCGGCGGTAGCTGCCCTGGCGGGCCAAGGTGAGAGCAGTTCTGTTTCTCGTAGGGTCGAAATCCGCGTTAATGACGTTGTCCCCAGCTCTGTCGCAGGATCCTCCGACGTTCCCATTCCCAACCAGCTGCTCTGGTGTGGCTGCACCGCAATACCCCTATACCGTTGACTCCGGTTGGCAGGTCACCAAGATCGCCAGTGGTCTCCGTCAGCCGCGTACCATCATCTTTGACAACCTTGGCCACATGCTGGTGTTGCAAGCCACTTCCGGTGTTTCCGTCCACACTTTCGGCGAGGACGGCTGTATCAACAGCACGAAGACCCTCATACAAAGCGCCGGCCTCAACCACGGTCTCAGCCTCACTCCCGACGGCAAGACCCTATATGCTAGCTCTCAGACGACGGTTTGGTCGTGGACCTACGATGCGGCTGCCTTGACGGCCACGGGCCAGAAGACCGTAGTCAGCGGTATTGGCCAGGGCATCCACTCTACGCGAACCACAGTCGTTTCGCCCAAGAACCCGAACCTGATCCTCGTCTCCGTCGGTGCCGCCTCGAACTGGGATAACCCAACTATTGACCCGAGCGTCGGTCGTGCGATCGTTAAGATCTTCGATGTAAGCCAGGCGCCCGCCAACGGCTACTCGTTCAACAGCCAGGGTACTGTTTTGGGATACGGTCTACGTAACGAAGTTGCGCTCGCGTTTGACCCGAACGGTCACGTATGGGGTGCGGAGAACAGCGGAGACGACTTCAGGAGAACAGTCAATGGCCAAGCGACGGACATCCATATCGACAACCCTGCTGAGGAGCTGAACTACCGTGAGTTGCCCATTAGATCTTGATCAGCTCCCCCCTTTTTTTCCGTCAGAGAACATTCCTATCCGAGAACTAACACAAACCTAGTCGGCGACCCCGAGAACCCGCTGGAGAACACGTGGTTCGGGTACCCGACCTGCTTCACGGTCTGGGAGCCGTCCAACTTCCAGGACAACACGGCGCTCAAGACAGGCTCGCAGTTCGTGGTGACGCCGAACACGACGTTCAACGACGCCTCGTGCGAGGGCGTGTCGAACCCGCCGCGCCTCTCCTTCCCCGCGCACATGGCGCCCATCACCAACGTGTTCGACCCGGCCGGCGAGAACCTGTACATCACCTTCCACGGCAGCTGGGACCGGCAGCCGGCGCAGGGCTACTTCGTCGCCGAGGTCCCCTTCCAGAAGGGCGCCGACGGCAACTACGAGCCCGTCGCCCCCCAGGACAGCAAGACCGGCTACAAGAACATCATCGGCTCCCAGAACCCGGGCTCCTGCAACTCCCCCTCCCTGACCATGAGCACGTGCTGGCGCCTCGCCGGCCTCGCCTGGGACCAGGCTGGGAAGCGCCTCTTCGTCAGCTCCGACAACCAATCCTCCGGCGAGGTCTTCGTGCTGCAGAAGAAGGCTTAGATGAGGTCATAGGTTGGGTAGGTACCTAAGCATATACGAGGTGGATGGGGGGTCTATTTTGGAAGAGATAAGGTGTGTGTTGGAAGTTGGATGGTCCTCATTAGACTTTCTGTTTTCCCTCGTTTGTACGTAAAAGTTCAAGAAGGTCGTCATACGGCGAATAAAGAGCTTAGCAAAATCGGATTTGCTTATTTGTTATATCATAGCCGTAGTGGTTTCTAGAACAGTACATAATGATTTCGTCTCTGACCAATGTGTCGGTTTCCTATCCCGTATTTCTAAAAAAAAAAATTCAACGCGACACAATAACCCTCCTAAAGTTGAACATGTCCTATTTCGCCATAAAGAGCATAATAGAAGCGCGACCATCTTATAAACTTCTCTTGAGCTTCATTGAAATCTAGTGCCTCGAGCCATAGTATCAAGCGCAAAACATTCTCGGCATACGGTATCTGTTCAATATTGACTTGTGAAATTTCATTTCCGTTGACTTCGTTGTCTGTTGTCAGGCTTTCATCGTATACATTATCTGAGAATTCCAGGTCGTCTGTTAAATCAAAATCCTCAGTTATCAATTCTTACCGGCCACGTTGTTAAACCTCGTAATTATCTAACGAGCGAACGTGGCCACCCCCCTCATATGGACCATCCGCTATTGGAGGTAAGGCGAATAATGCGCACCGCTCGAGATGAAAGGCGACATGTTTCTCCAATTCGATGATCTCCATAAATGCTGCTGGACAAAAAGGGCAATGACGCTGCTGTTTCAGAGATGGCCCTACAACACTGGCGATAAGCTCGGGAGAAAAGTGGTCGGGTGTGGCCTCGGGATGAGATATTTTTAGGTGCTCCACGTATTCGGGTTGTGTTATAAACTCCTCACCGTGTGTTTGACAATGCCACACTCGAGAGTGCTGACTTTCGTGATTGATCCAGTCTTGCCTTGTCCCATAAAGTTGATGGGGCCCCGGGCAATCTTCGTACGTGCAGTGATATGGTTGTAAGTCGCGAATGAGATGTACACTAATACGGCCAGTGATTAAATGCATGCTTCTATTGTATGTGTAAGTTTACTCACCGCCAAGCGTCTTTATTTAGGTATCGTCGAGGGCATAATATTTTACAGTAGGGGCAGATGAAATATTGTCCATTTGTAATATTTGTTGGTGGCGCTGGCCATTCAAACTTTTCGCCCTTCCAATTAATTGCCGTTGACACGCGACTTTGGTGTGAAACTTCAGATCGGGCTTCCCCAGGTTTCATGAAGTCAGCAGGGAGAGGGGTTGCTGAAGTTGTTACCGACTGTTCTGGTATATCATGGACAGACTGATACGCGTGCGTTCCTTTGCCCGGCTGTTCAGCTATTGATCCAGTTGATGGGTATGGAACAGGCGCTTTGCTTAGCTTGAGGGCGTGGTCTTTCCAGTATATGAACTGTTGCCTGCGGCGTGCGTTCGAGATGCCAGTCCTACGAATAAGCCAATGGTCTGCTGTGACATATTGACCGACAAGTTCCTCGGGCATGGGTATAGGGTCTGCGTCCTCACGAGGGCTCATTTCAATGATTTGCTGGCGCTGAGCATATGCTATGATAGCAATCTCAGCTTCTTCACGCTCTTTGATGTACGACGCACGATCTTCGGCTGATATATCATTATACAACTGGTCGTTTGGGCGCTGCTGGCGATTTCGTGGGTTACGAATCTTCATTGCCAAGCTATATAATGCATCTATCCTTTCTGTTATGCTCTGGAGGCGGAAGTCCACTTCACGAAACGAGATATTGCTTCTAGAATGGCTCTGTGTGCTAGCACAGGATTCGGTCTCGCTCTCCGTGGAGTCTTCACTATCAGAGTCCTCAATGTACTCGAAATCCTGCTCGAATGGGTGTCGCTCGCCATTGGCGATAGCTAGTAAATTACCAAGATGCTCTCGTAAACTTGATAGAATTTGTGTCAAACGGTCCTTTGCGATGATAGCATCTCGCACCCGGTAGTCTAGCGACGCATGTCCATATTGGTTCAGGCCTAGACTGTGAGCCCATAGCCTGAACCTCTGCTCTTCGTTGGCTAGGTGGCGATGTCCGGGGATTCCGTCGGGGTGTTTAGTATCCAATATTTTTTTGAACGCATCGAATATCTCGGCACCGATGTAAGAGAGCTTGACTGGGTCCATTTGAGGCCGAGTGGGATTCTAAATGAGTTCGTCAGCTGGTTATGATGGGTCGACAATCTCCCTCAAACAGTACAAAACGTGATATAACAATGAAGTCGTCCGGACTAGTAGATGGTAGTAGCTTAGAGTTGAAACGCAAATCTATGTCAATTGGCCTAGGTAGCCACCAGGTGCCTCTCATATTACTCCGCCTATCAAACTTCTGCCCGCTCACCTGAATATACCTCTCTACTTAGGTAACTATCAAATTTACATCAGTCTTATCTGCTCGGTTGACTGCGAGGAGGCTGTTTCCGAACTGTTATCTAGTTGAGCGTGAACTGTGCATACCAGCGCTCATTACACTTGGAAAACATAGCTATGGATAGCTAAGATAGGGGTATCCGACACCGATTCGGAGGAGGCGAGAAGAAAGGCGGCGGTCCGATGGGAGGAGGAAACAGAGAAGTATCTACCGCTTCACCATCTCACGGTCATCGATTATTGCCTCGGAATATGTGGCGGTAGGAAGCGCTTCTGGCATGATGATGAATTCCTCAAACAATATTGCGAGAATGTCATCATACCGTTACATGAAAGCTGCAAAGCGTTTCTGGACTCTCCTTGGTACCAGACAGAGATCACCTATGCGTATAACCCTTAAATATGTAACAAGACAGATAGAACATTATAGACGAGGCAATAGGAGAACATGTCTTGTTCGGGTTCTAACGTTGTATAATGAATGTTAGATGGAGAAGTTATAAGTGGAACATTCAATAGTGGGGACATACAGGTCCCATACATACCCGCACTAAGCCGCCATCCGGGATCCACTGAAGAATCACAAATAGTTCCTTCCTGTACTCTATCTAGGTACGCAGTAGGTTAGGTACCTACTTTCCAAACGACTAACATTGAAGGCTCCAAATCTCAACCTCGACACTACGCAATTGAACAAATCCACGGAATAGCCTTAATAAAAGAGTTAATATAAATGTCTTCCCAACCGAAAATAACCTCCAAAAACCTCTCCTACTCAACCGACCTCCCGCCCTTCCTAGCCAAGCTCCGCGGCCAGCAGGACCAGCAACGCAACTCCGACACCCCGGACCCGATCCTCGCGGCGCGACGACGCGCAGCGCGCCCGCGGTCCGCGAGCGAGGAGGCCGAGGACGCGCCCCTCGTCGTCGACGAAGCCGGCAACGCGATCGCTTTCCCGTCCGCGGATGCGCCTGCCGAGGCCTCGGACGGAGGAGCTGTAGACGGCGCCGGTGCGGGCGATCAAGAAAAAAACGAGAAGGATGGGCAGAAGGAGAGGGAGAAGGTAGCAGCCATCGGCGCGCCCAAGAAGCGCAAGGTCGGACGCGTGGTCGGCGGAGACGAGGAAGACGAGCCCGCACTCCGTAAAGAGAACTCATCATCGGAAAAGAACAAGAGCAGGAAGGAACCTGAACATACCGCCGACCACGATTCAAAGGACGCGAAGTCCGGCTCGAAGCAAAAGAAGAAGGCGAAGAAGATTAAGCTTAGCTTCGGCGACGACGGGGATTGAACGAGCGAGAGAACGCTGAGAGTGAAATCGTGATCTTGGAAGAGGGTTCATAGGTCACGGTACGAAGAACGTGTATACTCGCTAGTGCTACGAGGCGATGTGAGGCGATATCCATATGGACAACATCACCTAGGACCTAGCATAGGTGACTTAGGTGTGCTTGCTCGGAAAAGCGCCACCATACAGCCCGTTTCTCACCTAGATGGCACGCAGCAACGCGCTACAACTCGCAATTGGACTCGAGGCTGTCCATACCTACCTAGCTATCTACACGCAGGTGGCTGAGAAAAGCGCGGCTTTTGACATGATGGGACAATCCCGCATTCCTCACAAAGGTAGACATGACATGAAATCCTGTCTAAGACAGAAAAACACTTAAACATAGTGTGTTCCACGTCATCAACAATCTCGATATAGAGATCGCGGGGCTTTGGTGGCTGGTCTCATAGTCGAGTTGGAAATGGGTTCTACAAGCGTCGCTAGACGGATATTCCCATTCGGTAGCTAGCAACGTGAAAACGAAATAATCAAACATGATTATGGCCTTCAACAAGCACAATTAAAAACTATCTTCATATAGATCCCTATTGTAATCTATTCATATATTCGTGTAAACTGTGTAGTATATACAACGTAGATATTAGTTAACTTCCATCACCGCTGCTCTTAAACCTATTGACTTTCTTCCTTCGGTCGTGTAACCTCCCAAAAAGCAATCGCTGTCGGTGCCCATACCCTGATATTGAATACCTGAATAGGTTAATATATTTGTCCAATAAAACCCACATGAGTTCTCCTATGAAGCCGAGACGCCTAACAAATGCAACCTGCTCGCCATCTTTTCAGACCATTTCGTAATAGACGATCTCTCCCTTCTCGCTCTCTTCCTTCTCACTCTCCGAGGATTCCTCGATTCCAGGCAACTAGTAGCGGGACATTCGGTTTCCTGAAGGAGAGGAAGAGTGGTCGTAAGGGCTGGCATGGCCGTAGGAGTCGTCCATATAAACAGTTGTGCGGCGGTCCTCTTCGGGTAGAAGCTCTTTCACTTCCCAGTTGTTCATCCGTGTGCCGACAGAAAACTCGAGGTCTTCCTTTGTGATCGAATCCCAATACTATGGTTCCGTGGTTAGAATAATCCGACAGTTTGCGATATATAAGAGTGAAACCTACCTTATAAACCATCATAGCAGCGAGCAGGTTGCAAGTTGTCGTGAAGAACAAGCCATCCACATAGTGGCTCGTGGCATTGCAAATCGTGGAGCTGAACGCATACAAAATGACCTGGCCCACGATAAAGAAGAAGAGGCCGAAAGCAATATCCCCCAACGGCCAACGGTCCTCCAAGGTCCGAACGACAAGCAGAATCTGCAAGGCCACATATATAAGAAGTTGTACGCCGTTGAGAAGGTATAGCACCGTAAATAGTCCTACGGTGTTCGCCGGGCCCATCCCAGCCCATGATTTAAACGTAGCTAGCGATACCAGGAACGAGATAACAAAGGCAGCGAAAGAGCTGACCCGGAGCATCCATACGGACAGGGGAGTGCCATCTTCGTAAAGTTGAAAGCCGACAAATCCATTGATTAACAAGCAAGTAACCAACGCAGACGTGAGGCCGGACTGTATCGAGACGAAGTAAGGATACGGATCCGAGCCGGGAGGGACAACACCAGCGTCGACTAAGAGTGAGAAGAACGATAGCAACATGTAGAAATAGAAGAACGCTAAGATCTCCTTGCGACCAACGGCGGTGAATTTCCCTCGGATATGTAATATCATCACCACGGTCATGCCCAGAGCGATGATGTGCATGAAGCTGGACGCGCCTTGGAATATGATCGTGTTCGCCAACTCGATATTTCGCGCGAAGCAGTCGGTCTCGATTCCGACGCCGCTAGAGACGGAAGTGATGGGACCGACGGAAGGGCACAACGGCAGAGGCGCCGTGTGGCAGATGTCCGTGAAATCGCCGAAGCCGCCCATCTTGTCAACGACGACGGGCGACTATGGGATTTTGGGCTGTCGGGTCGTCGTAATGACTACGAAGTAGACGGACGGGTGCCTCGACGGGAGCGGGGATACGATAGATTATAGCGAATGAAGTCGATGAGATATACGGTAACGGTAGTTATTCTACGGAGGGATACGTCGTCGAAGACTGGTCAGAGCTGACCGAGCCCAGGTGGATGATCAAGAGATTCGAGATGATCGATCCTAAAAGAGGAAAACGAAAGTAATGCGAGTTAAAGCCAAGGGCGGAAATAGTACTCATTAATTAACGGAAGTATGTAATTGTGTATCTGGAACGAATGACAGTTAAAGTGTGAATGTAGCGTGCTATTGCCCTATGTCATGGCCAGGGTTTGGCTTCGTTGCTCGGCCAAACGAGTGGGCTGAAGATGGGCTGGATGGGATTGAAAGTTGGAAGTTGGCTGGAGATGGATAATCGGTGCTTCTGTTGCCATGGAAAAACGAAAAGGGTGAGACAAGACGGACAGGACGGGGCTGACCAGGGTCCCGCCAAGCAACCCGCTAAGTGAGATTTAGCCAGAATTACGGGAGAACGAATGGCTGTGGTGGACCGTGCTCGTGTTCTTCGGTGGTTGGGATTGGCTAGATTTCATTAGATCGGTTACGACTTACCATTCTTAATTGAAGAAAATATATAGCCTAGCCATGTTAGGAATGGTCTCTGCTAAGTACGATTTCTATGTACCTGCGTACATATATCTACTGCGTAGTACGGTCGAACCTTGAATAAACCTAATGTTTAGATGTATCTAAATTCTAAATCTTCCAATGTATGAGGCCATTCGTACGCTATTCTTCCATCTTTTCTAAGGAAAGCTTAATGCAGGTACCTTGGAGACGACAGGGTATCGATTACTCCCAAGTTTCTACGAGGTATCCTAGGGAAAACAAACTTCGAAGTTAAGAAAATGAGACCAGCCATGTTGTGGCGTCCATTTAACTCTCCCTTAGTAGGTGCCACATCGTCGGTAATGAATAAGCGCCCATCAACTCCCTACCTTAACAGTGCTCTATAAAAAGGCATAGTTAGAGGCGCTCATGTTGGCTCTCTCACTCGGCGATCCGAGTCTTTCGTCGACTTCGCCAGGAATATTCCTTTCCTCTCCGTAGAGAATTTCGGAATATTCGACTGGTTGGGACTTGGAGGCCGAGACAAGTTGTCTCAGATAGCCACAGCCACCCATTAACATCTCTACCCATATCCGTGGATATGACGACAGATTCGGAGAAATATACTTGACCTTGCACAGATCTACCTGACATTTTGAAACGAAACATCACCGCTCAATGGAAACATTGCCCGAGTAGGTAGTTGGCACGAGCGTACTACGGTGAAGTCGCTGCTATGTCGAAAAATCATCTTGGATACCGGGGGTCATGAAACCCAAGATTTCGTTTGCCTTTTCATCCAAGAGCCGAAGCATCGGCCTACCTGGCCTATCAATCATAATTCCAGACTGGACGAGTCAGATCATAAGTGAAAATACAAGAACGAAGATGAGAACATACGCGCCAGAGGGATCTTTGATACTGCGATTATTCCACCCATACGAATCCTGTAGATGTTCGAGTCGTTTGTTTAAGAAGCGCTACCGGTCTTCTTATTTTCCTATCTAATCAAATACCTTAGGACTCGCCGGACTACACTTAAAACCCAATCTCTGGCCACGAATCCTCATTGCTATCATTGCGGCGCGCTTCTGGGGATTCTTACTGCCGCCTTTGCACACCTCGATAACCATGACGCCACATCCGACCGATACTCCGGCTCTGCATTAATAATAGCGGGCCTGATTGGGTGTGCGTTTCGCGGGGTTATGCAGTCTCACTCCAACTACCGCATCCTTCATATTGATATCGCCGGTAGATTTACAAGCCTCGAGGGTGTGTTTCTTCGTCGACGTAATATGAGCGAGGCCTCGGATAAGCTGAAGTTACTCCTAAGTTCCTTGAAAAGCCTTGGGATGGCGCGAAGCAGCATGATGGAACCAGTAGACTTGCCCATAAATTTAAATGGAAACGTTTTCGATGTTCTCCTTCATGAATACCTACTTGATCCCGGCTCTCATGGTTCTAGCCCGACCGCCGACCTTTGTTCTTGCCCATGCAGGTATTCCATCATTGGGCGGTCATATCTCAGAAACAACCAATTGTCTTTTGGATGAAGTCGAGCAATGTCGATCTATTCGATAGAAAGTTTTAACCTCCAACCAGCTGATATCATGGTGAGGGGTCAATCCCCAGATCACATGGCGAACACTCGTCAAGTGCTCTTATATACAAAGGTCCGTCGAGTTGCAGATTGGTCTGATACCTAGGTCATTCAATCTTCAGGACTATTAGGTTCAAAGGCAAAATCGTACTCGAATACTACATCATCATAACACACCCAAACAATTTACGAAGACAAATCCCAAGATGTCGAAAGCCTTTCTTCTAGCTAAGGAGAAGTACCAGGCTGTTATCGACGACGCGGGGAGGGGCGACTTCGTGTGTGAGCATTGACAGGATGTCCCAAGTGGAAGTTAACACATCCACATACTGACCATGTTGGCAAAGGCCGAACCAACCGTATCGGCACCACTCGGCACCCTTCGAACGGAGACTGCCATGCCATCAATAGGGTCGATCATCCTCAGCAGCGTCGCCGGAGTAGCACGACGATGAGGGAGAAGATCAGGGATATGATGAACAGGCCGGCTTATTAAGCCGTATAAAACACATTGCCGCAAGGATAATCGGTTGCTGTTCAGTTGAAGGTATCATGACTTATGTGTACCAAATTGCCACAAATGAGAACAAATTCAATGTTTTGACAACTAACTCGAGCTTCCTCTCCCCTCATTGAGGTTCCCCTTTGACCTTAGTAATATCCTAGATGTCTCTCAAGTCTTCGTTCATCATCATGTGGGGGATCGTGTACTTCACTGAAGACTTTGATAGACGTCTCTAAGTCCATTTCATTGCCATCATAACACAATCTACCATGTAAACCGGAAGCGCGGAGATGCCCACACCCTGCCAGCCCATCTTATCAAATTTCGGGTTGGAATCTATTTCCCCGCATGCAAAAACCACTTCGGACGATTAGGCGGTCGAGTTTTGTTGCATCTCCAAAGAGGAACAGGGTAGGGCTCCTTCGAACCATGTACGCCACCTACATACCTAAGTCCGCCCAGCTCGATCGTAGATCATCAATACTAACTCGGACGACAGTACCAAATTAGGCAGTCGATGTAAATCGACGTTTGCGCTCTCACGGCTATCTTCCGCCGCCACATTTCGACCCTTCAACATCCCAGGCTATCTTGATAGGTTCGTGATTCCCGGAGAACTTCTGCCCCGCGAACCAGAGCTCGAACCTCAGCTCCGCCGGGGCGACGATGGCTCTGACCTCGAAGGTGCAGAGGTAGAATTTCTTGCCCTGGAAAAATAACCTCTTCGACTTACGCTTCATGACCATGTCGCTGTGGCCTACGCCCGTGAGGTCGCTTTTCACTACGCAAAGTTGCTTTGCCCCTTCTGCCGAGCTGGATAAGCATATGATCATCTCTGCCTTGTTGGCCTAGAGAAAGGGCTGAGGTTAACTTACTTTGACTCATACTATGTGGCAGCAAGTGAGGATCGAGATCCGATATCATGACAACAGATTCCCATGTGCGATTTGGGTCCTTTGGGTCTACCTTCTTTGTATATGTCGTGCAAATAGGAGTGTTCGAACTTACGGGATCACCCTAAGTACTATGATTGAGCGCGTATCAACAATACGAGGGCTTAATACGCACCTTTCTAATAAGCCAGTCGATCTGGCTCATGGCATATTGCTCCCCATCGTACGCATCGGTTTTGATCTCCTCGTCTAAGTGTATCGCCGGGTTATACTTAGTCTTGCAGACGATACCGTAGCTCGCTCGAGCTACCCTGCTCACTATAACGGGAGCAAGCCCCGAGTCTAGCTTCTGCAGCCGGTCTAACAACAGTCCCTTCACGACGACTAGTTGTGGATCAGGGGCCTGTAGTACCTTGACTTGGTGCGCGTACGGGTGTAGGCTTGTCATCATCTCATGCTGAATGCGATCGCGGACGTATTTTGAGCTCCCAAGTCCGCCGGATAGGATCATATAACTCTAATTTTGTTTGAAGATGTCAGCAACTAGATGCTTGGCCATGTTAGCTACTAGCTGTTAGCATATCAACTTACTATTAGCCTGTTCACCCCGTTAGCCTGCATCCAATTGAGCTGTTCGTGGATCTTCCTCATGATGTTTTCGACGTGCGGGTCGAAGAGGGACTGCATCTCTTCCCTAATTCGCAGCTCGTCAGATTCGATCCTCGTCTTAGACTGTGTTAAGAAGCGAGATACCATGAAATCACTATCCTCCCGTGCTCGATCCGCGCTTGGCTGTGGCTAAGGGTAAAAGGGACGCCGTCTAAAGGCAGCTTATAGCACGTCGACTGGTAAACTCGTTCTCCGAATTTGTGCTTCGTCGTCCGATATCTCTCACTCTTAACGAGTCTCTCAGCGCAATCGGGCGGAAGATGGGGTGTCAAATCTGGGAATTTGCTAAGCCGATCATTTATCATCGATACGAAAGCTTGGTCGATCAATGTCGAACCTATTCCAATGCCGTCGACCTGATTCATCTGAGATAGTGCCGGAAAAGGCTCTCGCGCTTCCACGACCTGCATCAGAGCGAGGTCCGTCGTCCCGCCTCCCGCGTCGACGGATAGGAATATGTCGCCTGTTTGGAAAGCTATAGTAGAGTTCTTGATTGTCCCAACGGCCGCCGCCTCCGACTCCGTTAACTCGACGGTAGCGGTGTGGTATCGGCCCTCCCGCCCAAATCCCGCCTTCGCGATACATTCTTTAAACGCGTTAATAATCTCCTGGCTTCTCCAAGTCGTCGGGACGCTGAAGATGAACTCGACCACCAACTCCTGCCAACCGACGTGGCTGATACCCGTGTGCAGCTCCACCGTCGATTTCACATGCGCGTAGACCTCGCGCATATAGTCCGAGATTAGTTTCTGCGCCTCGCGGACGGAGGCGGGTACCTGGCGGACGGCTTGCCGATGCGCATCCTCTAACGTGTCTCCGTCGAGGAATATTTTGAAGAACTCCTGCTTCTTCCTCTCTAGCGGGTCCTCGTCCTCGCAGAGGTAACCCCACGACGATAAGCTGCCATCGTCACTGTATATGAGACAAGTCTGAACCTTCTGCTCGTTCTTGGTGGAACTACCCGGCCAGTTGTGTATGATCTGTATGGGACTTTGCAAGGCCTGATTCCGTTGCGGCCTGGCCCAAGCGACACCTTGTTATGCGTGATGAGCATCAATCTCTTGTCTGAATGACGAACGGCGTATTTTTAGGTATACATATCAGTACTAACCTGTATAAGTCGTTCCTAGATCGATAGCTACCAGTATGTCGGGTCGTTCGCTCGCCATGATGGGTCAGAAAGCAAGTGGAAGTGCATGATTTAGAAATAAGCTAGCAATTAGATCTGTGCCGCCAGCCTGGATTCCCAGTCTAGTGGGCTATAACAGGGTACATATCTTGATTGTTTTATTGACTTTGGTTTCACCTCCAAAAGGTGGTCCCACCTGAGAGCCTCATTGATACAACATACAGACGGAATTAGAACATTCCCTTGTCCTCTTCAGGTTCTATAACCATGGATCGGTCTCGGTGGAGATTGCCGTAGGGCTAGGTACATACCCGGTTGGTTGGCTTTGCTATATTCTATCTATGAGACGACTTGAATCTCTCAGGATCGCTTCCTAGAGGACGTGGGAGTTAGGATCACCTTTTAGCTTGTGAGAGGTCAGCTTATGGGCCGTCTCAGCCGTAGCCACTGCTATTCTAGTCTGTCAAACTAGTTCGGAAATGGCATATAGCTGAATGAGATCTAACTAATTGATCTTGCTCCGACATAGGTTAAGTTCTTCGGCCCTTCCAAGGTGTGCAATAAATCGGTATTTCTCACGGCTTCCGCAAGCGGCCTAGGAGGGGATGAGGGGATAGAGGGGACGGAGATGATGGCACCAACAGCAAGCAACCGAACGATATCAATGATAGGTCTCATGGTAAAAATGTGTATTGTTATGAGTGGTTAGGTCGAGCTTAGCTGCGGCCCCCAGCGTTGTTATTTTCACCGCCGGAAGCGAAGGGGGATGACCTCTGATCATCTCCCTTTTCGCTCTTCTCCTCCACATCACACTTCTCGCTAGCCAATGAGCGTCGAAGGGGTACCCATACCCGGCCTAGAAAGGCAATCAGTGCTGTTAAAGGCAAGCATTACTTAATACGGCAATGAGCAGAGCGTGACGTGAGAACTGCCAGGTTTGGAAGGTTCAACTATATTTTTTTTCATCAGAAATGAGGCATCGTATTGTATCTCCAAAGGTCTACCCCAGCTTTTGACTCGAGGCCAATCCTAGAAAACAGAGAATTGTACTGGGGTGTGCATCCTGATGTGCTCCTCTTTTGAAATTCGTATCAAAGGATGGCCGAAGGTAAGTACATTAGTAGACGATCGTCCTCCTCTCGGTCGTACCAACCAACATACATACTTACACAACTGACTCTTAAAGCTCTCACATTTATTGCTCCGGGGCTGTGAGACCTGCTGAGATTTTTTTGTGGCGCCGGGATTGTATTTACATACAGTAATCAAGCCCTCAATCGACCAACACAGTGAATCCTTCTCCCCCCCTTCTACTCATTTCAAATGGGATTCATACTTTTCAAGACCTTCCGTTCGTCAGGATGGCGGAGGCATCGCTCGTCTCTTCGCACACGGCTTCGACGGCGTTCACGGGGGGGACTTCTTACGAAGCTGTCGACGTATTCACGAGAGCACCAGACCAGACCGCATATGTCTTTGCGACGGAATACTGGAATTCTTTCTCCAGTACCTCTCTTCTAACCACGTCTCCGTCCAGCACGGGTAGTTCGACATCTTCGAGCCAGACAACATCGTCATCTACCAATGCTGCTCAGTTGGCCGGGACAAGCACCAACTCGGGTATATCGCCTGGGGCTACTGCCGGAATCGCTATAGGATGTGCTGCCGCCGGATTAATCTTAGGAGCCATCGCGGGTTTCTTATTTCGACGGTCAAGATCTGAAGGGTCAAAAGCTAGATACCATGTAGCTTCGTACGCTAGCCAAGAGAAGCCATTACGAGATCCTTATTCAACTCCTATGCCTGTGGACAGATTGCAGCTTGGACAATTTCTTTTAGACTCAACGCCGGATACTGCAATTGGCGCAGAGATGCGTTCTCTGAGCCAATTGATTCAACAACATGTCGAAAGCTGCTACCACCCTCTACCGGTTTTGCGTAGCGTAGAGGCGCTCACCACGATCTTGATTCATCTCGGGTTGGACCAGAACAGTACGATGTCGGCTGCCAGACTCGCATCCTTGGCGGTCGATCCAAAAACCCGGTACAGTGCCATCCAGCATGTCATCGCCCGAGTTACATTTGCCAGTGTCACATTGGATGCAGCTTCTCGCTTTTCTCTGCTACCGCAACCGGTTTCTTCTTTCGCATCTCAAATACCGGCTACGGAAAGCCATAGAGGAAGCGCAGAAGGTGAGTCAGATCGTTTATGCGCTAACACTACGTGTCCTAATATTTTTTTTTCTATAGCTGTTGATATTGCGCTCACTCAGTGGCGACAACTGTCCGCTTTCTTGCTACACCCAAGTAGGAGTGATCGGACGCCGTTAGTTCCCTCGGAAGATATCAGTACCCATGGAGCGCAGCAACTTGCCGTAGCTCTTAACGCCTTCCTTGAGCCTTTTGTGATCGGTGATCGCGAAGATAGGTACGAGCAGGAAAACCATCTCCGAGAAGTGATAGTTGAGTGTGTGACTTTTGGCTATCTCGTGTTTTCCCAGCCCTGCGAGTATCGGTACCGCTTCGAAGGTGGCGTAAGACCCAACTACATTGTTGTTTTCCCTGGACTGGACAAGATTAGCGATGAAGAAGGACATAGATATCCTTCGCCTGTTCAATCTGTTGTTCCGCCGTTGACTGAAATGATTTAATTGCATAGCTACTGGGCGCATTGGTTTTATTTCCATTATTTTCATTTTTATGTATATATCAATAAAAGGGGCAACGAATAGCTGTTCATAGAAATCATCCCTTTCGTTAAACCCTGCTGTATATAGACAATTAGAGAGCGATGCCTTATGAATCCACCAATGCTATCGGGATTTAACCTATGAGAAATTGTCGTGCTGTCATGATGGGGAAAATGGATCACGGATTCGGAGTCTGCGCCGTAGTGGAGTTAGGTTAAGCCGTCAGCACTAGAATGCTTAGACGGTGACAACTGTAGAGAAGCCCAATAACCTGTGAGAGCGTGTAAAACTCAGCCCTAAGTATCCTCTTCCTCTTGTGCCACGCCGCATTCGATAGTCCCCGCCACGACGCCTACGGTAAAGTATGGCCAGTTGCGTTTGGCGTATTATTCGCAAGCAAGCCATTCTTGACCCGCCTTGTTACGAACTTACCTCTATTATACCTACATCTCATAGTACAATATCATGACTAGCATTGAGTGGGTTTGTTGCCTAAGCTCCGAAAACCATTATGTAAAGGTAGCTGATACCTCCTCGTTGCGTATCGCAATTGTAGGATGATTCAAGTGTACATAACCTCATGGAGATAGTTGTGACCAGCCGCTCTTTTTGCCATTTTTTGCCATAGCTCCGTTTGACGATTATTAAGACTTCAACGGGAAGCAAGTTCTCGGCCATCAGCGTATCAATATAACCCTAGGAAACGCTCGTAATATCCAGAAGACCTTAAAGGCGTACGACCGGCGTATTAAGGATTCTGACACAATCATGTTGAAAAAGATGAACTTTTTCAAACGACGTCGGTCGAATAAACCATCCGTGACGGGGGCGGGGGAATTGGACGAGCAATTCGCGAAGGTTAATACCACGAAGTCTTCGTTGGGCGATAGCAAGGATACGACTCTAGGTCAGCAAACAAAATACCTATTGAGCGACATCTCATCGTGCTGATTAGGTATTTCACAGGCCGACCTGCCGGATCTTTGGAAGAATTACCAGGTTACGGAAGTTCAACAGACCAACGAATAGCATGGGATGCGTTTGATCGTCCAGCCCAGTCTTCCGTCCCGTCTCTCGCGAGCGACCGCAGTTGTGCTATCACATCACCGTCTCCGGCGCCTACGGTTCAACCACTTTACGAAATATATGCATTGCCTGAACCGACAGTCTCGGGCGAGATATCCTCGAGACATTCATGCGACTCTTTCGACGAGCCCGAACCTACCTTGGACACGTCAACCTCGTTTTTACTTGATGCAACACCTCCTCGGACTCGAAGACGATATACGGAGTCAGCGGCTAAGCCAGAAGCTGGGTTGAAAGCTTTATTTGAGACGCCTTCCCATATAGAGCCACATCCAAGATCATCTCCAAGCGAGCCTGCCCCTTTACATAGCCGCCCGAACAATTCTGGGTTATTTGGCCCCCCTCTTGAAGAATCGGCGTATGCATCGCCAAATATAACGAGTCATCAGCCCTTAGTTTCCGAGTCCTTCACCGCCCACGAGCTTCCTAGCGACGCAGAAGTTCAGACTACTCAAGTTCGCGCACCGCCTGTTAAGCCTCTCTTCATATTGACTCCGCCTCAGACCCAATCGGACGTCAAGCCATCGCGCCGACTCGACGTCGAGGCGAAAAGAAAGACGGAAGATGAACCTTCGCCGAGTCAGAAGATCGCCTTAGCCCAGGTGTTCATGTACCAAGCCCGAATGACCAACCAACCGGCCTACAACACGAAGACAACTTCAGCTATTACAGATGATGGCATTTCGTTCGAATCAAAACCTTCTGGACTACAGCTCTCTCCAAGTGCAAGGGCTGGAGCGAGGCGGCCCAGGAGTGTATCGACGTCGTCTATAAGAGCAACACCTAATACGTTATTGTCGTATGATAACACAATAGTCCCTCGTCCACTACAGGCCGGCTTCATGATCTCTGAGCTCGATGGAAGTGTTACTAAGGGAAATGCGGTTGATAGTGAAGCATGGCGGAGGAAAAGCAAGATGCTCCAATCAGACTCATTCGGCTATCATATTGGAGTGGTAGCTTGAAATGAGAAAGTCCGAAACGAAAGATATAGCGCGATATACATATTAGACATGGTATAGCCGTCGTCTAAACTAAGGTAAGTTCTAACTTAATACGTTCTCAGACTTACCGAACACTCGTCTAACAGCGACAAGCACTATCAAAAGTCGTCGTATTCAATAAGACTCAGCAAACTCCGAACTGCAATCCGAGAGAAGACTAGGAAGGAAAATTTTACCTGTTCTCTAGAAGGACTATAAGGTCGTCAGTGGAGGTTTATGATCATGGATGGACCCTTTTTGCGATATCACCTGTGCCCTCACAGCAGATTCGCTAATACGAGTAGTATGGCTATATGATATCATATTGAAACGTTAGGATACCCAGAATACTTACTGAAAGATTTCATAATAAGTAAAGAGATCTTCTCTAAATGCGCCCAACTCGTCAATATAATTATGGCGACCGTCGATGATAATGTAGGATACCAGGTAATGCTAATTCGTTGGGAGTCGACAAGGCAGCATCTCAGTGTAATCTGTCAGATTTTATGTCATTTTTTAGGCGTCATTGAGGCCTAATAGGCGTTTGTCCAATCATAAATATCATTTATCTGGTACCTGACAAACAGTCAATTATTTCCATTGGGTCTAGGTATGTAAGAGGTTGGGTATTTAAAAAAGCATGTGAAGAGTCTTAAGAAAGAGAGCCCTGAGGGAAAGTTAGGTACCTAGATACTTCGGTTACTTGATGTCATTAGCCCTATGATATTGGTCAGAGCGTCTTTTAGCGTGATGCAGGAGTGGACTTAGCGTATAATACCCCTGAACGCCTGGCTTCTTCAACTTTTCACGTTCTACGATAATTATCCAGCTATCTTACCTAGGTGTATATGCAATGTATTGTCTTTAGACTACTAGTCTTGGTTACGAAGTTCCTTGGATTCTATATGGGCCTTCGTTGCTCCATCCTCCTACGATGGCTTCACGGGATCCGATCTGTCAAGTCAGTTCACAACCACTACCCTCATCTGAAACATCCGATCTGACGATATAACAGGCGGTGAATTTGGCTGATGGCCAGCCGTGCACTGCTGTAGCAACAACGTGGGAAAATCTATTCTGTAGATTCCACGGGAAACAGTGCCATGGGTTGTACATAGGTTACAAGAGGCGAAATGCTAAGCTAGATGCTCTATCAGAAAACCTCCCGCCTTACTTGCGGGACTCTCAAGTCTCGTTAGCTAATGAGACGTTTGACGTCAAAGATGAAAAAACCTTAAGAGAAATACATGCCCATCTCTACCAAGAGTATGTGCTACTAGGGAAAGTGATAGATGCTAGGAAGCTTCACCACAAGCACTTCTATCCACTTCAAATGGACTATGGTCACCAAGCCTATCTAGACACGCTTTCTAATCGACGTCATATCGTATTGCGTGCCCTAGAGAAACTCGAGACCCGCACCGCTCAAGTCCTCTACGAGAAAGAGAAATGGTACACATGGGTTCGCGATGCTCAAAAGGAAGAAGAAGCAACGCGAGAAAAGGAGTCTAAGAAGGTGAAGCTAGAAGCGGCCATGTTCAAGCGACATTGGAAAAAGATGGAGGCTCGCTTGCGAGCTCAGCGCAAGAAAGAAGAGAAGCAACGGCAAGATGCCTACCTCGAAGAAGCGTACAAGGAGCGCATGTCTGCAACAGAAAACGAAGATGACGCGGAGATGTGGGATCCTATCGAAGATGTCATTGAAGACGAACGTAGTCGATATGTGGATCTAATCAAGCACTTCTTATGGATGGAACTTCTCGCCGACGTTGATGAGAATGAGGATTCTGCTGGGCAAGCTGCCGCGTCATCTGAATTATCTGCGGACGTAGAGAAGCTTGCGATCTCGGAAGACAAGCAACCTAAGAAAGGTAAAAAGAAGTCCAAGTCGAAGGCTGCAAAAGCGGCTAGTACACCAAATAAGGCCAAACCGCAGAACGCTACCACGTCTAAGGCCCGCAGGACGGGCCAAAGCCGAATCATGGAAATGATCGATGACGACGAGGAGGCGCCTGAAGATCTTCCGGAGCCGGATAAGAGCAACATCGAAACTGAAAGCGAAATGCGGAAACGACTTAAAGAAGGTGTCGAGAAGAATTATGATCATATCGAAGGACCAATCTTGGTAGGAACATTAGAAGTTCCTCATGGCACACACTTAAAAACAGCCCCCTTGTCAGACGAGGAGATCGATTCTCTCACGAAGGACATCAAGGAAATCAAGCTACTATTATTCTGCCGACTCCTGTTGTCTCATGCTTCACTGCTTCCAGCCGCTGTGAGGGCCTCAAGTGTGGAGGAATTTCTCAGCGATCCAGAGATAGCCTCGTCCGACTTGCGAGACCTCTGTCTTAAGGTCGAGCGGCCTAGTCTTCAGGACATACGAGATGCTTGTGCTGACCTTATGAGGGGAGACGAACCCGAAGCTGAAGATGACGAAGACGACGTACCCGAGGAAGAGTCTTTTGAGGATGTCATATTACAAGAGCATCGATATGGTCACCTCCAAGACCCCGAGTGGTTTTTGAACAACATGCTTGCCCAGCGTCGGAAGCTCATCAGTAGCGAAGGGGGTCTTGCGAAGCTCAAGAAAAATTTCAGCAAGAAGCCTCAAAAGCAAAAGAAGATGAAAATCCAAGTCTGTGGCAAGAGCATATGGAATTATTCGAGCGAGAACTCGATGTCACGAGATGGTTGGCTTCAATTCTCTGTCATGGCGAAGGATTGCGACTTAAGACACGCTGTTCAGCTTTGTAGAAACTGGGATGAGTTTTCGCGGCTGAACTTCCTGACTGTTTGGCAATACTTCCCTGCTTCGAATTGGGTTTCTTGGGGCAGCGATAGGCTCACGCAGCAACTGCATGAATTGGTAGGAATTCCTCTATTTCCCTCTTCGTTGTACCTTTTCTGTTCGAGCATCTTCTCAAGTTACTAATCAATGTCCCTTTTTTTCATCTCCCTTTTCTCATCATCCTTTGAAAGCAAGGCTCTGACTATATACTAGGGCTTCTTCCCATATTTCAAAGATTTCGAGGCTCAGAAGCATAGCCATTTCCACCAAATTGGAGGTCGAAGCCAACACCGACGCCAACACAGCATTTTCGAGGTCAGGAACATTATCGTCGGCCACATGAGACGAAATGACTCAGTAACTCGCCGGTTTCTCCAATACTGCACTATGCGGACGGGCGAATTGTTGCTGCTCGTGCGAGATGGTAAGACGGGTAAGATAATCACCGCTCCCGAAGAGGAGCATCTATGGACCATGCGACGTAAGGAGGGCCTTGGTCGTGCTTCTAAGAACGAGTGGGACATAATGCTCGAAGTTGGGCCCGAGTATTTTGACATGGTAGACATACTTCGAAGGTGGCGCCTGGGTTTCGAAGATTACTACGAGGTCTGGTTATGGGACTTCGTCCCTTGTAACGATCCAATTACTCTATATAACGTGATCGTTACGGTATGATGCACTCAGACATGAAGGTTACGCACAAGCTAATATCCTTTAGGAACTTCGCAAAGCTTGGCGAGTTACCAAACCCCTTGACATATATACGCACAGGGAGCCTTTCCTACGCAGTCTTACGAGGAATCAGGAAACGATGCGCGTCCGCTCTATCCAACCTGGAGAAAATGTTCCAAGCCTATGGGACGACATTCATCACCCATCTAACAAATTCTTAACTACTGATTTATTAAACAAGACGGTCCTTGAAACGAACGGCGAAGCACATGAACATGCTTCGCCATACCTATTCTACAACGAAGCAGACGCTGCCGAAGACTTGATCCTTTTCTCTGATGAGTTGATCTCGCCTAATCGAAACGTTCCTTTCAGGGAAGTCAGCAACTCGATCACTCGCTTAGAAACGACGCCTGCTACTATGATCAACGTCCTGGCTGAAGAAGCTAGAGAGTTGAGCAAACGCGACAAGATCAAGGACTTAACCAACCTACCCGAAGCAGACGGTGACGAAGACTGGAGCACTGAACCCGAATCTTATATGGAAGAAGACGAGATGAAGATAACGACACATTGGAGTCTGCCGCAGATATGGGAAGATTCGATCGCGATAGTCAATCATAGACATATCAGCAGCGAGAGAAAACAACTTTTACGTCGAGTTGGCCTTCTGAGCGAGGGTTCGAACGTAATTCGTGGAGGTATAAATAGCTTATATGGTGTAGAATCCAAGTTGAAGACTGCAGACAAAACCATGGTCATGGAAAAGGACCGCGGCGCTGGTGAGTTGAGACTGTACCCGTTAAAATGACATCAATCTCTAATGAAAACAGCTCTGGTAGAGGCCTTCCATGCCGGAGACCTGGAACCCGGTGCCCAGGAGAAATACGCCGAGACTTGCAAGATTATGCGTGGTATCCTTGGACCTCAGAAAACTTTCGGCACGACGGAATGGGTTTGGTTCTTGGTTAACGTTCTCGACTGGCTCGGGATCAGGACCGATTATACAACCTACAGCCACGAGGCGCGAGCAGGATGGCCACACCCGTTCATCACCCAGGATATTGTCAAAGCTTTTGTTGCGATGGCTATGTTCTTCCCTGGCCTTGAACAGACGAAACCCGTATCAGATTTCTTTGATTCGAAAGAAGGGAGCGAATTTAAGGACAGCTTGCTTTTCAAACCCCACGAACGCGCGAAGACGCTCCCAGATTGCCGTACAAGGGCAAGCTTTAAATATCGGCCAAAATCGTTCTGGAAGGAATGGGAGGAAGTGCTGAAAGACGCCAAGGAGAACAAGAAATTTTTCGCAGATATTTACCCTATGAAATGGAGTGTTGCCATACGCCCCATCATCGCGAAATGTAAGACCGGTATTCCTGTCCGATATGCCTGGCCCTCTGCTAATAATAACATTCACAGTATACCTTGCCGGCATTATCGCCCCAGCATACATCCAAAACGACCCCCTCGTCGTCCCCGGCTTCACCGTCGCCGCCGAGGAACCGCACCGGCCGGGGAAGCTAGACTTATTCATGGACTACGCCGACCGCCACGGTGCGATCCAGTACCCGCAGAACATCCCGGGCTTCGTCAGCCCCTCCGACTGGCCCGTCCTACTTCCGCTCGCCCGCTCCTTCGCGTCTCAGCACGAGTCCAACGCCAGGTTCGCCATCCTCCGCGTCTGGTCCGCGCCGCACTTCTACCCGGCCATGCTCGGCGACTGGAACCGGCACGCGACCGCTTTCCTGGACGGGTACGCCCGCTCCTGGATCTGGAAGTTCATCCCGAAGGACATGCCCATCAGCGAGTGGAGCATGTACAACACCCTCAAGCTAAGGCTGGAGCTGCTGAAGGACCAGCTCAAAGTGGGAGAACGCGTTGTTCATCGTAACGAGGTTATCCTGGTCATGGGGACTGACGAGGTCGATTTGTTGAAGTATGTCACGGCGGTGACGTTCGCGATCCAGACGAAGCCGTGGCATCGCGAGATTGACCTCTGGAAGAGCTTCGTTAATGTCGATTTGGAGTTTTTGGAGGACTTGGATCCGTATTGGCTTGATTAGGTAGGTAGGTAGGTAGGTAAATTGGATATGGTGTATATGTGGACGAAGGTACGGCGGATTTACTGGGACATAGAATGCGATAGATAAGTCGTCGTATAAAGAGCTTTGAGAAACACTTTCATGGACAGGTAATACTGCGCGTAGTCATAGAACCCTCATATAAGTATTCCTATGAGAAACGTAGGTAACAAAAAGCTCTCCATCTCATAGATACGTATCCTACGTCTTAACAAAATCTTAAATTCATATACGACCAAATTATGTTGAACCGGAACCCATACCTATCAACCAAAGGAAACAATACAAAAAGAACGAGAGCCTTACGCAGACACCTAGATTAATTCTAGACTACTTATGTAGGTACCCAGCCGTACGAACCCGTCTGCTCAAAGATCCGGTCTCACGGGACACAAAGCAGCCCTGTTCTCACCGATTCGCACCCACAAATCGCTGTCTCTTCCTATGTATACATCCCCTTTTACACCCCTAGCTACCTACTCAATAGAGAGACAGGTACATCGTTACAGATCCTACACGGATTCCGATTGATAAGATTAGATGTAGTCACACTGTTCCGAGAGGGAGAACGCTGCGTTGCGTGGCGCCCGACGTCTCCGAGGTCTCCGAGCCGAGATCTAAGACAAACCTATAAGCAAGACTCCTTTCTCCTTTGATCCTTGATATTGCGTGTGATCCCTACAACATAAGTAGACTGAGTGAATCATTTGCATATGACGTTTCCTTAAACCGATAACCTTGACTGCCAGTCGTTTGTCGCACTTACGCGTGTCTAAGGCGGCTGATCCAGATCCATGGTCTAGGACGACGTATAACTGCCTAGCTATCCGGTAAAAATGTATGTAATCTCATATAAAACTGCTCTTCTTTCCCAAATATGAGTTGAAATGATCCTACCTCAGCTCATCTACCCAGTTGTACAACCACCGAGATATTAAATCTGAATACCACGGATAGACACCTACCTACTTCTTCTCCTACTATCCTCATCGTCATCACCAATACCAATCATCATCACGAACAGCAGCATCATCGAAACCAAAAAACAATGGACCTCACCACCCTCCCCTCCAAAGCCCTCGCCCCCATCCTCTCCCTCTTCCGGAACCACCGGACCCTCGTAACCGGCACCGCGATCTGCGTCGCGGCCGGCGTCAGCCTCTCCGTGCTCGCGGACCTGATCGAGGACTACAACGAGTGGTACGAGCTGGGCCCGAACGGGATCCCGCTCAACTTCTTCGGGTACCTGGCGCAGCGGATGGCCACGCCGTTCGCGCGCAGCGACGTCCGCGGCGGCACCCCCTACGACATGGAGAAGCTGTCGAGGCTGTACGGGCCCATCGTCCTGACCTCCTTCCTGGACGTGGGCGAGGATGAGGACGGCGACGGGGAGCTGCCGCTGCGCAAGGGCGAGAGGCCCGTCGTCCCGAGCTACGTGGGCCCGCACCGGCAGACGACGCAGAAGGCCTCGGACGCCATGCGCGCGAAGCAAGAAGCGTTCCTGCGCGATCTGACGGCCGCCAACCCCGCACTCTTCCAAGTCAAGCCGTCCTCGCTAGAAGGTCCTTATTACAACGCTATATGGCTAGCCGGCAACATACCCCAGCGCGACGAGATCAAGAACCTACGGGGAGAATTCGCGCACCCGCACGGTGAGGGAAGCACGCACTTGGTGCTAAGTTTGGTTGACGCGGCGGCGGCTATCGACAGTGGCTGGGCTGAGCGCCATCGCATGAGCGGGGTCGGGAATCTGATACCCTGGGGTTTCGTAATGATATATGCGCCGCGGGATGACTATGAGCTGGAAATATGGAAGGAGTTTATCGTGGCAAGTGCTCGGTACGCACTCGGTGGCGAGACGGTGGTTGAGATGCCATCGCCAGCCGAGCCAGAGTCCTCCAAGAAGGGCAAGTCCTGAGGAGCTTGGTTAGGTAGGCAGGACTGAAGATGGGAAATCTGTAGGAAACGCCCGCTGAGTTGAAAGGGGACACCGAAGCTCGGAACTGCACAGGAATCTCACCTCAAAAGTAAAGGTCCGTATGGACTCAAGGGTACATACCTAAGTACCTACCCCCTAGATATTCTTATGTATTAATAAGATATGATGTACTAATATTCTTGCTTGCTTTCCCTCACTCACTGGGCTGCTCGCCATAGAACGTTTGTGAACCAGGCACCTAAATATGGGTGGTGATGTGGTAACAAATACCTATTAATTACGAGACCCAATAACCACCTAGTTTACTCGAGATCATAGATGATATTGCCCCTTCATTGATATATTGCGCCATGCTGAAAGCAGATGTAGATCATTTCCTAGGAAGCAACCTAGGGTTCCAAAACGCTAATTCTTGAATATGTTCTCGCCACGCCTGGATTGGATCCGCGGCCGTAGCGGCCTGGGTATTGATATTTGTCGAATTGACGCCGTAGAGGTATGGTTTCTCGTCGGCGAAACAAGGTGTCTCTTGTTCTTCAGGGACGGTACCATTCAAGATGTATGCCTTCGCAACATTGTCTGTGCATGTGGACTTGTCTCTCGACGAATGTCCATAGCCGTGATGCACGATTAATCTAGCATTCTTACCCATCTCATTCAGAAGCCTTCTTCCGTTCCGTAAAGGAGTTGCAGGGTCGTACGTCTCCGCAATCAGTAAGACCGGGCTCTTGAGCGTATGGTTTAGATCCCCTCTGTAAACCTCTGCAGGCTGGGGCCAATAGGTATTGAAGTGTCGGCAAGGGAAGACGTTGAAGAAACGCGAATTACCGGAAATCCAAGCTTGAGTAGTCATATTAGCCCAGAGGGATTGCCACCAGACGAGGCCGCCGGGAGGTAATGGTGCGTCGTAGGAATCGGCGCAAATGACCAAAGAACCGAGTTCGTCAGTCGATGGTTTAGGGGAAGGCGGAGACGGCAGTGTTGGATCATACTCCCATTCCGAACGATCGAGGAAGGCCGTCGCCAAAGTTGAGTTACCTGCTTCCAGCTCGTACAGCATCTGAGCGAGAGCAGGCCAGCTGTTGGCATTGTACAAGGCGCTGTAGATAGCGGATACTAAGGCGGAGTACGTGATGATTGACGGGCCGCTTGATTCGATATAACCCGGGACGGGCCGTTGGCTGATTGAAACCACTAGCTTCTTCATGCGAATTTCCAAGTCCTGCAATGTCACAGTTTCAGAGTCCCTCGGCTGAGAAAGGGCGCAGTATTTTGGGCCAGCATTAAGACATTCACCTAGGAAACCATCGCGCCAGGCATCGGTAGCATTGTCCAGCGCAGTCCAGCCAAAACCACCAAGGAGACGGTGATCTCGGACATATTCGGTTCCGTCTAGAATTACGCGGCCCACGCTATCTGGGAACATGTTGGCCCACGTTTGACCGATTCCAGTCCCGTAACTAACGAGGTAACCTGTCAATTCATCTTCGCCGAGGGCTTTACGAATCTCTTCCATATCGCGCGCAACAAAAGCCGTACTGACAAACCGCGCGAGGTCGTCGTGCTTTTCCCAACAAGCGCGGAAGGTAGCATTGTTCATCGCATCTGCGAGCTCAAGCTGAGCCTCGGGAGATCCGGATACTTCGCGGTATTGCCCCGTCAGCATGGCCCAACGGTCTCGGTCGGCGTTGTAAGGGAAGCACGCGATAGAGGGTGAGGTCGCATTAACGCCACGCGGATCCCAACCCAAGACGTCGAACTTGCCGTCGCTTAGCCGTTTTGTGATATCCTGTGCAGCCCTCCAGGCATATGAAGTGCCACTACCTCCTGGCCCACCTGGCTCGATGACGATCGTGCGCTCGCTCTTGCGTCCGGCGGAGGGGTTGACGTACGCGATGAAATGTGCCGCATCCGCCCGAGCAAGGCCAGAAACTTGGTATTTCGTCACAGCAAGCCGGACAATGCGCGGTTCGGACTGATTTGTATAGTCTAGTGGAACGTCTAGGTAACCACATAGATAGATCCCTCGTCCAGCATACGGATCATCGCCTGACACATGCTGTTCAACTGTCGCATTCCCCCAACTCCAATGATCGGGATTCGGGTCGAATAGACTCGCCCAGCTTTTCTCCGGCTCGGAGTCGTCGAGGGCAGGCGGTAGAGTCGCATTCGTGCAGGGAATGAAGCGGAACGGGTCGTCAGGATGCGGAAACCGACCGTAAGGTGATCCGGATCGTCTATTACAATGTCGGACGGCGCCACTCGTGAGGACGTCGTAATATTGCTCACGGAATCCTTCGTATGATAGACCTGGAAGATAGCTAAATAGAGCAGTCAAACCGATCAAGCCCACGACGGCCCACGTCTTCAGCCATGACTGATTAGGCCGCGACTGTGGATGCTGAAGCTGAGTAACCGAGAGAGACGATTTCTCCATGGTAATTACCTAGGTAGGTAGTTGTATTTCTCGGGCGCAGATTGCGCTTCCAATCAGTTCTATCACCAATTCATGAACAATTTCGCTGGCACGCAATGCAAAAACCAAGAGTATTAAAGTTGTTAAGGAAGTCAATGCACCCGGAGCTGCCAGAGAGGTAGATATCCATTACGAGCAGGAGCTCATCCTCCGGCTAAAGCTCCCTGTAGCACCTGCATTTAGGCGGGGCAAGTAAGAGATGTACCTGAATTCTAGTTGATCCTTCCCTTTATTTAAGACAACTTCTCCTGAAGAACATCCGTAGCAACGACGTTCTCACTTTGGATTATTTCTTCCTAATAATTTATACTTCTACGTGAGCTTCGCGTCATTAGTAAAGCTTGCGAACTCAATATCCTGAGTTCTGTATAATTCGAATCGTGATTGGGCGATGAAGCAACCAAGCAACAAATATGGCGTCTTTAACATACCTAGCTATGGCGCAAGACAGCTATGGTGATATCTCTAACCTCTAAGTTCTCCACGACGTCTTGTGACGATCCGTCTCTAGGTCTAATAGGTATCAGACCATTCCGTATCACTCTACCCAAACCTTCACATCCCCCATTCCCACGAAAATAGAGCCGACCTCACATAGGAATCCGCCTAATCTCCTCAACGCTCCAATACCGCCTCATATTCTCCGCCCCCAGCGTCAGCACCTCCTGGTCGAGATGCTTCCAGAGCACCGCGCCCCAGCCCTGCATCTGCTCCTTGAGGGCCGCCATGTCGAGCTCCTTCTCGCCGTCGCGGCACGCCCGCAGGTACTTCTGCATGCCCTCCATGCCCTCGTGGATCTCCTCGTGCTGGCGCAGCAGCTCCGCCGCGCCCTTGCCCCCCTTGCCGTCCGTCCGGAACTCGGGCATCCGCCGCGCCAGGATCGGGAAGATGTACGTCTCCTCGATGTTGTGGTGCATCTCGAGCTGCGACACGAACGCCAGCCCGTCGTTGATCACCCCGCGCCCGCCCCGCGAAGACCCGCCCTTGCCCTTCCCGTTCCCCGCGCACGCCGCCGCCCACAGCGCGTTCCACGACGTCCGGAAGTGCGCGTGGAACACGTCCATGTGCTCCGCCAGCCTATTGTATGCCCTGAACTCGGCGCCCTTGAGGGGCGGTAGTTTCTTCTCTTCTTTTTCTTTCTGCGCTTCCTCTCCCCCTTCCGCTTTTGCGATCGTGGTAGTCGGCTCTTTCAAAGCACTGGGCCCTGCTGCGGAACTGCTTACATCGGAAGGCGGGTCTACGGAGGACATGGCGGCGTTCGAGTGAATGCGACGCGCAAGGCTAAGTTGTGGATTGTATGTAGATATAGGGAGGAATATGGAAGTACAATCGTAATAGCGAATTGGTTCTCGATCGCCAAGCCTACGTAGAGTGGTAGCGGTAGGTCGTAGAAGCGAACGGCTTACGGCAAGGCGAAATCCAACACTGCTTATTATACGTCGCGGAACTTGATTTCCCGTCATCATATATTTGGAGACATTGTTAGCGGACATATATATACCTACCTAAATACCTTAGGTAGGTATATATCATATGCTAACTACATAGTGGCGACCCCAAGTATACCTAGAAATTTCAATAAGTCAGCGATTAGAAAGCAGTGGAAATTCTGGTACTAAGTAAAATCTCGTATAAGCCCTCTTTCTTTTCGCTGTGATTGGTTGGTCGACCCCTGGATCGCTAGGTATGCTGCTGTTATCGATATACGTATATCTGGGGACGGCCCCATACTCGCTGGACGAATGAAATCATCTTCCTTTGAACGGTTCACTACCTATGTATTCCGATACCAACCTTCGAGAAAAGAACCAGTACGAGAGGAAGGACATTACACCATGAAGAACAACTAGGCAAGGTAAATTCATGTGTTCTAGAAGTCAATTCTCTAGCCATAGCTATGTTATCAACATAAGCGAACCTCGTCACCGGCGACTATGCCAGTCCCATACCGAGGCCTTTTCATTATAAGTCAAACCCAGCCGTATGCAGCAGATACAAACGAGAGAAAGTTGAAGACGAAACCCTATCCGGCAGTCGTTTAACCTCGGACTGCACCGCTCAGCACACCTCCAGTAAACTGCGTGCCGCCAGCTTGTCTTTGACCAGTCCCGCCTGTCCTTGCGCCGCCCCGGCCCGTCCGTTGTCCGCCACCTCGGCCACCTCTCTGGTTCTGTCCGCCTCTCCTGTCGAAGGCGTTTGCCGTACCTTGCGTACGTTGCTCGAGCGTACGTTCGTTAGTCTCGATGAGCTGTGCTGCCTTGTCCGACAGGGTGAGCGCAAGACTCTGGAGACGAGATAGTTCCACGCCCTTCCGGAAGATAACTGTCGATGTAACTTGGTCGAGGGCGGCAGCTAGCTCCTCATGGCTAATCATCTTGCTGACGATAGCAGCCACTTTGCGGTCCTCGAGTTCGAACATGGATGAGAGGGTGGAGATGGCAAGGGTGTCGTAGAACGGGGCGTACGTGAAAAGGTAAGTCCGTAGACCTTCCTCCTGGATTTGCTTCGAGAGCATGGTCTTGATCTCTTCTGTGTTCGGCATCAAATCCCAGATCTTGATGCTGTGGATGAAATTGGTAGCCTTCTTCCACTCTCCGGCGGCCAGAGCGCGAGACGCTTGCATCACATGGTCACGAGTATTCTCCGGTGGTCCGGTGAAGATTTGTCTCTCATGGTATTCCAACATGCGTCGGTAAGTCTTGCTGATGACTCGCTTCTTGATATCGGGCGAGGAACCAGTTTGGGCAAGCAGCGGGATCTCGAGAAGCATGCTGCATGTTAAGTAAACGCACTCTAGAAGTTCGAGGTTGATGTGCATGTGGAAGGGCAGCTGTCGTTGCTTCTCTAGTCGCTCTTGCTCGGGGGATACCTGTGCAAACCGCTGGATCATGACACCCTGGGCCAACAGTTCCTTCTGTCGACCGCTACCGCAGATCTCCTGTAACGTGTTCTGTGCTTCGTACACTAGACCCTTCCGGAAGGCGCATAGTCCAACTTGAACAAGCGTTCGGTTGTAGAGAATCTGTGTCTGGACGTCGAAACTGCCAATCGTCTCCTGCAAATGCGACATGAGCATCATGTCTCGAGCCTTGTAGTATTCGTCGTGAAGGGCCAGGAAGTAAATTTGGCAAAGCATGGCGCGGGCACGAATGATGCCCTCGCTGTTGACAAATAGATAATTGCAGAGGACGTTCAGGAGATTGGTAGCATCCGTGATACTGCCTCTGGGAGTGATGGTGGACTCAACATCCGCTGGCACAGGCTTCCAAGCGTTCTCTTCGAGGATCTTAACGACTTGAGAAGGCTTGAAGTAAACATGTTCCAATCTACGCATAACTATGCGGTTGAGGCTATCCTGGGGGGTCTGCAGAGACTCATCCTTGGTGAGGGTTTCGTAGTAAAGAAGGCCTCGGAAGATGACGTTGTATAAGGAGCCCTCGTCTGTCAGTCGCTCGATATACTCGGAAGTATGGGGGTCGATGCTCTGTAGAGATCGAGTAAGTTCATCATCTAGCCGCTCCACGTACGACACAATACTTCCAGGGATCTTGATGTACTTCTCGCCTGGCTGCAGCGTAGGCGGCTTCTCATCGTCATCCCATTCCTCGGCATTCTCGATCACGACGTATTCCCGGTTCGCCTCTAAGACCTCGAACAAGGTAGAGATCTCTTTCTCGGCAGCCTTCCAGTGCTCTAAAGGCATGGATGCCGATCCACCAGACCCAAGATCGAATCGTGCGGAGACCATAGTTAGAAGGACCTTGATTTGTTGGTATGGAGTGACAGCAACTTCGTGAAGCTTCTCCATGATCTTGATCTGTTCAGTACGGTCCGTATTCTTCTTACCACGAGATTCCATGATTCCACGTAGGTGTTTGAAGATGCTCTCCGGGGTAAATTGGAGCGTTCTGCCGCCTTTACCAACTGTGGAAAAGCCTTCTTGATCATCCTCGACTTGGTCAATGAGATCCTCTGCCTTGATCTTCTTGGGTTTGGGGGCGGGTGCCTCTTCCTCGTCTTCCGAAGCAAGGAAATCTAAAGGATCCTCTCTGTAAGAATCGACCTGCGATTGGTAGTCCTGTTTGAGCTTCTTGATCTTTTGCTTGACGGCGTTGAGACCACGGGCGCTCGTGGCATTCATCTTCTTGGGGGTAACCTTCTGTTTCGAAATGGCCTCGTTCATCGCGTCCTCTAACTCCACAAGGGCCTTGATGTAGAGCTTCGGCGTCCGGCCGCGCTCGGAGATCTTGGCGGCCTGTCTGTTGAGCTTGTCGAATTCTATATAGTAGATGGAGTTAGCGTAACGCACTTGTCGTTCTCATATTTCGCAGTGCCAATCAGTCGAACTTACCAGCAGACACAGCACCCCAATCACTGATCTTCTGACGCTTCTCTATAGTGTCGATTATTGACTCTAATTCGGCCAGCTGCTTGTCCTTGGCACTCTTGAGGGTCTTGGGGGCCTCATCGTCGCTCTCTTCGCTCTCGGAATCGTCACCACGTAAGAAACGAGCGGCACCGGATCTTTTACCACCCTCCTCATCGCTGCTTGACTCTTCTTCGGACTCATCCTCGTCCTCGTCTTCATCTTCTTCAGACTCGGCTTCCTGCTCTTCCTCTTCCTCCTCTTCCTCGGAGTAGAGCTCCTCCTCTTCGGAGCTGCTCTCAGACGAGCTGTCGTCGCCGCTGCGGAAAAATCGAGACATCTTGTTGGGCGTTCTCTTGATGGAATGAAATATTTGAGTAGACAATAGATGCAATTTCAGAGTGTTGTGTCCCCCAGATGCGATGAAGTAGGGAGTGGGAGAAAATGCGCGCCAATCTAGAAGAAAAAGACGACGTTGGGAGTTGGAGGGGCAAAATTGAAATAAAAAGGTGCACACTTTTTTTTTGGAAAATCAAACGAATTTTTGGTGTGGGGTCGACGAGGAGGGGGTGAACCGATTGGTAACCTGAGGCAGGCAGGGCTGGCAGGCAGCTGACAATTGATTCGACTGAACCGTGCTTAGGTGAGCACGGTGCGTAGAGTGACTCACTGTTAGCGTACTTTAAAGTTTCTTAGCAGCTGCCAACAATCAACAATAAATTACATAAGCGAAGAAACATCAGTTGCTCGGATCTCTCACCAAGAATCACATCAGGTAACCAGGAATTTGCGTTTATGAGTGGTATTTAACTATCGAAAAGTAGCATCGGAGAGTTCATATCAAAATTCTTATTTTGTACGAGTGATTTCATATGGCTTATTGAATACCAAAGAAATGTTTAAGACTTAAAGGACATTGTAATTACGTAGGTCCAAGGCTTGAATATATCTAGATGTGAGGGTTAGCGATTACGTTGCATTATATTAAAATCGAGAGGCATTCAATAAAAAGTGACGTTCAATTGAAAAATTCCTTGACCATGAGCAACTGTTCCTGGTAAAATCGTGTAATCCCCTGGGATCCTATGAAGCCTATACGGCCATAAAAATAACCATAACTCCATTGACGCCATTGTGACTTGGAATGACTGGCCCAGATGTGAAGAGTAAACTAAGCCATGGAAATAATGATAGTATGCATCATCCATCGACTAGTAGTCGAGAACTCAGAACAAGGAAACCTATCGAGCTTGGTCCAACCAGTCGGGGTGGTCTTTTGCGCGCCACGGCTTAATTCCCTTAGGATTTGCATCGCGGCTCTTCTTCGCCTGGTCCATGACCTTCTTAGTCTCTTCGCTGTTGTATAATTCATCGAAGTCCTTGATCTGAGCGCTCGCTGCATGCACCGACTTCATAAAGCTCTCGTGGACTTCCTCAGCTATAACTCGTCAGTGACCTAATAATAAAATAAATGATTGGATATGAATATTCCTTACGAGTAGTAGAGCCAGTGGGTATAGCCTCTAGCATCCGTTGAATTGTAGTTCGTAGCTCTCGGCACTGTTCACCGGCCAGATATTAGTTCGATGTCGGCTGTGAGTCGCCAGAGCTTGGGCCGGTATGAGAGCAATAGCACCGTTTCAACAGTTGTTTGCACCTGTGATCCGGGCGGAGAAGGTTTGAAGTATCGCGTACCTTCACATGTAGGAGATCCAACTGTTTAATATTTAACAATAGCTGTTCTTCTCCTAAACTTCCTCCTCCATCCTTCACTTGGCCAAGCGAAGCAAGCTTCGATTGATTCGACTGGCTCAGGTGAGTGGCCATTTCAATTCCCACTTCCACTTCCACTTCTTAACTTCCCAAGTTCGATAAAGCTACTTATACTGATTGTCACTAAAGGTTCTTGGTCAACACTACCTTGCTTGCTAGTTGCTTCGCATGCTTGGACTTACGCAGGCTTTTAAGTTAAATTAAGTCTTCGGCCTAATTACCGAAGTTATTACTGATGGCATATAACGAGATGTCTTCAGGTCACATGCCTTCGACTGAGGATTGGATGCAGATCTTGGTTAGTAGAACTAAACCAAGCCCTGACGTTCAGCCTCTGGAAATGGGGACGCAAACTCCAAGTCCCACTGAGGACCAGCCACAGGGTTCTCAGCAGCAGCCACAGGCAACCCAGCAGGCACTGGGCTCGCCCGTCCAATTGCAGCAGCAGCAATCGCACACGCAGTACCATTATCCCTGCGCTACTAGCTCGGCTGTGGCTAGTCCATCTCCACTCGCGTTTAACGCGAATATGCCGATGTATACCCAGTATCCACAGGTGGCCCATGCGCAGGTGGCTGGCATCCACCCTGGTCAGCAGGACCAGCAGGACCAGCAGCAGCAGCACCAGTCATATCAGCCGTACCAGATGTACGTTAGCGCTTCCGCTAGCACTGCCGGCGGTGGCACGCAGTTCCACCAGCCACAGTACCCTCTGCCTCCTTTGCCTAAGGTTAGTAGTGATTTCCCGATTTCCCTGCCCCATCCACTCCTAATCCAACCCACCAGCCAATCTGCCAATTTCTTTTCTGCGCGTTCCCGATCTTCGTCCCCAATTCAACTCTTCCCACTGTCCTACCGCAGCCATATATGCGTCAACGCCAACGAACTCACACGGTGACCACCAGGCACGATCGGTAACCCACCCCACCGAACATTCCGACGCACTCTTATCACCCGAGAATAGCTTCGTTTCTCAGTCTTCCGTCTATTCTCCACACCCACTCCTCACTCCTCCCTCCTTCGACGTCTCTGGAAAAACCGCCAACATTTCTTTCCAGCAGACCCCCCACCACCGCGCGGTCGCCGCGGGCGTCGTCGTCAACGGTAATTCGAGCGCGCTGAACACCCCGCGCACGGGTCCGACGACTACCCCGGCCACCCCGGTGACGATGCCCACCAACGAGATCGCTCCCTCCGGATCTCTTCGCTCGCCTCCCGAGGCCATCTACGCCACCTTCGACGAGCTGATCGGCTCAATTCAGCGCGTTGCGAAGGATCAGGGATACGGCATCGTCAAACTTCGGGCTAGCAACTATCGCGACCACAAACCGACGCGTTACGACCTAGTCTGCGATCGTGGCGGCGTGAAGTACAACAGCACCGCGAAGAAACGCAATCCAAGCACTAGGAAGGTGGATTGCCCTTGGCGCGCGAAGGCTGTCTGCGAGGTTCAGCTTCAGAACCAGTGGCGCTTTCAGGTGCAGTGTGACCAGCACAACCACGAGCCCCGGATTCAGAGCGGCAATCCCGGGCAAGAGAACACCCCGACCGCACAGAGTATCCGCAGCTTCACCAACAAGCTGGATCGGATGAATCACGAGCTCTTCCAGGCTATGGAGCGTCTCGAACAACACCTAGATCGCATCGAGAAGAAGGTGGACGGTATGGATGCGCACCTCCACTCCGTCGACAATCGTCTGACCAACTTGGAATCTCGCGGGGCTGGTATGGACGTCCCCATGGATAACATGGAAATGGGAGGACCCATGTTGGATGGTCCCGTGATGTAGGGCTATAATCGGGCCTCGATGGATATAATCGCCGCATATTCGACTAGGATGGGACGATACCGATGCTAGAGTGACTAAGCTCGGCGTGCGACGAACGGTATCGTGACGGGAAAGAAGGAACAGAACAGACGCGAATTACTTCACTAGGTTAGGTACATTGGCGTTTATAGGGAAAGGGCTTAATTTGCGAATGACCTGCATTGCGATGCGATGCATTGCTTGGTGGCACTTTGACTGTGATGGCGAGGGAAAAGTAGTTCCTGGTTTCTGGCCTTCTGGTTATCTATTAAGGCGTATGGCAAGTGAGCAGTAAATTACTAATTCTTTTAAGGCGGCTCGATGGCTTTGGTAAACGCGGAATACGGCAACGAGCTTCACCACTCCTGCGTCTAGAAGCGTCTGGTATCAACGGTATCAACGGTTTTCCTTCGACTCGAAACATGGTTCGCATCGGATTTCGATTCGCTTTTCTGGTTCGGTCGAATACATCAAAGGCTGCTGCTTAATGTTAGATGATGGAAGCAAGGTTCAATACTATCAGACGTCGTAGTTCACTAACCTTACCATCTTTGGGAGGTTATGATACTACCTAGATACCACAACGACGCTTTCTACAAGAGCCATAACAAAATGTATATGTTCTATTCAACATACCACGTCTCTTTGGTGCGGCGTAGTGATTTGGTGACGTTCGATATTGGTAAACGTGAGCCTTAAGGTAGTGAAGTTGTTTGTTCTTAACCCTGACGAAGGATGGCTACCTAGCACGTAAAACCCCCGAAATACTGATATTCCTTCCGATTGGGTGGGACAGCAAATCTGATTCCTGAAATGGCAAGACAGTGTGCCTACTGTAAGTGCTTATGGACGACTATATGCACCAGCCGAGGGACTGGGCTCGATCTAAGCTAAAAGGCTGTTAATTCCTTCACTGTACAGAAATCGAACGCCGATCCCTGATCACGGCACACCTAGTTGCGGATCCAGGTTGAACCGTTCCTCAGGCTGAAAACGTACCTACCTATTTTCTTCCTGTATGACCTTGTGGCTATTGTTGCTTTCTAACTTTCTTCCTCTTTTTTCTTGCGAGTATTTTTGATCATTGGAATCTCCGATGAACTCGGCAGATGCAGAAAATTCGTTTCGGTCCTGTTCTTGGCAGAGCCCCTAAACCCGAGCTTGAAGCTTCTTAGCTAGAGTGACGGTCGCTGCCCAGCCGTCAGGCATTTTCTTCAATCTCCACGAGATATCAAATTTGCTTTATATCTGCATATCACTGACTACTGGAGACTGGCTCAACTTATAACACTATGGATCTTGTCTATAACTACCTACCTAGGTAGACACTTCACTGCTACAACGGATACCGGAGAGTTAGGGCTCGACACCGGAGTAGGAGCCTGAGAAACGGCTACTACATCCAAGACAGCAGGCGCTCAAATGTCCCAATTCCGATACGGAGAGGTGTACGTGAACCCTTATCTATTTTCCCTTTTGATTCTTAGCGACTTTTACGAACTATATGGTTTTCCAGAGTGTCGATAGATACCGATACAGGGCTCTTTTGGGTCTTGAAGTTGAAATGAATAAAAGTTAAATCCCTAAACGAGGAACCATTGGAGGGCAAATCTGGTGCCAGTAGCCGCGGTGATTCCAGCTCCAATGGCGTACATTTAACTTGTTGCAGTTGAAAAGCTCGTAGTTGAACTTTGAGTGTCCTCTACAAGCTGGGTACCGACCTGTAGGGAATTACCTATGGAATACCAAAATTTTGACCTATGTGCGGTTGCGTATAATCAACCAAATGAAGCCATGTAGATGACCTTATACTGTATAACTTAAGGAAAGACATGTCCTTAAGCGCCTGGGAAACAAATGTCAAGCAACCCCCCATTTACCTACCTGGTAGGTATGTTCGTGTGCATCCGTCAAGGATAGGAAGAAATAGGGGGTATAGAGTTTGGGGTAACAATTGATGTGACTTCATTCCTGCTCGACCATTACATTTGGTAAAGTGACCCCTTTCCGTTGGTATACGTATACTAGGCGCTTAGGCAGGTACTTATGTTCACAGCTGCAAGCCCATCCTAATTAAGAACAGATGTCTATCCCACTATATTCTATTCACACCTCCAAAGACCTAATTCTCTCGACAGGGATAGAGCCGCGTGTGTTGAATGCGGCCCATTGTGTGGCCTCATATAGAGGCTCTCGTCCGGTTGGGCCTCTATTTTCTATCACTCATCTGAAAGATGAAGAGTCAGGTATGGTGTGGTAGTTCCTGGCATATTTGGTAATCTCGGCCGGTGTTATACTATGAGACATGAAGCTGTGAAATGCAACCAGTTCTGACAAATAGCACGTCTAATCACGGCCGAATTCTTCAAGTTTATGTGATGAGATCTTGGATCCATCTGCGCCATAGACGAACAACATTTCATCTCTTGTCATCAGACCCCTCCTATAGATGCATGTCTTGGCCGTCGTTCATGCTTTCCTCCCATCTTTTCACCTGACCTCGATAATTCTCCGCAACTGCCGCAATGCGTAGGCGCACGACCTACACACTGATCAGCGAAATATTCCTAGGGAATCTCCCTGTTTCGACGTGCCGTGCTTTGATGCGGATGTTAAGACAACTAACTACACGGGCCGGAGCGTGAAAACGTGGTACCAAGAGATGCGATTTAATAAAACACGATTTATTAATACAACTTCCTTCGTCTGTGCTCGAGCCTCGAGGACGATAACGGGTCGAAGAACATCGTCTTTCTCAACTCCACTTTTTGCCACTCGCATGAAGCACTTAGTGGCTGTGAAGCATGCTGTCTAGCAGTTCTAGGTGGATGGCTAGAGTTGCTATGACCTGATCAATAACTAGTTCGAGCTAGACTCTGGCTTAGTGACGCGCTGCTAGGGCCTGGGTATACACTATTCCAAAAACCCTAACCATTACCGGCCGGAGATTGCCTTATTATACTGTAGGGAGATCATATCAACGGTGCGTTGCCCAGTGAGTCGCGAACCGTGCAAATGGAGTGTGCGGTAACATCTCCACGTGAATAACTGTGGCCATTGCGTCAGTCTGGGGATGGCGAACCATTGTTAATCTTTGGAAGAACATAAGAGACAGTCAATGCTCTCCTTGCTAGATTATCTAGATATGTATGTAATTATAACTTGGGTAGGTACACTACGTACGAATCTAGAAGATAGCATGAATTCTTGGCCTGAGCGGTGTATGCCCGTGCTGTGTTTAGATGTGTTTAGATGCTTTCTTGCGTTACATCGTCTATAGAAGAGATCCATCTGCCTAACTCGATTGTTAATTGGCAGGACCGATATGCCAATCATTGTCACAAGTAGGCAGTTGATCTTTGGGTCTAGAATACAAAAGGGTAGTAGCGTAGAGACCTGACAGCTTCGTATCTATCAGGTATATAGAGCATTCGATGACGACAGACTTGGCTACATACTATTAATATGTACATAGTAAATAGCAGGCTCTTTCAGTGTCGACTAGTTAAAGTCCCAGAGTATTCCGGTCGTATCTCCTGCTTAAGGCGCTGTCGAGATAAATCCTTAAAAGATAACGTTAACCACGCATCGTACATTATCTTGATGTCTATTCGAGTTAGTAGAAGTACGGAATATACTCATATATAAATCATGGACATTCATCGTCTTACCGTGCCGTGTCTTGCTCTTGCAGTCTTAGAGGTCCGAAAACAAGACCCGGCTCAATAAAACCGCACCGGACGATCCGGACCGGGGCCACTAGTTGGATGTCACTGATGTCTGAATGTGAGGCAAGTTTCCTCGGTTCCTTGCCGACGATTTTGGTTTAGCTAGCCTATTAACGTCGTCTGCTGGCTGGGTGCTTCATCTCTCGAGTGGGGGAAACCGTCTTCGACCAAGTCTTGACAGGCCAAAGATCGTCAATGATACCCTTGAGGTCCCGCTTCAGGGGAACTAATACCCCAGCTTGCCGACGCGTTCTCCTACACGTGTATACGAACCTGGTTAGCACATTGGGTCAATGCGACGAAAATTTTCCGTTGCTTGCAGACGACTGTATCGTTGTGCACACTGCAAACAGGCGGGGGTTCGCCTTGTCACCGCTGCTTGTAGACGATTGATATGGATCAGATCTTCCTCTAGAAGTCGGAAATCATGTGTTGAAGAACTAGCTTTCTTTCTTTCTGGTAGACGCCATTGTATATTATTCACATCATATTAAGTCGCAGGTCATATTATCGACGTCAACCAGAAATCGTTCATCCTTGAAGGTGCTTGTTGAGCCTCGTCCACTTATCTGTTGAACCCGTCTGCTCATGCCCCCTAGGCGCTGTTTCGCCATAAGAAAGTCCCTGCGCATACCTGCCGGGTCCCTGGTATGATATAGTTATCATATCGCAGGGTTTATATGTTGCCGCGACAGGGCTCATTTGTGAAAATAGATCTAGACTTATGTAAACCTCAGGTTCGACCTCTTCGGCCATCAGTCCTGTTCTCTGAGATTCAATGTTCGTGAACGATTGATGGGCCGTACCTCTCTATCAATTCCACGTTCCGACTAAAGCAGCCTCGGCCCTCTGCTCGACTCATCCGGCTGTTATGCGAACGTTATGACATTCATCTTCCCCCTCGAGACCCACGACCAGAGGGCTATTGTGATCTGTGGGATCGTGTTTGGTCTCCTACCGACGATAATCGTTTTTCTGCGCATCTTAGCTAGACGTAAGACGCATCGAGCGCTTGACACGAGCGACTATCTGATCATTACGTCGTGTGTACGTTAGAACAGTCCTCGCTAGGAGTTCGGCGAGGAAACCTCCTTTTCGACAATTACTGACGTCGCGTCCTAGTTTTTCACCGTTGTCTATCAGGGCGTGGCTGTCTCATGTTCGTGTCTGCCCTTTCATACTAGGATTTGTACTCGAATGCGGTAGCTAACCCTCGATGCTTAGCGGTCCTTGTCGGTGGCGTAGGCATTCATGTGCAGGACATAAAAGATAGATTCGGCATCGAAGATGGTGCGACGTTGTTCCTCAAGGTACGCTATCCTGTTGACACTTGGGTTAATTTGCAATCAACTACCTCGACTTACTGACATTTACTGCGACGTTTAGCATTTGATAGCCATCCAAGTATTATGGGCACTCAGTCTTAGCCTGTGTAGGATCTCCATCATCCACCTATTTTCGAAGATCTTCCTGGTTCAAAGCTTTATTGTCATAGCCAGGGCTACTTACGTGCTAGTCATCCTATGGTATGTGCCTATGATATAGGATATTTCATTCCCCGAACGTCAGACTATATAGATTTTATAGGTTGTGCCGAAAAAGCGCTGACAGGTCGGAACAAAAAGGGCTTTGGCTGCCATATTTAGCGCCTTTCTACTCTGCCAACCCTTTGCGTTTAGCTGGGATAGATCGATCGAGGGAGGGACATGCGGCAATGCGATGATATCATGGATCACGACGGGAGTTCTCAGTATGGTTTCTGACTTGATCCTCCTTGTCATGCCGATGCCCTACCTGCTAGGGTTGGAAGTATCGTGGCGGAAGCGGTTGCTACTGGCAGCAACTTTCAGTATAGGGATATTGTGAGTATTGCGAATTTAACTTAGGTGCCATACCTTGTGCGCATTACTAACTTGCAGTTCGCCAACAGGACTTGCGTCGTCAGTATAGTACGCATCGACATGATGACTATGATTGACTTCGACGACGTAACGTTCACGATACCGCATACTGTGTTATTTAGCGCGCTCGAGCCCTGTATTGCTGTCACGTTATCGTGCATAATTATTTTACGCCCCCTTTTCGGCGGCCGGTATTCGCCGGATCACCCAACAGCTTACAATAATCCATCTGTCGATGCATTAGCGAGGAAGAATAGCAATCGACGTTTCAAGCAGCTCAACGATGATTCATCCGAAACAAGATTACGACCGGAAGATGTTGGATATCGAGCATCCATCGCGAAGTCACCCGAACCTTTTAAAGGGTTCGGTAATATGGGAGACATTGCTCTCGAAATGGGATCGATTTCGATAAAGCATGAATGGACCGTAAAGGAAGAGCGGCGGCCAACGAGTTCGACGACCCAGAAAGCGAAGAGCTGAATAGAAGAGCGCGATCATGTACTCCACCACCAAATTCTCGATCTAAACAGAAAAAATTAAAATATCGTGTAGCAGCTGAAGTGTATCACTGGAATGACCCATGAACGCTGTGGTGAATTATTAATTCTGATCTTAGCGTTACTAATAATTTAAAGCCCAATTTCCGAATTGACTACCCCTTTATCTAGGCGATCCTCTTTGTAGATGAGGGTGTACATCTACGAAATATTTTTAAAAATTCGCAAGAAGGTATTTAATTCCTTCCCAGATCTCGATACCGGTAGGTAGAATTTGGTCAGCGGGTAGGGTGAACCCGTTGCGGCCAGTGTCTCGCAGCTCAATGGCCCATCTTGTTTTCGGTTAGCACACGGACGAACACTTCTAACTATGGCTCTGAGCATCAAGACACTCTACTCACCCGTATTCTGCTTTATTGATATCGGTCACGTAATCATTACTACCCCCGGCAGTAGCGTATAAGGTAGCACATGTCGGACCAGCAGTAAAGCGCGTGCCGTACGGCTTTGCGATGGCCGTAGCGAGACTCTTGGCCAATGAGTTCTGTTTATCCTGGTTTGATGCCGCTGCCGTGCACGAATAGCCGTAAGGCCTATAAGATTCGAGTGAGCTTGGTTCACCAGAGTTGCACGGTGTTCCGTATACAGAAAGGGGCAATGTATGAACATAGGGATTGGATATCTGCGGAATGTCGTAATATTTGAGAAGTCGAGTCCCGAACTTACGTCAGGATATATTGGCCATAGCTGTGCCAATCAACGTACAGCTTGATGCCGGTCGTGTTGGTTAATTGATCGCCCAAGGCTATAATCAATAAGTCAATGCCACCAAAAATTAGCGTATAGATCAGATCTTACTTCGAATTCCGGTGTTCTCAGGAGTGTCACCAGCCGCAGCACCCCGGTACCTAGGCGAATTTGTTAGTTACAACCCCCCTTATATCCAACACGTCATTTGCCAAATGAAGGGAAGCAAACAGGGTTTATGGCAACCTCAAGCGAAGTACTATGTTGCTCTACCGTTGGGTACTCACGTTTCTGTACCCAGAATAGTCTGTTAGCGAGCCTTCGCGATGCAATGGGTTAGTCAAAAGGTTGACTCACCGGAACCAGGGCTTGTGGAGGATCCTTCGCCATCCCACTTCCATGGCCAATTGCGGTTGACATCAGTGCCTACAGCAGAGGTGCCAGATCGAGTCTGTCTGTTTTTACGCCATAATCGGTTGGTAGTCTGGCTATAAAGAAAACCTGATGGACGTTAGCCGAGATTTAGAACAGAGACTCCGGACTAACTCACCGTCAGGGTTAACAATGGGAAGGATGTAGAAGTCGTAGTTGTCGAGGAAGCCCTTTATAGTTGTATCGTTGCTATAGTTAGCAACCAGTTGATAGGTGAGGTACTCGACAACCTAAATCACCCCGTTAGCTCATGCAACTAATCCAACTAATCCAACTAATGTATTTTGTGCTTTACCTTCGAGGAAATCCATTCACGAGCGTGTACATTGCCGTGCCAAATGATGGCGGGCTTCGATCCTTTGCCACCGCTTCCCCAAAGGTGGATACCCTGAATATCACGGCCTTCGAAGGATTTTCCGGCTGTAATGAGCTCCGAATTTGATGAGAATGATGACTGGATGTCTGATAAAAAGGTCAAGTGGTCGGCGTAGGCGTGATACGCGCTGAACCACGAAAAGTCCGGAAGAGCAGCTGCGCTCAGTTCTCGTGCTATGTGCGACATTAGGCTACATCTACCTCCTTGATCACACAAATGATACTACGCACCGGGATATTCGGCAAGATCGCCCTCGAGAGCGATATCAGCCCCGAGATCTTCGCTGAGCACTGTCGAGGTGAAGTTCAGCGCTTCGAACGCAGAGAGGTTCTCCGGTGGGACCGCAACATCAAAGTGCTCTTCGTCAATGTGACCATGGTTATGTGTAAGGTCGATAGCTTCCATAGACTCCAGATGGGATTCGAAAGCAGGAATGTCATCCCCCGGGGTCACACGAAAGACCTTGTAGCCATCGTACACGACTTTACCCCGTCGGTCAAGCCGTAGGGTGGCCGCCAAGGGAGCGGCCAGCAAGACGTACTGAAGAAACTTCATGATGGCGGTCGCGAGCTAAGATGGACAATCTTCAAGGACGTATTGAAGTCGAAAATTGAGATGCGAGAATACACTTTATGTTTGGATCCATGGTGACACCGCTCTGATGCAATGACATCCAGATCCATGGTGACTGACGGACGGGCTATGCATCTCCCCGATGGGGCAGGTCACCCTCGCATTCAGACGGTGATCTAGAACAATAAGCTTTAGCCTAGCTCGTGTGAGTGATGGGATTTGCGGGCTTGACTGTCGGTTGCAGAAGGTCCCAAGAGCAACTGCGGAGGAAAGATAGGGAACCTTGGAAGTCGTGGCATCGCCAAGCATCGCGACTAGGGGAAACACCCCGAGTTACACTCAGCATTTAGCCTACCGACGATGCTGGCATCAATGATATACGTAGTTGCACAAGGTAGTATGGGAAGGTCGAATGGAGGTCATTGGTCAAGGGCTAGGTAGGTACCGGTACCGAACTTGTTTGTTAGGCTCGGCATGCCGAGACTTGTAGCTAAACGACAAGAACCAAACGAGGAAGGAAGTTCGAGGGTATTGTAAACGCTCAAATCCCCGCATATCTAAGATGCGGTCGCCAGCCGTGAACCCCTGCTCGGCACTGAAACCCTGTCTACCCAGCTTCCTACCTTTCTCTAGGACGCAAGCATCACGTAATTGTAGAACCCTGGGAATTGGCGCTTGCAACTACAAAAATACGATATCGTAAGAGCCAAGGCTAAGCTAAACTCTCATGAGTTATCATTTAGAGACGTGAGCTAGCGGAATGAAAATCTTCAGAAGAGATATCTGAGTTGACTGCTCCTCCTTAATTGAGGCCTTCTAAACACTTGCTATTGCTAGAGTTAGATTATTATGAATACCCTCGAACTACCTATCCACGACCAAGCGACTAAAGGAGTTCTCGTCATCAACGGCTTGGCATACCTGCCTACCTAGGTAAGTTTGGCAAACAAAATAATTATTATAGCGTGGTTAAGTTTCACCTGAGATAGGTATAAATAACATGAGCTGTTAAACCGAGTACGACTAACAGACATAATTCAACATGATTTCCGTCTCGATAGGGATGAATGGTATACTGTGAGAAATATTGACTTTCAGGTGGCTGTTGCAGTGAGGGTGAATTTTATGAACTCAGATGTTGCAGAGAAAGTTGTACAATAACAGATGGATAAGCAGTACCGGTATGTGCTATTTCGAGAGGTTGCAAGGCGCACCTCGTTTTTGATAGGGGTACATAATTGAGCTGGGTTGCTTTTCAGCGCCCCTAGTAGCGATTAATGATATCCTACAGGGCGTCTTCAGCTTACATCTGGAGCTTCTAAGCGACCTGGCCAGCTAGCTGGAGTAAAATAACCAGCCGGCCATCGTCTCAAGTGGGCGCCTATGAAAAAGGGGCCAGATCGATCTCCAATCCTAGCGACAATCAGCTCTTGCGACGGACAATGTTTCATCAACTTTGCCTGGCCCTGAGATAACCGCATCTGATAGACGTCCCTTTTCTTCAACCCCTTCTGCAACCATGAAATATGCGAAGCTCAGAGTTGCCGCCAAATCTTCATTCGAGCTCGCTACGCGAGGAGAGCCACGGAGACATCTCAGGCTCCGAAGGAGCCGCCGTGAAACTTGTCGAAACTCTTCATCTAAGAAAAGGAGTCGGCGAACTCCCTGATGGCATCTTATTTTCGCGATGCAGATGCGTTCCATCATATGGGAATAGTAAGCCCACGGTGAGGCGCAGAATATATATAACTATGCTGCCCTTGGTGTTGCCCTTGGTGAGGCCGCACGATGTTATCACGCTCTCTTCCTGCGGTTACGTCGCTGAGTTCTTGATGAATTCATTTGCCCTTTTCCTCTTGTTCGATTCTCAATCCTGTCGTGCAGGCCTTTCCGTTCGTTTCGCATTGTTATTCGATTTCTCTTCGTTTAGCTTTAGAAGCCATTCCGACCTTAGTTTGGGATAATTGAGCAATTGTGAATGATATTGTTGAGCTTTTGATGCTGATCATTATGTACTCGTCTGTCCTTGCCCTTCTTGGCCTCCAGTCCTTTGTGGCTGCATCGCCGATTATGCCTCTGTCTTTATCGCGAAGAAACGTGACAGCTCTTGACCTGGCGGCCTTCCAAGAAGCCCAACAACCAGACTACACGGCAACAAAGGTCCTCTCCGGGACACAAATACGGGTGTGTATCTCCTAACCCGTCAGGGATTGCACGATGCTGACTAGTAATATCATAGACATCGGATGGGCGATGTTTATTTGTCGACGAGCTATCGGGGGATTTCCGAGCTAACCTCACCCCGGTACAAGTGGCGGAGTGCGACAGTACGGACGGTCAGGGATGGGATGTCATAACAGCCGGCAAGCATAATAATGTTCAGGGCTCAGCGCTCATTGTTAGCACTCTAGTCAGTATTCCATCTTGATCCTATACGTCTCGTTCTCTAAGAGATTCACCAGACAAACGCTTGCTTTAACTTCGATCCACGACGCGCAAGTGGTAATCAAGTCATCCTCTTCAGCTGCGGAGGTCGCGCAGATGGTGGTGGCGACGTTACTGATTCCCAGCTGTTCCCTTTCAACAGCAGTACCGGACCGATCACATTTACACCCGAGAACGATTTACAGTCATGCTTCGCCGTTAAGGGGAACGTTATTGATGTCGCACCTTGTGCTGCTGGAAATTCCGAGCAGCAGTTTACATTTAGTGGCAGCGCACCGACTGGCCAAACCACCACCCAAGTATCGCAGACCGTTACCGTCACAGCGACCTCACAGAGCTCAAGCACAACGCTTATCACATCTGCGTCGGAGACTACTTCTTCACCAGCAGTAACGACTGATGCGGCAGTTGGAGGAATCCCCAATCCCACAGAATCTGTGCCCGTGTCGCGCGCGGGTGGCGTACTTCAACCTACTGCAGTAGCAGAAGCCCAGGAAAGAGACGACACTGCGACACGCGCTTTTACAGCCGTCAGTATAAAGGCGCCAAACGGCCAGTGTCTCTTCATCGATCCAACGGCGGGGGATTTCCGCGAGAATTTGATCCCTGTCTCTTTGGTGAATTGTGCCGGGACGCCCAATGAGAAGTTCGATGTTATCACCACCGGGAAACATAACAACGTTCAAGGATCGGCCTTAATCGTGAGTAGTTTGGTAAGTCGTCTCTTAGAACCGCATCCATACATAGGTAGATAAATCGGGCTGATCTAACACTCCCTTAAGACAAATGGCTGTATCAGCTTCGACGGGCGTCGTCCAGCCGGCGACACGGTGACTTTGTTCTCTTGCGGAGGACGAGCAGATGGAGGTTTGTTATTATGTTTCCTCGAAAATATGTCCTTGCACTAAATCCTGATTAGGTGGCGACACAAACGACGGTCAATTGGTTCCATTCACGGGCGGAACCAGTCTCGTCTTTGCGCCCGAGAGTGAGCGTAACGCAACTTGCGTTGTGGCTGGAGATAGTCGGCTTGATTCTGCTCCATGTGCCAATGATGGTTCACAAGCTTTCACCATCCTAGCATAAGAAGGTCGCGGATCGCATTTCCTGAGGTTGGTGCTGCTCACAAAATTAAAGGGGTTTGCCATTCTCTGTATAAATACCAGATTCATTACATACATCTTTCGAAAGCACGTTGTATTGATTAAACCAACCTCGTGTGTATACCATACAGCTGTATGCTATCATGCTTTCTCCGCCGAGATTCATACCCTTTGTTCCTTACGATCGATGCGTCGTGTCAAACTGACTCTCCTTAACTAGCCACTTCTCCATCGTTAGCATCTCGGGATGATCCTTGCGTCTAGCCGCGATGTCCGCCTTGTATCCATCACTCGCGAACCAGCCGATCATCAGGGATAACTCAGTGGCCAAATAAGTCAACACACTGCCGAAGAACCAGTAGGTTACCGGAACCGGAGATCTCGTCGCCTTGATCCAAGACGCGTTGAGATCCTCCCACGATAGCTGATCGCCCGCAAGCCCAACGGCCTTTCGGTTCCAATGCTCGGGGTCGGTGAACGATTTCATCGCAAAAACCCCGATGTCGGACGGAGCAACCCACTGCAGAGGTTTGTTTCCAAGGTGGTTATGTAAGGCAGCCATGAAGACCTTCATCGGAAAGCCGGGAGTCAGGTTGTCCATGAATGCGACGGGACGCAGGATCGTCCAGCCCATGTTCTCGCCCGGCTTTCCCGAGCTTGTGACATCTCGGAGGTGTCGTTCGATATGGTACTTGGACTGGAAGTGAGGGATTGGGGTCGGGTTGTTCCACGATGCTTCATCGCCGCCGCGTTCAACGCTACCGTACACGAAGTGCTTCACACCAGCCTTTATTGATTCATCGATAAGGGCCTTTCCCTGGGCAATTTCGCCTTCGAGGGTCACCCCCGACCCTATCGAGATCTGGACCGAGTAGACGCCCCAGATGGGTTGCGAATGAGTCTTTCGGGCTTCTTGGAAGAGGCTCGGGACATCGTTGAGATTGCCCTGCACGAGCTTGATCGAGGGCGATTTCTCCGCCAGGCGCTGAGAACTGGGGCTATTGGCATCGCGTGTAACGGCGAGTATGGTGAACTTATCACGAGCCCGGTTGAGAAGTGCCTCGATTACGGCGCCTCCCTGATGGCCCGTGGCGCCTGTGATGAGGAGGACTTTGGATGACATGTTGAATTGCCGTTACTTGTGGAGTTAAATTAGCAACGTGTCTGTTGAGCTAAGAACATCAAGAAATGGCTAAGAATTATTAAGTCCGCCCATTTTATTGAAGGACAGTCGCGTCCGCATACGTAAACAACCTATCAAAGTTTGGCTGGGGGAGTCGGCTCGACCCCCTTGGCAAACCCCCCCTTCTGCCCCTTTCGGCGAACTCAAGCCAGGGAGGCTACTTAGGAGATAAGATGCCGTGCCAAAACCTTTCGAGCAAGGCCTGCCTTAACCTAACCTTCGTGTAGGCTAAACGCCTCGTAACACAGCGCTGGCCCGATTTGGGGACTTGCGGGAGATTTTTTTCATGGATTTATTAGGTCCCTCCCGTCCGATGTCTCACATACCCTGCCAGGTCTCACTTGATCAACATATCCCGTCGACGATCGCCACCCAGTGGCGGCAGCAAATTTGCGCCCCAAATTCCCAAATCGAGCCCCCCTACGATCTACATACATACGTCGCCTCGCTAGAGCACGCCCTCTCTCGGCCGTCGCAATGGACGAGGCCCGCGTCCAGGCCCACGCCCGCCGACTCACGGTTAACGCGCTGCTGGACGGCTATGGGAGCCTCTCGGTCCCGCAGCTTCTCAGGACCATGGCGCCGGAATTTCATCACCAAGTCCTACCAGAGAGCCTGGGCATGAAGCCTCGGAATAGGGAGGCGTTCGCGCAGCACGCGGCCGGGATATTCAGCATATTCGACGAATTCAGGATGGTGCCAAAGTCAATCATCGACGACGGACCCGGGAACATGGCGGTGGTCCACGCACGGATGCAAGGGATACTTAAAGGCGGAGCTGGGGAGTGGATAAACGAGTGTGTGATGATGATCCAGCTTTCCCGGGATGGGAGCCAGGTCGTCAGGATCATAGAGTTCGTCGACAGCGCGAAGGCGTTAGAGATGGCCCGGAAGCACGCACCGGATGATTTTGGGTGTAACAGCACAGAACCTATAGGTAGTCGGAGGGGAAGAAAGAATAAGGGGGAAGAGGACGAGACGGCGGACTCTAAGTCGATGACGTTATTGTTTGGGCTAGGGCTTGCCCAGGTTATTGTTGTAATATTCTTACTGTATCTGGCTCAAGGTTGGGTCTTTTGACTTTGATGCACTTGAGGGAGTCCGAGACATTTTGGGACTAGGTGTATCCGCCAACGTTTAGAGTGTACCCCTTTTCCGAGGCGTCGTAGGTGGGCGTGGGGTGCTTTTGCTTCCATACAAGCTTTGTTCAGATACCTAGGTAAATTTTTTGAATTGATTAACACATCGGAGTTTGTCGTATGAGTATGCTCAGTTGATTCACACCGTCTCCTCCCACCGCACCTTTTCTTGAAATCATATACGGCTTAGTTGACGCGCACTTATTTAATTAGGATAAGTACCTTAATCTACGTAAGTATAAACTTGGTACCTAGCTAGGTAGGTAGGTAGGTAGGTAGAGGGTCGTGAAACAAAATATCTAATAGTAACTCCCAACTCCCCTTCCAACCCAAAGTAAACCGCCGAACGGATACCGGTACATATGGAATGCAAAGAAGATAGTATCGTCAAGGAGGGGTACATAGTAGCGAGGTTGAAGAATAACTAGTAGCTTTCATATCCCAGCATCATCGTGTCGAACGTGTCGGGTCTAATGAAAACTAGCTGGATACCTTAAGCGCACACGTCCTCATAGGTGCTCTACTCAGTGATGCTTCAGCAGCTGGGATAGCGCCAGCGTACCAGCGACAACGGGGGTGATGAGGCGGACGGTGTTGAACTTGATCCATTGGCGCACGTAGTTCTCAGCTTGCTTAGGGTCTGATTTGCCGCTCTTGGGTTCGCGCAGGGCATCGATCTTCGCGTTGATCGGCTGCAGGTTTGCTGCAGAATGCACCACCGTGATAAGGTGGCATAGCGCGGAGACGGCATATAGCCTCCAGTCGCCGAGCTTGCTGTCTGGCCCCTGGGTAGACGCTACCCAAGAGGCGTACGCGTAGCCAAAGACGCCGAACGTGCTGATGGGCCTGAAGAAATTATTACCCACAACCCAAAACACCGGCCACTGTCGACCAAGCAATCGAGCGCGAGCGGCATGGTCGGGCGACGTGGGAGGCGGAAAGTCGACTAGCAATGCGGGCCCACCCATGAATGACTGCGTGATAGCATTACCTATATGGATGCCAATGTTTAGCAGCAGTCCTGTCTAGTCCGGTCTGTCTAGTATGAACTATTTAAGTGGTAAAGCTTCACTCACCGAATAGTATGAAGGAAAAAGCAACAGTAGTGCCAACAACGGCTTCAGCAGGGATAATACCAGCCATAGTTGACGATCGAAGTATGTCAAATACTAGTTTTGTTTCTAGCAGTGGTAACAATTGGAGTTGCTTTGTCTTGGTGTCTTAAAGAATCCTTAAAATGCAGCTACAACAGAACTGCCGGAAGATTTATATACCTATACCCTTTATGTCATCGGCGTTGAGGATTCTGACGAAGCTCTGTAAACGTCAGTGTGTGCGTTTCGAGCGGAGCTTCGCGTGAGACGGAGGTGTTCGCTCATCGCTCGACGCCGTAAATCCGCGCTGGTGGTATGACAATGAAACGCTCTATCAACGGATCATAAATCACTGAAGCTTGTATGGCCTTGTTTAGGAATGATCAGTCGAACTTCTTTGTACTCCGCAAGTACAGGTATGACAATGCTTATCGTAACGCAAGCTCTGGACACCTAGATGGGGTGCCTTGGCGTCTTAGAAGGCGTCTTAGAAGGCGTCTTAGGGGGTTTGGTAGGTGTTTAGGTCAGGCTCCGTCGGTGCCGAGAGCCTAGGTCGTATAAGCGCCGAAGCTTGCGTTGATTGCGTCGGTCGACAGGTCAAGTTCTTACCGGCCTTTTCTTACCGGCCACTTGCCGCTGTGTACCGCCGCCATAGCCGCCGTCATCTCGATAACGATGGATAGCAGTTAAATGCCGCCCGTAGATTACTCAGCCAGAACTGTGTCGGTTAGAGTAGAGACCGTTACTCCGTCTATAATTGATTTTGAGAGATTAATAACACGGCAACCCCCTTCGACAGTCCTTACTATGTAGATGTAGGTGGCAATTACCCACAGGCATGCGTATCCGGATGGGCTAACGGTACCTGACTAATTTTCCATCTCACATAAAATAGGATGATAGGTGGCGGGTTTATGTACGTTGATCGCTAATACCTACATATGTACCTCCGACGTATGTCGAGTAACCAACACAGTTAACATCCCTTTCGATATCGAAGCTCCGTGAGATTGGTAACCTATGGAATATTCACTATGGAATATTTACGACAGGGCAATCGCGAATAGCTTCATTCTTTACGAGGTTTCTATAAGCAGATAATGGATGTAATGCAATACAATTTATGGTTTTATGGCTAGCTAATTATGTCTATCACGTTAAATACTACAATTTCACACCGTCTCAAGTAATGCTACCTTCGCGTGAGTCTAGTTGGTATGCAATGACCGTAATTCAACCGTCTATCATCATCCCTTGCTTCATAGGCCAAGCAATATCATTCTTCATTACGCAATCTATACCTGCTCTATCTTCTCATTGCTCACTTCCGATGATGCGCCTTTAAGGAATTCCTCCTTTTCCTTCTCGTATTTCTCACTTGACTCAGCCCATAGACGTAAAGCTTCCTGCTTGCGCTCCTCGCTTCTAGGCTCGAATGCCATCTCAAACGGATCAGGCTTGATGATAAGCAGAGAGTTTGACTTGTCCGTGGGAACTGGAAGCTCCTCTCCCGTAACCGGGTCCTTCTTGGGCTTGAGGTTGAAGGCCCAGGCCAGCGCGCCGCATGCTACTATTAGTTCGTCTTGCGTGAGAGTCATCCCTAAGCACTGGCGCTGGCCCCAACCAAATGAGGTCATGCCCTTGATGGTCGGATACGTGGTTAGCGGTTCCTGGTAAGTCGGCCACGAAGGCTCTAGCCAACGTTCAGGTCGGAAGTTGTCCGGGTCAGGATATTTTTGAGGGTTACGAAGGAATGCCCTGTTTCATGTTAGTAATCAGTCGAAACATATCAGAGAGGCACAGACAACTACATACCAGTCTAGGGGGAGGATCCTTGTTCCCTTTTCGAGAAAATACCCCCGGAACTCATCGTCGGCTTCCATCTCGTGTGCAACCCCTTAACGCCTTGTGTTAGTCGATGTCATAGAGTCCAAGCACGTTTTTCAGACTTACCAGTCGGTACGTTGGGCTTCCATCGCATTGTTTCCTTGATACAAGCTCGAAGGGTCGGCAGCTTGGGAGTGTCGTCAAGAGTCGGTAGTCGTCCCTCGCAAGCCTCGTCGATTTCTTTCTGTACCGCTGCCTGCCATTTAGGATGGTGTATCATGGCTACTAGCCAGTACGATAATGGCCCGGCAATCGTGAAAATGCCAACCAAGGCCATCATCCCTATTACACAGGAGGCCTCATAATCGCCAGAAATATTCGATCGTTTCTCGCCCTTTTCCAGATACTTGCGAGTGATGCAATCTCTCTGTTTGCCCTGAGCCATCTTTTCGCGCGTGGCTAGCAGCCGGTTCATCCACATCTCTTGCTGCCTGTCGTGGCGTATGCGTTCCGCGCTCTTCCACGGATTCATGAACATAGGTAAATGCCAAAGAGGCGTCAAAACGTTAGTAATAGGACCGGCTGGAGACATCTGTCTTAACAGACCCCATGCATCTGTTATCGTCTGCTCGCTGAGATCGAGGTCGTCCCATGTCAACTGGCACATTATCTTGGCAGACATATCCTCCAGGGAAAATTGAAAGTCGTCGGGGTTCTCAATAAGCCGGGCAAGCCAGCGCTTCGATTCGTGGTACATCACACCATAGTAGTGAGCATTACTCGCTTCCATCAGAGCCGAGTGAGTAAATCGACGTTGTCGTGCCCAGTACTCTGCCTCATGTGTTACTAAGGAAACTTAGGAGATTCGTCAGAGATACTCACGGTTTCTTCCCATCAAGGGAAGGTACTCCATCGATCCATGAGTGCTCTTAGAGTCGAATAAAGACCTCACCATAGGCCTATCTGAGTTGTGCTTCGCTCGCTTCACCATCAATTCCTCAGCCACCTTCTCGTCCGAGACGACGAGGAACTTAGCGCCGAGCATCTCCGTGAAGAAGAATCCATTTTTGCCGGCGTACTGATCGGACCATTCCTTGAACTTCAGCCACATGAACTGGATAGGAAGATCATGTATGCGGCCGATGTACGGTATCAGGGTCGGACCGGGGATCTTGCCCGGATGGTTTATCTCCTTGAACAGCTTGTAGAAGTGGAAGACGACGAAGCCGACGAGGGCGACGCAGAGGACCGCCGGCGTAAACAGTTGCATGATCAACCGCTGTGAAGGAATTAGCTCTCGTGTGCGGGTGGCGGCAAGGTGCAAAACTAAGGAGTGATTGCTGGACGGAGTGACGAAGACACACTTACCCGAGTCAAAAGTATCGTAGGGCTATCATATGATTTAAACTACCTACAGTAGTACCAGGTCACTTACTGATACTTCTACTTACAGTATCTACTCTCGATGGTGGTAATAAGATAATAGCGAGGGCCGCTCGGCAAACAAGGGCGTGTGGTTCGATGTAATCCAGCCTCGATCGGGCGTCCCCTACCTAGTCTCACATCAAAGTCTCGCCGGGCATTACGTCCTATCACAGCCAGCCATGCTTGCGTATTTATGCTTTTTGAGTTCATATCTTTCTAGAACGGCTGAAGGTGTTTCTAAGAATACCTACCTACCTGAAGTCCGAAACAAAGCATGTAAACTAGCCCAAAGCTCCCCATAACGATACCTACCTAGGCAACTGTGATTCATTATCGGCGTAGGAAGACTACCTAGGTAGATAGGCTGAACGCCACCCGCATATGTCGTAGAAATGTACAATACATTGCTTGCCTAGAAAGACACTAAATAACCAAGTCCGGCTATGTAAGTCCGGATACCTATTCCACACATACCTAGGTAGGTATGAGGTAGGCAGGCTAGGCATGGAGATAAAATCACGACGCGCCATGTTGTGTTACGAGATACCTGATTACGAACTACCTACATAGGTATGTATTTGCCTGAGATCTATTTGCCCCATGAGGATGATCAAAGATATGACATGACCCTATGCGAGATGAGGCGCTGAATGTTTCCCACCGGCAATTTAAGCATCCGATCATGGCAATCTAAAGGTTACGTAAGTCGAGACGGTGGTCTAAAATGCTCTGACGATCGAACTCTGCGACTGAAATGTGGTGGATATTAATGGCCGTCTTGGCCAGGATGTATATGAACATATGAACACATCTGCTCAAACTATTGATGTGTTGCAGATCCCGCCGCGCGAATGGTGCCTTTTACTTAGGAGTATGCATGCAAGATGCCCCATCCAAAATTCCCCTGGCGGCGTCGAATGTCTTCGAGGCTTGAAAGAATTACATACGAGGTGAATCGTCGGAACGGTTGGACCCTAGGAGCGAAGAAGCGACTGGCCGTGCCTCGTTACAAGTCGGTACTAGTCCTTGAGCCGCTCTTCAATACCGATGTAAGACTAGGTAAGCAGCCCAATCAAGATTCCGTGGCATAACTTTAAAGCTTAGACGTCTCAGCCCAACAAGCAAAAGACGTTGAACGTCTGTGGTACTGGTGGGTGGCCGTAGCTGAGACCTCGCCATCAGTCGCCCTCCGCTCGTGGTTTTCTTTCTGCATCCCGCGACGAATGGATCAACAAGACTAATCGGATATTGTACGTTGGATGTTAGCTTCACGGGCTGAAGCCGGTCATCTATGCCCGTGCTCCCGTGCTAGCACCTGCAGGATGCCGGAAGTCGTCAAATATACCCATTATAGGTGCAATGTTTAGACAGGTCCTATGGCCGGTAGGATTTTTGATATTTAAGACGAATGAGATGTTGGACATGCTCGCCGCAGGTAGCATACCGTAGGATGCTAGCAATGTAAGATTTGGGGTACCGGCGAACGTCAAAAGAAAATGAGCCAATGACGTGGCCTGTCAGATTCTGCTTAGGTGGACGAAGGTGGATAGGGATATAGCTCGGGCCCGAGCAGGATTTGAAGTGTTGGAATGGGCGCGTATGGACTCCTCAGCCGCAGCAATGACGGCAGACTCGCACGGCCGACTGGCGTCAAAAGCATGGGTGATCTCCCAAGTTACACCCGGTACTCCGGTACAACTGACGCTCCCGTCCCTTTATATTGTGAGTAACATGGAGTGATTGTTGAAGCGAGCCCAACTTGGCGATCAACGTTCACTCCTAATTCGTCCTCCAACCATATTTACTTCTTCCTTGCCCTTATCAAACCGAAGCTATCAGCACTTGCTCGGTCTAGGCCGTCACGGGATGGGTTCGCTTTCTGATAATGACTGTAAGCCGGTAGGCTCGTACCCCCCCTCGGGTATCGACGTCCTCATCGTCGGCACGGGGCTTGCAGGGCTTACAGCGTCCATCGAATGCGTGCGCAAGGGCCACAACGTGCGGGTTCTCGAGCGCCACGATGACATAAACACAGCAGGTATGTTACTGAACCTCAAGATGCATTATGTAATAAGCAATATGCTGAGAAAATGGCTCTCCTACTCTAGGCGATATGTATTTCATGGGCCATAGCGCTACCAAGTTCTTTCGCCATTGGCCTGAGCTATCAAGGGAATATGAGGCGATATCCATGAACAATGCATGGATCGAGACATTCAAGCACGACGGCGAACGGGTGATTACCCCGTTGAAGGTCGCAGAACGTCTGCGTCAAGCCGGCATGGACCCAAACACCCCGCCAGGTGCCTTTCAGATGCGACCGCTCATCTACCGGATGTACCTGAACGAGGTGCAGAGGCAAGGAATTAAGATCGATTTTGGCCAGCGCGTCGTCGACTACTGGGAAGATGAGGAGCGCCAAAAGGCAGGCGTCGTGACGGCCAAGGGCGACAGGTTCGAAGCTGATGTGGTGATCGCGGCGGACGGCGTCGGCTCCAAGTGTCAGAAGCTAGTAGGCGGCCAGGTCAGGGCGATGAGCGCCGGGAGGGCCATGTGGCGCGCAGCTTTCCCAATTCACCACCTGGATAAGAACCCGGAGCTGAAAAAATTTCTCAAGATGGGTGGTCCCAACGAGGACGAGCCAATGGTGAGGACGTGGCTTGGGTGAGTGGCGTCCCTATTGCATATAGGCGTGAAAATCCCTATTTCCACTGTCGCAGAGGCTAATCATTCTCGAACCACCAGCCCGGGGACGTACGCGATGGTCCTGATTCGCAAGGAGACTTGCGTGTGGATCATGAATCACGACGTGAGCATCCCAGTCGCTTAGCTAGGCACCTACCCTAGGTATTCTTTAGCAATGCATGCTAATGAGAGACAGATTACCGGATCAGAGGAAGAGAGCTGGGTTCACACGGTCGAATGGCCCGACGTCCTGAATAACATGGACAAGGGGTTAGGCGATCGGCCATGGGATCCTAGGATCAAGGAACTCGTGAAGGTGATACCACCCAAGACAATTGTCAACTTCGAGCTATTCTGGCGTAACCCGCAACCTTCGTGGACTTCCAAGGGCGCTCGCGTGGTCCTCATGGGCGATGCTGCTCATTCTTTCCTGCCCGCCTCCGGAAACGGTGCGACGCAGGCGATTGAAGATGCCGTTTCGCTGGCCACCTGCCTTCAGATCGGAGGGAAGCAAAACATATCGGAGGCTGTTCGTACACACGTGCGTTTCCGCTTCATCCGCTGCGCCTGCGCGCAGAAGATGGGATTTGCTAACGCAGAGCTGCTGCAACACCCCGACTGGTCGAAGGTCAAGGTCAATCCGAAGTTGGCGCAGCCCAAGCTCCCAAGCTGGATTTGGAAGCACGACCCCGAGCAGTATGCTTATGAGAATTATGAAAAGATGGCCGACACCATCAGGAAAGGCATTCCCTTTGATGAAGTTGACACGGTGCCGCCTAACTACCCGCCCGGCTATAAGTACGAGTCCTGGAACATTGACGATATGCAAAAGGAGGTGGATAATGGCACGGTTGACATGGGAGGCGGGAACTGGGATTAAGAAGAGGGTTGGCTCGGCGTTCGTGATAGAGGAAGCATCCTAAAGTCTTGTTAGAGTCTCATTCGTGACTAGATTTATTTCTAGATTTCTAGATACCTGCCTACCAGGTATAGAGATTTTACGTTGAATGTCAGGTTTCCCTTCTTAAACCCGAATACGTTACTACTTAGAAAACAATACAGTACCTACCGTACCTATGCCTTCATCGTGCCCTTCTCTCACGTGATTCCCTTGCATGTTGCTCGAGCTATCACATATCATATATCATGTGAGGTTGACGGCGAGAAGGGTTTGGTGGATGCAAGGAAAATGGTCTTGAGTGGGGGTCACTCCTGTCCCGCCAGTCACTCTTTTGGATCCTTTCTTCCTCAAGGATTTCTTGATTGCCTACCAGCCGTGATTTTACCGTAAATTTTGCGGAATAAAAGAAGCTAGATTATAAATACATATTTACATATTTACATAGCTTTTTAGATTATCGTCAAGCTTTCCTACTATTTAATTATGTCTTGCGAATTCTACGCATTTTCCACTCCCGGTGCAGCAGCGGCGAGCAACTTCTCGAAGTCGGGAGTTCCCAAACCCGTAACGGGATCCCAGCCTGCGGTCGCGTTCCACCTCGCGCCGTTCGGGAAGGCAGAGTTACCTGTGCATCCACTTCCGTAGCCGGACGTTATGTCGGTCAGGGCAGCGCTGTTGTTGTACAGCCACGGGTTGAGGAATCCCAACGGCGGCTGTCCCTGGCTCTTCCGAGCGGCGTTCAGGAGAGCTACCACACCGGCGAAGACGGGACTCGAGGCGCTAGTACCGGATAGCAGGGAGGACCTTCCCTTGTCGATGACCGCGAACCGGCTTCCTTGCGCCGCAACGTCGGGGAAACCTCTGTTGGAAGCGTTGAAGTAGGCCGAGTAGGTGTTGCCGATCGATTTCAGGTACGCGTCAACGGCGTCGGCCTGCCATGCTGGCTGTGCGTGGAGGGAGCTGAAACCACCGCTCGAGAAGCTAACGGCCTGCTCGGGCGCAACGTTGTAGGTAGCGCCAACGGAGGTGACGTAGGGGCAGCCAGCAGGGAAAGACGGCTGGAAGTAAGGAGCTTGGTCGGATTCCCTAATGCACGAATCGCCGGGACCAGAGTCACCAGACGAGAACAGAACGCTGACGCCGCGAGCGCCGAGCTGCATGAACATGTTGCAGATCTTAAGGGCGTAGTCTGCCGGCACCGACTGCTCCTCCTCTCCGTAGGAAGTGGAGAGCGTCTGCGGCAGAGCCGAATCTTCCTGATCAAGGAGATACGTCAAGAATTCTAAGTAAGGCTCGTTGTACGACGGACCAGGTTCGTCAGTGGTGGGAACAAGAGGTCTTGAACGATTAATTAGCCCCATTCCTAATTTGGGGTCAGAACAGCAATAACTTACCCGCGACCACCGGTGCTATATTCAAGGATCGGGACGGGGCTGCCCATGGCCAGTATATATTGTACGTCAAGGTTGGCCTCTCCTATTTAGTGGTTTAGCAGCAATTCCCTCTGGCCACTTCTCGGTAAGGATGAGGGATTTCAACATACCACTGTCGTCACTGCTGCTTTGGTCGTTCAGACCTCCGTTAATCAGCTGAACGGTAAAGTTTTGGCCGCTAGCCTCTGTCAAGTATTGCGACTCGAACGATTGAAGGTCAGAGTATCGGGCATACTCCTCCAGGTACGAGGCGAAAGCAACCAAGTTGCCCTCGGGGGACGCGGTGTACTTGACGTTGTACAACGACTTCAAGCAGGCCGGCGTAATTCGCGCGGTGTTGCAGTCAGCGGCATCAATGGCGACATTTGCCTTGATGGCGGCTTCGTCTTCGTCTCCGAGGACTTGCATCTCGAAAATGGTCGACCTCTTCGCACCGAGCTGGCCAAACCTAGTGGTCGGTTGAATCAGGTCAATGTTTCCGGCAAGCTCGTCGGGAACGCTGTATGACAATGTCCGTAACTTGGGACTTCCACCCTTCTCGTATTGGTACCAGGCGAAATTCGCTTTCAGCAGATCATTTGCCGTCTTCACGTTGGTGGTGAAGGTGATCCAATCGTTGTTCACCGACGACTTAACGCCGCTCTCGGACAGCCAACTCACCACGGACGAAACCGATTGCTCCGTCGGCGCCGTGTAAGCTCGGACTTGGTCACGCGACATGTGCAGACCATAATTTGGGTGTCCGGGTGTCGAGATCTCCAGCACGGCCTGCTCCAACGCGGTGGCGTGTTGCTGCGGGAGACCAACGCGCAAGGTGACAGAATCGTCTGGCGAGGCTTGGCGCAATTCGGCCCAGCCCTTAGGAACCGCGGGGAGACTATCCATCACCTTGGCCGTAGCGGCCGTGGCGAAGAGGACGAGGAGAGAGCGCATGGTTGAGAATGCTCGGAGGCTTACACGGGAACGGGGAATGTTGCTTTTCCTTATTCTCCCCTTCGCCAATTGAAGGTGAAGAACGAACGAGTGATTCCTGTCGCTCCGTGAAGGGGGGAACGCGAGTAAATTAATAAACAACAGCGTAGTAGTAAGTATACGACCCCTTACATATGGCAATGGCGTGCTATAGTATATGCCATATGCCATGCCATGGCGGGCAAATTGATGGTACGGTTACATTAGGAAGCCAAGAATTGAAGACATTTCCCAATCATACCGAATTGTTCGTAATCTAAGGTTCAATCCACTCACGAAGCATTGACTTGCCAAGTCCGGGGTGATCTCCCGGCCATCCTCTTGGACTGTTACCTCGCCTAAGCTGCATCTGGCAGGAGAGTCACATTCTCGTTATGCGCAATCGCCCTGATGGCTTGATAAGGTTCTTGGTACGAGAGATCTGATCTCATGCCGGCGTAGAACCCCTCATGCGGGTATGGCGAGGGGTCACTTTCGGAATGTGGTTGTGAGGGAGGTTGGGGTCCTAAGAAATACATAGTAGAAAAGGGCTCAGTTGCGACGGGCTTAAGGTATACGGCTATTCCGGCTGGGCCTAGACCTCATTTAGAAGCAGGGAATGCTTGTTCTAGTTCGTATTTATTACTACGCTGCCCGTATTATATCTATACCTTGTTAAACCTATCGGCGTGGACCCGACGCATCTTTATACTGACCTCGTCTCGTGTCGTTGGCCATGCCAACGCATTCCAGCCATGCGTTCACTGTCTCATATCCAACAAGATCGAATTTTAGCAACGCGTTACATTGACTACCTAATTAATTCATAGGTACTTTATGGAGGTTGCCCTGATATCAGAAGAAATTCTTATGGCAAAAAGCAGCATCTATGAAATAATGTGACGGTGACGAAAAGGAGCCATTCTAGGTATTCAACGAATACTAACTCTAATAATATAATGCAGATATGATAGTCATTTTTGTAAATTTATTATAACTTGTAAAATATAAGTCTCTGGCTACCTGTCGTTAAAACCGAGATTAAGTAGGCATTTATGCTTACCTATACTCCCTTCCGGATCGTAGTACGTTTATGAGAGAAAATATACTCTTAACTCTACCTGCCGAGGTTTGATACCTACTCAGAGACGATCCAGCCACCTACTGCATCTGTAATTATTGTTACACGTCATTGCTTTGAGAGCTTTAAACTAGACACTAAGACAGGGTAATGTATGAAGATAAAAAGGCTAGCGATTTTTACAGCCCCTTCATTCACCTCATCTTGAAACTCAAGTAGGTAATATTGTCTGTATCTCATATAAATAAAAAATGTTGGCTGATTTACTTAATTGCTACATATTGTCGATGACAGCCGACTAGACTCACCAATACAGAAGGGTGATTATTCCGCATATTATTCCGCACGTTCACTGAATTTTCCCTTGATCGTCCATTTTCCCAATGACGCCCTCAAAAAGTTGTGGCAAAATTTCGGATGCGTCCCCTTGAAAAAAGAAATCCTTCTTCAACAGCCCTGCCGCGGAGTTGGGGTCCGGGTTCACCACCGCAACGACTGCTCCCTTCTTCCGGGCTTTGAGCGTGTAACCTGCGGCGGGATAGACAGCGGCCGCTGTTCCGATTACTAACATGATATCAATGTGCCCTTCTTGAATCCACTGGTCGACTTCCTCGAGCATCGCCTCGTCGAGAGGCTCCCCAAACCAGACAACTCCTGGTCTTAGGAGTCCCGTCTTGCAATTCGGGCAGTGGGGAAGATCCTCAACCTTGACGGGTGGCACAGGAACATTTGGATCGAGCAGAGGGAGCGTCTTGTCGGGCGGGTAGTCTTCGGCTGCAGGTGCAAGAGCTGGACATACCGGGTCGCTCAGGTTGTTGCGATCGATGAAACCACACTCGTCGAAGCATTTGTTATCGAGAAGACTTCCGTGGAGCAGCCGGAGCTTTGTGTCAGGATGTCCGGCGCGCGGCGAAAGACCTGATGCAGCAGTAGAAAACGTAATCAGAGGCCTGTAACAACATAGTCTTATCCCCTCATCACCAGTCGTGGACACAACCTACCGTCAACATTTTGAGTCAGGCACATAAAGTTGTCTTTCTTCTTGGCCAACTCGGCAAGGGCATAATGGCCGCGATTCGGCTTAGCCTTCAGAGCCATATGCCTGCGCCATGCGTAGAAGAGCCATACAAGAGAAGGATCTTCTTCGAAAGCGTCTGGCGTCGCAAGAGCAGTCGGTTCATGATTGCGCCACAGACCGCCAGCTCCGCGAAAGGTGGGTAGCCCCGAGGCGGCTGACAAACCGGCGCCGCAGAGAGCTAGAACGCGATTACTGGAATTAACGAGCTCCTTGAACTCGTCGATAGACGTTCGTGGGGCCATTGTTTCTGCGTGGGTTGTGTGTAGGGACCAAAATGGACGTCGTGAGACGAAGGTAGAACTAGATACCTTCAAACGGCGAGAGGACCGCGGCTGCTTTACATATTGAGAGGGGCGGAACATGCTAAGTGACCGTGGAAGCCTAGCGATAGCCCAGAGATCATCTTGCCTGCCTCGCTGCCGATGTAGGTAGGTTGGATCGTAGTAGAACCAACGCACCAATAGCTCGCGATTGTAAGGATGTCGTTTTGCGAAGTATTTAGGTGTGTAGTAACCTTGGAAGGTTGACCCCGCGAAATATGTATCCGTGGAGACGGGTGAGTCCTTGCAAGTTGTGTAGCGTTTTTTCAAGCACCTAAACCAGGTACGTAGCACGTTGTTTTATCGCGTGCATTGCCTACCGCAAATCCTTACAATATATCCATGGATGGATACATGATAAATATACTTAAGCCTTGAAGAATACTTATTATTTACTAAGTATATCTTATACTGCCTAGTTTGTGTATTCCCGGGTTACGGTAATTAATGACAAGTCACTTTTGAACGACTTACCCCTTTCATTGCAGAACAAAAGCCACTCTCGCGACCGCTGCCTACCTAATAGACCCCTATACAAACCTGACCTTTTCAACCGCGTTTCTTTATCATGAGTCCATCACCCTGTATCTAAACAAGCATTGCAGAGACTCCTTGTATTACTCGGGAAAGACAGGTAATAGACTCTCAAGGGTTTCTTTCTTAGCAGATCACGTACGTACGAATGTTTTAACTCCGGAATCACCAAGAAAATGTAGCGACACAATGCTAATACACCTTGAGTCTTTTCCACATGAGCAGCTGAAATATAATTACATTTATACGTTAAGCTACAGTGTCTAATTTTCAAACGCTTCGTATCTCTTCCCAACAGCAGTTCCGTTGCCCACCGCCGGATCTGTATAGATGGACACCGTATCTGTCGAGTTCTTGTAATCAACGCCACACTTCTCGGAGAAGCCTTGGAACATGTCGACCCTCTCTTGCACGTATTTCTCGAAACCGGATCTCGAGCAAGTCGTTCCGGGACCATCGGCGCAGTTGGACAACGGTTGGGGTGCGCTGTTCACCAGTACTCGGTAATAGTCGCCGTCTTCGTACCCGTAGCTGCCCGAACAATTCAGCCTCTCGATAGCCAAGTTACTCAAGAACGGGAGTACGTGTGAGCTTTTCCACGCGCGTCGGTAGTTGATTCGGTCCAGCGGCATGGTATCGTTAACACTGGCCTCACTTCCGCCAAACTCGGAGTTGTTGAATAGGCCCATGGCCACAAACACCATAGGAGGTAGCTCGCGGTGGGTGAAGCTGACGTATATATCCTGCTCGTCGCTTGACTCCTCTAGAAGTAAGTTTGCCGACGCATTGAACCAAGGCAATCCGACAACGCCAGAAATGGTATTGCCATAGCCCACATTATAGTGATACATGACATCAGCTGTGTACTCCCATCCTAGCCAATCATCCGGGCTAAACAAGTCCAGGTCACAGAACGGAGAACTTCCACGAATTACTGATTCGTATCCGCATAGCTCCATCATACCGTAGACGTCGTTGGCCGTGAAATTGAACCCGGGGGCCAGCACATTCAGTCTTGCGGTGATGGGTTTCGTGAATTTCTCCAGGTAAACCGCCGATTGATCGCTCCCGAACGATGACGAATAAGCCGGGCAGCTCTTGTAAGGCGTCAAAGAATTTGCGCCAGCTTCCTCTGACTCGTAGATGCTAACCACATTGATCTCATTCTCATCAAGCTCCAACCCTCTCACGAACGACTGCGCCGACTTTACAGTACGTTCAGCGGACGACGTCCAGATATGAGATGGTAGCTTAAGGTTTGGATACCTAAACGAAAGAGTGACGCCAAGCTGAGCAGCTTCTAGTCTGCCGACTCGCGTCAATAGCTCTTGTTCGGCATCCGTCAGTGGGACTGTCCATCCGGCCAGGAAGCTCAGAGCCGGAATCTTGCTCCAGTCGGTAGCCGTGTTATTTTCTAACTTGGAAACGAAGGGATCGATATACTCCTCGTAGTCGTAGTCATTGGCATAGATTGCGGCGTGGCGATTAAGATAGACTGCCTTTGATGCCGTACAACCCTGGGGGGTCGACGGCGATGCCGGCGGATCTTGGGGCTCGAAGTATGGCGCTACACCGCCAAGATGCTCAAGAGGATTGAATTTGTACGTAGAATACAGCGATGTAGCTGAGCAGGGCTGGATTGCCGGGAGGAGGAATGCAGTGAGCTGAAGCAGCTCTTTAACGAGTGACGATGCCATTGTGCCGTTGTAGAACACGCGGTATCAGCTAAGGATTGACATTGTCGCCCATGTGAGGCAAGCTTTTTTGTCTTTTATGTGTTCGAGAAGAAAGACCTAGCTTCTAAGGTGCTGCCAAGAACGATCTACAAAGACAACAACTTGTCTGCGCATCTCATGTACATAGTGCGAAATGACGACAGGTGATGAAGGACGCACTTGAAATTGCACTTCCTAATGCAATTAAATTCTGGATATTGGCGTCATCGAGCATGAGCTAGACAAGGGGCATGACGGCAACTAAAAACAAGCTTAAGCGGTTACACTTGGCTTCCAGCTGAAGGCTGGGGCAGCTTTGATTCGCTGCATAAAACGTCACGACCAAATTAAGCTTTTTCTATCACAACTCACACGGCGAACTGGAAGCAATCGATACTTCTAAGAACTTTCGATTGGAGGTTGATATGGTTCATACGCGCCTGCCTGCTCATTCTCTTTAGAGGGAGCTTCTCTAATTGTTAAAAATCATAGGTACCTACCTATTTTTTTGGTGAGACCTGACCTGACGTGGATGCATCATCATAACCTCGATATCATTTAAGGGCTTGAATAACCTACACATACCTAATTATCTCCCACATCACGACTTAAATAATATGAGTACTTACTGTATGAACGTATTCGAAGGTACCAGGTAAGCTTCGAGGTAATATAAAAGGTTTGTGATTTGGTCCATCGGATATTGTTACCTGCGAAATAACATCAGCCCTATGGGCATGCCATTGGTTTTCTCACCAGTGAAATCGAGTCTTACGTTATCCGCATCGGTAGGTACTTGTATGGTATTTCCCCGATAGCTCCTCTCGATCGGTGATCTGGTGGAGTCGAACCAGCGAAAATATTAGCGCCACAGCAGCTAGCCTTAACGAAAGCATAGCGGTCCAGTTTTGAGTTTCAAGTCAGGAGGTGCTTGTAGGTATCTGGCATCTGTCGCGGTTACATGGGATCTTAATGCTCTTTTTCTAACGAAATACTTCCATCCTCGAATTTTTATTATGAGAGTACCTAGGTAAAGAGTAAAGAACCATAATTGTCGCTATTCTTTGTAATGAGTGTTTTACAGTATGTAGGCTCTTGAAGGCTCTTGAAGGCTCTTAAAGCCTGCTGTTGTTGGGGACAACCAACTTTAACCACGAATCTTCTCACTCCACAGTTGGCGAAGCCTTAAATTCCCTCGACCTAAGTGGTTCTTCACTAAACCTTCTTCTTTCCCGAGGATCGACGATGCGCCGTCTGCTTTGGTTGCTTCCATCATCATCAGATTGCCGAGCCGGAGCCGCACCGACATACATATTTCGATTAGTAGGCCCCGGTGCTACCGGTGCATCTCGCATGCTAACATGGGGAGGTCGTCTGCGTGGGGAGTCTTGATCGCCGTGGCTGCTGTTGTGAGACCTTCTCCGGTGATCTCTATCTCCCTTCATGATATGTTTGACATCTTCTTTGGCATCTTTCGCTTCCTGCGCCCATGATTCTTTCGGGCCGTATAAGACGCCCTTGGGCCAATATCTCGAAGCTGCGATAGAAGCAGCTCCGATGACGCCGAGAAAAACGAGGGAGGTCTTAAGGATATCTTTGCCACTATCGGAATGAACCGGTGGCGGCCGGCGTTGGCGCGGTGAACCTGAGTCCGAAGAGACACTACTACGATGAGAGTTGGAGTTGGATGATGTGTAAGTGTGTGAGGTCGGAGAAACAGAGGGAGAAGAGGACGTATAGCGAGGCATCTCGACCGTATCACGAGTTACAAAAATGACGAAAAGAGCTTTGGGATATTGAGATCATAGATTTTGAGATAGGCAACTAGGACTATAAAAGGACGAAACGCCGAAGCCAAATTGGCAAACCTATGTCTCCTTACCTTCATTACGTCTTATCCACGAGCAACGTCGGGTATTGTGAATATCGTCAGAGGCCAGCAAAGTCCTGAAAAAATGATGTAAGAGGCGACCAACCCTTACTCTTATATGAGTTGATGGTGGGCAACACCAAATCGCGATTTTTAAGACTATTCGTCGACAACAACCATAATATCGAAGTTATGGATTGCGAACGTCGACCACACAAGATTTAAGAAAGCCTTGAGATCACTGTGGAACGCTTGAAGCAAGAATCGACAGACGGCTTTGGTGTCTAAGTGGCCGGATAACGGAAGGGAGCCACACGCACTTTATGCTGGTTGAGATAAGCTTTCCGGTTCTTCCTGGTGGTTGATTGTGTCTGCCTCATCCACGTAATCGGATGTGAGGCTCTTGTTCGGGCCAACCGGATGTATCTCAGACGTATCACTGCGTTTCTGGAAAGTAATGTGAGATCCATCGGGGACCGGAAGGTGATAATTGCAATTATAAGAGGGTGAAAAACGTACGATAATTGGGAAATCATATCTCATAAGCCGCCCGGGTCGTTTTCACTGGCAGATTGTAGCTATCCGGTGGCGTATGAGATTGAAGATCATAGCCACAGATGGCTATTGTGTTTCCAACAGTTGACATATTCAAGTGAAGTAATTGTTATCATACCAAAACAATTCAAGTAGATTTTAATGTTAAACCTAAGCAGGTAGGTAATTGTGAGACAACCGTATTGTTTTGAAAAGTTACTGGCGCTCTTGAATCTGCCAACCTGGCTCTGGAGGTGCGCGGTACCCCGCTAACCCCGCTAGCTGCGAAGCTTAAAGAGCGTATCCATTCATGGACATTACCCGTTTAGGTAATATACTTAGGTACAAGGATACGTCACTTCAAAAGCCACACGCGACTCGACCCATACATTTTTCCAAATATCAATTTAGACCGTTTGACGCGACTCCACTTTCCAAACTCGACGCGCCTGGATTAAATGTTAATATGCAACTCCCGATCCAGAGCCACTAATCAACCTTACGTTAACAATACACATCTCGCTACAATGCCTTGCTGCCGTTGATAGCACTCGAAGACCGCTGAAAACCCGAAGAGATGACAGAGTCCTCTCCAGCGCCAGATAGGCCATTCGACCCGTCTAAACCTTTTGAAGGCCTGGTACTCTGCTGTACCAGTATCGAGGCCGACCTGCGCGTATGATATCTCAAGCCCACTTACACCATGCCACACTCTTGACTAATCGCGCCACTACTGTTTAGACCGAGATTGCGCAACGAACAGCGGATCTGGGCGGCATTCACAAGTACGACCTCACGCCGGATGTCACCCACCTAATCGTCGGAGACTACGACACAGCAAAGTATCGCCATGTCGCAAGGGAGAGGCCCGATATTAAGCCAATGGCTGCTGGTTGGGTTGACGCAGTGCGGGCGTTATGGCTAGAGGACAAAGAATTCGATTTCGCTGCGCTGGAAAATACCTGGAGGCTGAAGACGTTTGAAAAAGGTGGCGGTATCCCTAACAGCCCGTTCGTCGAACGAAGAGAGAGGATGAGGTTAATATGTTGTTTGACCGGCTTCGAGAACAGTACGTTATCGACCTATCCCCCCTTTATAATCGGAGGCTGACCAGAGAAGATGAATTACGCTCTACGATTGAGAGAATGGTTAAAGCGAACGGTGGCGAATACCTCGGCGATCTCTCCAGAGCCGTCACCCATCTCATCGTAAACAAACCCGAAGGGAAGAAATATATTGCTGCACGGAAGTGGCGGATAAGGACCGTCTCTATCGAGTGGCTACACGACAGTATCGAGCGAGGTATGATCCTCAACGAGGAGTGTTACGATCCGACGTTGCCTGCCGAAGAACGAGGAAAAGGAGCATGGATAAAGAGAGACCTAAAGCGGGGTGCTTCCCTCGGCAAGAGGTTGCGCGATGGTGTGGCTGGCCCTTCGGCCGACGAAGGCCGGAGGAAATTAAGGAAAACTGCAAGCATGAAACTAACCAGCCAGAAAGACAACCCTTGGGGTGATATTCTTGTCAACCAATCGTCGACCGACCTATCCAGATCAATGATTACTACTAGTGCTGATGAGACAGCTACTAGCGTACCCCTTAACTCGCACTCAGCAGACTTCAACACACCTGGTGTTGAGGTTCCGCAGCTCGCACAGCCGAATCACGTCAAACAGGTTGACGCCGGCGTCTTTTTCTCATGCCGCTTCTTCGTCCATGGTTTTCCTCAGAACAAGCAGGAAATTCTGAGTCATCATATCTTGTCTCACGACGGGCAAGTATCGCGGTCTATCGAAGACGCCGCCTCGCCTAGCCATGGCGAATCATTAGATCGGCGCTATCTCATTGTCCCCCAGACGTCTCAGCCTGATTCTCATCCTGAGCTTCCGGAAGGAATGCACATCGTCACCGAATTCTACATTGAACGATGTGTTCATAACAAAACCCTCTACAAGCCAAATGAGCATGTACTAGGGCAACCATTTCCCCGGTTTCCTATCGAAGGGTTTCGTGGCTTAACAATATGCACAGCTGGTTTTAGGAATGAGCAGTTGAATCAAGTAGAAAAGGCCATTACCCAGGTTGGCGCGAAATATTCCGAGCGACTAAATCCACAGTGTTCATTACTGGTCTGTCCTTCTCTAGACGCAGTTAGGAAGCAGAAACTGGATTTTGCCATAATTTCGAAGATACCGATTGTCAGTGCCGATTGGTTATGGCAGTGTATAACGACGGGTTGCCTTGTGCCGTGGGAGGATTCTCTATTCAAAGAACTCACCCAGCAGGTGTCTGTACCACGGGAGGCCCCCAAGAACAAGGAAAAGGGTACAGTTACAAGCTCAAAAACAGAGCGCGTTCACAAGAAAATCCCTAATGCGCGACCATCAGCACCAACGTCTGCATCAACAATGAAACATGGAATCGATATGACCGCATTCGATGACGATACTCCCATGCTCCAAGATACGGATGTGCAAGAGCAGGAAACCAACGAGACCAACTATGAGACAGCTCTTACTCATCAAACGGAGGACATCAACACGGAGCCCACAACAATCCCTGAACCACTATCGGAAATAACATCGAATGCCCTGAACAAGTCCCCATCTCCACAGAAAGTATCTCCGCAGAAGACAACTCCTACGCCGCGAAAGTTTAAACGTGTCCCGACGGGAGGCGAAGTAGGAGACTCTGAAGGCGGTGACGATTCCGACACACCCATTTTCCCATTAGAAGAGAAAGATATCTCTGTGGGAAAGGAGGAGGAGGAGGAGGAGAAGGAAGAGCAAAGGCGGCAGACTGAACGAGCCAAGGCGGCAGAACGCGAAGAAATGTCGAAACGATTGAATTCTCTCGTGTCTCGCGATGGGTTAGCTCCAGAAGCCGATAACTTAAAGCCGCAACCAGCCCCAGCGCAACAACGTCGAAAGCGCAAGATCCTCGGCCGTGCAGCAAGTAATGTCTCGGCGACATCAAGTGCGAGCGCGGAATCATTTAGCCACGCGAGCAGTTTCAAGTCTAATTCTAGGAGAACGGAATCCATAGCACCTCGCCTAGACTCAGCGCAGACCACGGCGGGTGCTTTTGGGCTTCTAGGTAAGATGATGATGGAACAAAACGACGATGGTAATCATACAAGGGACGGTGATAGCCCGCCGCGCGCTACGCAGCTCGCATACGACAAGTCCGAGTCCCTGCAACATCGTGCCGCTGTTGTAGGTCGTATCAGCAAGCAGGATAGCCTAGAGAATGACAAGCCAAAGGAAAAAGTATCTTTAGCAAGCTTAAAGAATGAGGCAGGGTTAAGTGGTAATACGCAAAGGTCTTCGACGAGAAGAAGTGCAAAACGACGATGATCTTGTATATACTTGATGATTCAGGCATGAAATGAATGATGTGTAAAGTCAAGCATATTGAATAGTATTCAGCAAGTGTTTAGATGTCTACTAGGTGAATAGGCCAAGCGAAGGTTCGGTAACTCGGGCTTATTTGAAATATATTGCTTGACTATCGGGTATCGATTGTATCCTACAAGTAATCTCTTTGCTTTCCTGATTCCCAGCATCACTCATAGACTACAATAATCTACCATTAAATCGGAAGGCTACCTAGAGGACAGCCCGAGAGAAGATGATCCCGGTTCCGTCCAAATCGAAAGGAGGACATGTGATACCCCCAGAGCTCAACTAGCGAACTGGCCGGCTACCTAGCTGGATAGTCCTACAGTAACACAAGCAAATCTGGTGTTTAACTAGTGTTGCATTTTCATAACAAATCGCCCATCCCATCGTTGTTTCTTCTTTCTCTTTCTTGCCTTCCTTTTTATCATTTCCCTCTGCTTCTTACTCTTCATCTTCTTCCTCCTCCTCCTCCTTAGTTTTGTCGCTCAAGTTCGCCTGAGCGAGGCTCAACTAAAGTTCTGGTCTTCATTGGATCCAATTCACTGACTTCAAAAATTCTGTTCTACTTCTTTCCCTCCCATTATCCACCCCACCAGCTACTGAACTAACATACCAAACTTGCCAAGTGAAGGGCGTTATCCTACAGCGCCGCCTCGCTTAGCATGCTCAGCATAGCAGCGGCCGCTCCTCCGAGACCCACGGCCCGGATCGTCTCATCCCGGGCCTTCTTCTTCGACGTGCGGTCCTCCTTAGACGACCTACCACTATTCGTGGTGTAGTGATCGTCGTGGTAGTCGCGATCCCGGTTTCTCCTCGACGCGGTGCTTGACGAGCCGCCGCCGTGGTATCGGTGGCTGGAGCTGCGATGACGATGGCGATCGGCGTATTCTTCCTTGCCGTCGTCGCGGTCGCGGTCGCGGTGCGAAGAATAGTATTCTTTGTCTCGATGGCGCTCGGAGTGCCGCTCTTTTGATTGGTCGCGGTCTTGGTACCGGTCTGATCGATATTTCTTCTCGCGATCGTGGTCGTGGTCGTAGTTACGGTCCCTATCTCTATCTCTGTCCTTTTCCCTAGTCCTCTCTCTAGACCTATCCCTAGACCGCTCTCGATCCCGATCTTTGTCTCTTTCCCGCCGTTCTCGCTCGCTTCGTCGGTAAGGTAGGCTTCGTGAAAGCGAGCGGGAGCTCTCGTCTATGAACTGCGGATTGGGATCGATGCGCACGTGAGGGTCGTCGTTCTTGTTCTTTAGGATGGATTTCGGCTTTACGGTGGCGGCCGGGCTGGTGCCCGCACCGCTGTCCTTGTCTTTTGTCTTGTCCTTTCCGTTGGTGGATGGAGGTGGCACGATAAATGGGTATGTCTTGGTGCCCTTGTCGTTCGTATCGCCGCTCCCTCGTCTTGTCGTGGCGTTGCTATCTATACTACCTCTGGCGTGAGAATGCACCCTACCGTCGTCATTGAACGATGTCGAGGGCGCCGTAGAGCTCCGCCGGAGGCTCTGCTGGGAGCCATGGTAGTTTTCTAAATAAGAGCTAGAACGCGGGTAAGATTGTGAGTATGAGGAAGAGTCGTAATGATCTCGGTCTCTGTCGCCGTAGTCTACCTCGCTATCGGAGGTACCCTCATCGTCACTTGAGTCGTAGAGCGCGCTTGCTGAGCTCGCCGTGCTTCCCTTCCGGTGCCGACCTCGGCTATTCACCACGTAAGTCGCGCTATCATCATCGTCGTCATCCGAGCCATCTCTATCTGCCCCTTTCCGCCCTGGTCGCCGCCGCTCTTCCTCGATCACGTCCCAGTTCCGGTATTTGTCCGGGTGGTACTTATTCTCGGCCCGTCTCCCACCACCTCCACTTCCGGCCGCAACGGTAGCAACGGGAATAGCAGCAGCGCTAGAGCGCCGGCGTCTCGAATTCCTAGCCTCCGTGGTCCGCCGTGCGAAGTCGGCTACTTGGTCCCTGCTTAGTTCACCGAGCACGGCGACGAAGTCCGGCCGTGCTTCGTACCGGACCCCGGCGCCGGCGAGGACCTCTGGTGACACGAGCCGTCGCGAAATCCGAGTCCATTTCGCTTCTAAGGGAATCTCCCGGCCTTGGCTGTCGGGGGCTAGATGCGCACTCCTCTGCTGGAGTGCCGCGACTGCTTGTTGCTGCTCCGGACTGCTGCCGGGCGGTGGGACATGGCGCGAGGGCACCACGGATTGATCGATGACGACACCGTTATGAGCTATTGTTGAAGATGGGAGGGCAGGACGTGAGGCGGACGGAGGTAGCTGATGCTGGGTAGGGGAGGTTGACATATGGTAGTTTGGACCGACTAGTTCCCCGGACTGTCTCGGTGGCTGCAGGTGCATGTTCCCGGGTGGCTTCGTAAGGGCCAGCTCGGCAGCCCGTTTATCGAGCGCCATGAGCTCCCGGGTGGACATAAGCGCCATCGAGTCCTCATCATCACCACTCGAGGAATGACGGTCGTAAGAGAGGTAGGTTGGATGGTTCGACATTCTGGGAGGCTGTATTCGCTGGTTATCGTCGTCTTCCCCTTCCAAACGTTTCATTCTCATGGATGGAAATAGTTTCTCTTCGTCGATTCCGGACTGCAGCTCTTCCGGACTAAATTCATCCGACGTGGGATAGGTTGGGCACGTTGGGTACGGAGCGATCTGAAGCCCGTCATGAGCCTGAGGCCGGTAATGCTCCAGAAGCCCCCGCACCGAAGGCGTGCTGCCGCCGTTGGCGCTGAGCTGCTCGTCTAACTGGCGGATGTATGCTCTTATGACGTCCTAATGCATGAACACATGTCAATATCATAATACTAGATTGGAGGGGCCCGAGAATGATTGGGTTGAATATTAATGAGATATGTTCGACAAACCTGATTCTTACGCAACACCTCTCTGGAGAATCCTGCACTTTCGAGCCCATCTCTAAAACGTTCCCAGAGCTCCTCTTCGTTTTCGTCCGCCAAATTGGAATTCTTCCGCTGGCATATGCGCGTCGCGATAACATCCACCTTATCTTTGATCGAGTCGAGATCCGCGCTATTCGTATCGACCATGCGGCGAGACTTAGATGGGTTATGCAGCTGAATCGTATCGAGGAACATATCGATGTTCAGCTTTTGATTTGCAAGCTTCGACCGTATCATGCCGATCATATCCTTCTCGCGGCTCTCCAATATCGTCCACCCTTTCTCCCCGTCCATCTGCATCCCACCATCGCCGCCTCCGTATTTCTTCTCCAAAATGGTATCTAGCTGTTTGAGCGCAAATTCGGAGTCCTCAAGGATGGGCGTCAGCTGCCGCGCATAGACTCCGCTTCCGTCTGCGCAGAGTAGCGACTCGGGATCCTCAGTCTCGAATTTCAAGTGCTTGAGCACCGTGTGCAAGCTGCGCACCGCCGTCGAGATCTCATCTAGATCAGGACCGGCGGCTCGCGCCCGCTTATACAATTTCCGCGCAAATGCATCGACCCGCTCGATATCGGAGGGCAAGACACGCGAGGCGGGGACAGAAGCATGGGGTGCTGGCGGTGCATTGTTCGGGTCGTGAGATGGCATCGCACTTTGTACGTATACGTACGTTCGTTCGTACTTTTTTTGTTTCTGGGAACAGAGCCCCTCAGACTCGAGTTTCGACCCTTTTAGTACTCTCTGTACCCTCTGTGTTCTTAGATGCTCGTCGTGGGCAAGTTGTTTCGTGTACGGCGAACTGGTTTATGTGCGTGCGTATCTCCAAGCGAGCAAGGTAACTTGAGTGACGTGAATTGAGATAAGTTGGAGAAAGGAATTGGAGAATGAAAACAGAACAGGGAATGGAAAAAGTGAAGCGAAGTGGGATGTGCTGTGCTGATGATGGTTCGGTTCGCCTAAGCTAAAGTTGGACTATAGGGAGACAGGGGTTGAACACGACTAGGCTTAGCTGCGGTCTAGTTCGACCTGGAGATACCGAGAGGCTTATACGGAGGTAGGATGTCTGTCTCTTTGGCTGTCGTCTGTTGGGATCACAAAATACTCGTGGGCTTGGGTTAGGAATATGCAGATATCTTGTCTAACCTCAGGTGAAGAACGTAGTTACCTAGGTAGGTATGCTAACGTAAGGGCGACTGGTGAACAAGCTAGATATCTGTCCGAGTTTGCTTCTACGGGTTCAAGTTGATTGCTACTACGTATCGTCATAGACCAGCCAAAGATAATAATAAAACAATAGAACCCCCAGCTAGCCAGGATTGCGGTCGTACAACCGCCACGGTATGCTATTGTGAGAATCAGTAGATGTGATTCACTCGACGATCGTGTCCTTACATAAAATTTCTATGTCACATCTGATACTTAAAGAGACTGCCTAGAAGGAAGCAGAGAGAAACGCCCTGCTTCTACTGTGCCGACGTATTAATCCGGATTGGCTAAGCGCCGGTCAGACAATCAAGGCACAAGCGAAGAGACTAGAGGAAGGCAACGTGTACCGTCGCTCATATCGTGTCTTTGTGTATGGGGAAAGATGAAGCTGGCCGATTGGAACGGTGACCGGTGACGTATGTGCTAATTGGGATGGACACCATAGACTAAACATGTCATCATTATTCGTAGCTTGGAACAAAATCGTGGCAGGGCTAGCCAATCATCGTCTTGCTTTCCGCTCTGGACCCTTGTAGGAGTGTCCCAGTGGCTCTTCTCCCCCCTGTTGCTGATCCCTGAGTATCATACCCAGGTACGAAAAAGTCGATCTTGCTGTCTTGTCAGTACATATTCTTGATCCCTGGAAATCTCGAGACACCACGATGGTTGGGCTGGTTGGATGGCGAGAACGACTAGAAGACTCGTCTAACCTGCTGACTTTTGACTATTCGATGGGGTTCACTGCGCCACCCACCTAGTTGATTTGACGTGCATAGGTACATATGTAGGTAGAGACCCGTATCCATGTACTGCATATGACAGCATAAAAATTTTCACCCTTTTTGCCCTTCTCCATATTCTATTAGTAAATCTCATCGTTTATATGCAGGGTCCTCCGTCTAGATCTCCTGGAACATGGGAAGTCGAGGTCGGTTTTGTTATGACAAGCGGATATTAGCGGATATGCCCGACGTGTCTCAGGAATTAGTAGTACAGACAGGAAGGCCATGTGCACAATGCCGTGTTTCCATAACACGGAAAATCTGTATCTGTCGTTTTCGCCGCAATAATCATACTGTTTTACTTCCTTTGTCCACCGTGCCGTCAATCCGGGGAACTCAGATAAAATGTATAGCAGTGGGACAACATTCCTTCCTTCCACTTCCTTCCACTGCTCTGCTGACAAGTAACAAACACCGAGGGCTATGCTTTACCTAATATTCTTCCTAGTCTTCCGTAAGAAAGACGTTACCTCGTGGCTCACCCTCCACAGCCTTGTGAGCCACTCAGCAGAAATATAGTTAATGAAGATAAGGCAAGCCGAGACTAAAGATAAATGAGGCGAGGCTCCGGTGCGATCTACAGGACCACATCACTTGATGTCCGATACATGCAGACGATGCCTAAGATGGTGTTTTCCACGTCAATCGTCTGTGTATTATCGCCGCATAGCATCAGTTGTAGCAATGCCAAAGTGCGAAACTTCACATTTTGATATACCTCGTGATGTCTGCATCGGTTTGACAAGCAGCTTACCCGAGGTTGGCGTCGCACTTAGCAGCCTGGGTGCTTAAAAGCTTACCATTACGCCATATGGGTTGACCGATGTTGTGTTCGATACCTTGAACCTCAATGCCAACTGGATGATTCGGCAGCTTATAATTTAGTCCAAGCTGACTTGGTCCTCGGGCGAAAGAATATATGTTCCTCCACATTCAGCCGCACAAACTAATAAATGTAAAAAAAGCCACATGTTACCGTACGTAGCGCGTACGACAGCATCAGGTTGCGGCTGGCTGCGTTGGTGCCACTAAACTGCGACTAGTTCACCTCGTAGGGCAAAGGGTTCCGGCTTGAAGCCGACAAACAACGGGAATAGGGCGAGCGTAAACTATTTCCCATCACAGCTTAAAAGGCGAGCTAGGGTGTTGCACCGGGTGGAAGATAGGCGCGCGAGCAAACAGCTGTCGAGACCGTACTCGACGAGAGGCCCGTAACACGACATCGTCTAACTGTAGCTCTGAACTTAGAACTAGGCTAGATGGTTGTGACAACTAAGATAGTCCAATGAACACTAAGGTCGAGTCTGAGAAGCGGCTTGGATTGTGCCTCATTGATTAGGGGTAGGCGTGTGAACCGAGGAATACTGCAGACAGTTCAGCAACACAAACACTTCAGAAGTGCGGTATACTTGAAGCGTATCGATGTAGATATGATGTTGTGATGCTTCCATCTATGCAAACAGCGTTTACTTGAAGTGTTCCCGGGGTCTTGGATATCCCGTGAAGAACAGCTACAAGGCTCTACTGAATAATCTCATCACTGGTTTTAAATGAAAGTCTTGATGGCAGGGAAGGCTGTACGAAAATTATGCTGAGCGCCCGGGATGGCCCAAGTGCCTAGGTGGATAGATATTGTCTATAACTCTTGGAAACACCAAGCGTAGCTGGAAATCCACGATGTCACCCCTTGGATGCGCCTCATATTGCAATCCTCTCCAATGAGTATTGCCCGACTTGCTGACTCCTGAGATGGCCAGTTTCCCTTTGAGACCTGTCCACTAGCTCACCACCAGATACAATCTTATGTGTAGAAATTCCGCCCTTCGCCTTGAGCCCCAGAGGCAATGCTTGGGCACCGGGTTCTTTCACGTGCAATGAGATTGGCTTCATTTTGTCCATGGCGCCTTCGACCTTAGCTTTCTTCGACGCCTCGCAGTATCTTACCGCCTCACCAATAATGCCACGGAGGTAGACAGCTTCTTCTAATCCTTCTAAAGCTGCGCTGACTTCAAGCTTGAGAGAAGCGACGAAATCGCCCGTTTCGTCAGCTGCTAACACAGCATCGTTCAGAAGCCAGCCGCCAGGTCCGATGGAGTCTACGCAGCGTCCAAGGAGATCTGCGATGAGCTTGATGATGCCGTCGGGTGGGGCGTCGAGGGTAGAATCTCTCTCGAATTCGGTTGTATCTAGATAGCGAGATGTCCACGCGCCCCTCACCAACTCGACGCGGAGGAGATAGATCAGAGATAAGATCTCTTCTGGTTTGAACGTGGCTCGTAGGGCTTTGATCATCGAGATGTTAGGACAATTGCCAAGCTTTGCGAAAGCCGCGCTCAATCCAGAGCCGCGAATACCTGCGTCTTCATCTAGATAAGACACCGTCTTTTGTATTTCATCCTCCAGGTTGTCTAGTTCCATGCCAATGTTATTCAACTCGAAATCTCCATCTCCGTCTCCGTCTCCGTCTCCGTTTACCAATATCTCTTCGGTCAATCCATTGGTAAGTAGCTTCGGTGGCGGTTTCTTCGGGTCTTGGACTAGCTCGAGACTTCTCATAATTGTCCGCACGGCGATGAGTAGCTCCATCGCCCCAAGATTCGTAGCAGAAATATAGGCGACCAGAAGTTCTAGAGTAGGATCAACATCTGCAAGTCGGAGCACAATCTGTTCAGCTAAGAATGAATCGGTCTTTTCGTTATCCCTGATTACTCCTCGGAAGCCGGACCTCACGTTCGAAAGCGTCAGGTGCCCAGCATCGACAAGGTAGCTGACAATATCGCTCTGCGGTAGCTGACAGATAAGCCGAGGCACTGTCGAGTCATCTGGGAAAGAGTGATTCCATTGGAAGGCCCGGCTGATAGCGTATATAATCCATCTCCGGTCTACAGGAGGATATCCCGCGCGGGTCTTCGGCCATATCCAAGTTAGCGAACCTTTTGGTAGGTTCGACACTCCTTCTGCTCCATCTACGCCGCCCGGTGCTTGAACTGCATCTTGGACTTGGATAGAGAATTTTTGAGCTAACATTAATTCGAGGCTACGAATATCATTCGCATTGAGGAAAGCGTCGGCTCTCGCTTCATCTGCAGTCCACGACTCCCAATAATCGCCTCTGATAGAACCTGGGAGATAATTGGAAAAGGTTGATGTTTTCGTCTCTTCACCCGAGGGGGATGTTGCTTGAATTGAGTGTCTTTTGGGTAGCTGCAGGCCACGCCCGATGGAGTCGATCAAGAGACCTTCGGCGCGTCGCTTTCTCGTTCGCAAAATGGGCGCCTCTAGTTGAATGGCAACTAGGTTGGTGTCGACAATCGCAACGGCAAGTTCCAAACGGGAAAAATAAGCAGCAAGCAAGCAGGCTGTTGGCTTTGGGCCAGTGCTTGGGGCATCCTGGGTATCGGAATCGATACATACGGAATTCTGGAAAGACCGGTAGATCGGATTATAGATACTCAGGTGGTTGGGAGTGGAACAGAGAAGTGAAGTTTTGCTGAGGCGCAGGAAGGACGTTGTGTCACTCAATTGCATGGTCGACGTGATTTTAGGGAGACTTGCCGCTAAGTCATACATATTAAACGTCTGTCCACGAAATTCCAGCAGGCTCCCAGACCGAATATCGAGGCGGTATGAAGCGATACCCGATTCTTGCGCAGAAGTTGGGATAGGCACAGCATGTAGCTGAACAACTCCTTGTTGATGGGAGCTGACAGAACCATAGGAGGGCGGAATTATTGATAGAACATGGAGCCGGCGGCTCTGCTGTCCATCTAACTCGTGATTCGATATGAGCACCAGAACCTCGGCATCCGTATTCATGTCTTGTTTAATCTCGGAGAAGAGACTAGAAGCCTCGTCGCTACCTTTGAATACGCCCTGTACAAGATCAGATAGAAACACAGGGTGGCAAGAAACGATGTTGAAATCGCGTTTTGAAGCTGTAGGGAGATCCTGTTGTAGAACTGCGGGAGACGAAATCCATCTTCTCTCTAGAGTATCGGGATCGAGGCAAATAACCTCGCCATCCTCCCTCACAATCAGGAGCTCGTTATCCAATGTTCGACTGTTAGCCAGTCCTTGTCCAATTGGCGCAGCGATAGGAGCAACACATATAACTGGCCGACCCGCACTCAAGGATATCGATTTAGTGACAGAACCAGTGTTACCAGAAGCATCCACAGAGTCCTTGAATAGAGTGACCTTGTACTCGTGAGATTCTCTCGTCGCCGCATACGTGTGTCTAGAAACCTCTTGTGTTCCCTCTACCTTGCGCCGAATGGAAGCTACAGAGCACGAAAAGATTGACTGAGGAGGAACTGGGTATGATGTGACGAGTCTAGCTGAAGATACCTATAGGCGTGTGAGCAATGGCCAATTCAACTTGTAATGGGCGTTAAACGTTCTCACATTGTAGATATTCACTGCTTCTCCATCAATTCCCACTGCTAACTCATGGCGCTTTCTCTTCCTCGACCCGGGCGCAGATCCGTAGACTTCGCTAACAACATATCGGCCCGTCGTAGGGTCAAGAGGTCGAGGTAATGAAGCCAGCACATATGGCTTCTGCATTTGAAAATGAGAGGCCATGCTGTATTCGTAGCCAACAGTATTGGGGTTTCAAAAGTGACGATCTATCGCCATCTATAACGAATGGCTGCAAGGTTGTGATGTGATAGAGGATGGATGGAAAAAAAAAAAGTTGCAAAATCGGGGGTTGTTTGCGAAAATGCCGATCCGACAATTAGGCGCGACCAGGGTACCTACATACATAGTACGTACATGCAGCATTTTACCTTTTTATGCCTGGTGGGGTATCAATTGAACCCAATTGAGTTTAGACGTTGAAACCGCATCTCTTAATTGATGGCCGGAAGGTAGTCGCGTAGGACGCGCAGTAATGCCTAGTACTAGTACTAGTAAGACGCGACTTCTTCAATATTGAGTTTGCGCATTCACGTCAAATTCACAGCAATTGAACTCGTCAACATTCGACTTTCAACTTTCACTTTCTCAACTTCTAACTACCTACTCAGGCGACTCCTAATTGACATTCACTACGCACATATATTGTCACATTATTACAACAATATCATCAAAGAATGGTTACAACATCACATGTCAACTCTGTCCTGGATACCTTTTAAGGTATATCAAAGATAGTCATACATGAAATAATCATTGCCGCCATCATGAACGAGCAGAGCGCTAGCACCGACATAAAATGCAAGAAGCTTCACCCATTTTTCTCGACGAACAATACTCCTAAAGATAGCATGTTAAATGTCGTAACTCCTGTCACGCCAGACCCCTCGTGTAGTCCCAATTCTGTCGAGGCTGCCGACAACGATACCGATCAAAGTCCTCCGTCTAGCAAACTCAAGAGAAAGCGAGGTCAGACAAGCGATACCCAAAACGCACCCACATCAGGTATGAGGCGTCAGGGGATGATAGATCAGGTACCTAGTAATGCAATACTTACCTCTAGCACAGCTTCTACCTCAAAGCCTCCGAAGGTGCTCAAACTCAACCGCGCAACCGGTACAATTGGTTCCCCTCCGAAACCGAAGCCTATCGCCAAGAACCCAACGAAACGTGGTCGAAAGCCTAAAACGTTAGTAGTTTCTATACACTACGGCCAGGACGATGATACTTCACGACTTCGAATTGGTCATAAGATACGCGACATGCTCGCCGGTGCCGATTCGCAAGCGATGATAACAACCGTGCCGAAATATGCTCCTCATGTCCTTCCTAAAACGCCACCCTCGAGTCGGGACACCGAACCGCCACCTAAGAAAGCTACCCATCCGTTCTTCCAAGGGAAGACGAACACAAGCCCAGTTGAACAAAAGCAAAAGCCTGAGCGGCGAATATTCTTTGGCTCGGCATCTAACTCATCGAAACATGTCCAGCCAGCTCCCGGCAAGCTCGACGTCCCGGTCCCCGGCGTCAAGGTGAATAAACTCAAGGTGCCGGGAGCACAGCATCCAGCCTGGCCATCGAAAGAGACAGCGCACGTGCGTGGTGACGAGTCACATAGCTCTAATACATCTGGTTCCACCGACGGTGAACAATACCGATGCCTCCAAAATAAACGGAAGGCGAAGGGACAACAAGTCCAAATTCCCGAATCCGAGTCGATACTGCAGCAGACTGCGTCGAAACTAAATTTAAAGCAGATGAAGGAAGACCTGAATGCTGACGATGATGAATTCCAACCGCCACCGTCTGTTTTAAGGGTCCCTAGTAGGCACTTTGAAAGCGGAAAGAAACTACAGGCGCGCATATTTGGTGAATTAAAAACTCTTCATCGACCCGACAATACCTCAAAGGCGCATCCAGCGGTTACGCATGCTTACAGTTCTATCGAGAAAAACCTGTCCGCTTTCGACAGGGCGACGTGCGAAACGAGTGCGTGGACCCAGAAGTATGCACCTTCATCAGCAGAACGGGTGCTTCAGAATGGCCGGGAAGCCGAGCTATTACGTGATTGGCTAGAATCTCTTAAGGTGCAGGCTGTGGACACCGGCGCAACAGATTCTGGAGTGAAGGCAAAGGCAGTTGCTCCGGTGAAGGGTAGAGGCAAAAGAAAGAAGAGATTAGACGGGTTTGTTGTTTCTAGTGACGAGGAGGGGGATGAATTGGACGAGATATCCGAAGTAGAAGGGGACTGGTCACAGAGCGGTAGCCAAAGCAACGCGAAGAAGACGGTCATACGGTCTGGTTCTGCTCGCCGAACATCTCGAGATGGCGGTCGCTTGGCTAATGCTGTGGTCCTCAGCGGCCCACATGGTTGTGGCAAGACGGCGACTGTGTACGCCATTGCCAAGGAGCTTGAGTTTGAGGTCTTTGAGATTAATTCAGGTTCTAGAAGGAATGGCAAAGATGTCCTAGAAAAGGTCGGCGACATGACCCGGAACCATCTCGTTCAGCACCGGCATAAGGAAGACGCGCCCCGGGAAGAAGGCCTCCCGGAAGATGAGGTGGATCGAGACTTGAAGTCTGGCAAACAAGGCATGATGACCGCATTCTTCAAACCGAAGGCGATTATAGCGCCAACGCCAACTCCAACTTCAACCAAGAAACCGACGAATTCGTCCAGTGCGAATGATACAAAGAAGTCGCCCAAAACTCAGAAACAGTCCCTAATTCTACTCGAGGAAGTCGACGTACTGTACGAAGAGGACAAGCAATTCTGGGCGACCATTGTCTCTATGATTGCTCAGTCAAAACGCCCTTTTGTGATGACATGCAACGACGAGGCATTGGTTCCCTTGCAGAGTTTCAACCTACATGGCATTTTCCGCTTCTCTAGTCCGCCCAAGGACCTCGCCGTCGATCTGCTCCTTCTTATCGCCGCCAACGAGGGACATGCTCTTCGACGACGGACAATTGAGGCACTCTACGACTCACGCGGCCACGACTTCCGCGCCTCAATAACCGAGCTCAACTACTGGTGTCAGATCGGGGTTGGAGACGTACAAGGAGGATTTAACTGGTTTTACCCCAGATGGCCTAAAGGCTGTGATGTCGACGAAGACGGCAATGTTATCCGAGTGGTCAGCCAAGACACGTACCAAGCCGGCATGGGCTGGCTTAGCAGGGACTCGACGATCAACAGCTCATCATTTCGATCGATCGAAGAGGAATTGCACCTCCAGGTCCGCGAAAACTGGTCTCTCGACACGTTCGATTATCGGCCCAAAGATGAATACTATTCCTGGGCAGATACAGCTACCGAACAATGTTCCTCAGCAAAAGAGAGACTTGAGCTTTTGGAATCAATGGACTCGTACGTCGGCTTCATGAGCGACGCAGACCTTGGCTTGACCGATTTCTCAGCGACGCCCAACAAAATTTCCCTAGATCCGTCCATCCCCTGCCTACCAGCAAAGGCAAAGGATGATTTTATCATTGGTCGGCAGCTCATCGAGGCATCCCCTACCATCCATTACGATACAGCAAGTTTCGATATGGCTTCCAGTTTGAGGCATCTGGGTAGACGACAGTTACGATATGGGCGGACTTCAGACGGCGTCTCGAGCACCTTCAAGCCGTTAGACGAGGTAGAAGTTACTGCGAAGCTAAAGCACCATCTCGGCGGGCATCCGGACGCACAACCGGCCGTTACGCGAATAGATTATAGTCTCGCATTCGACCCTATCGCCGCCTCAGAGAAAACAACTGCCTCGGGCTACCTTGATCCTTCTGTATTCGATGGGACTATGAGGTCGATTTGTCTCGACATAGCGCCTTATGTTCGTAGCATCGTATCATACGATCAGCGACTTCAGCAACAAAGAGTCTCCCGCAGCAGCCTACTCAGTGAGGGCGGGCAGCCTGGAAAGAAACGTATGCGCACAACGAGGAGCGCGTACTCAGCTCTAGAAGGCAGCTCGCGAGCCAGTACGAGACGAGAGAGATACTTCTCAGCAGACATCAACCCTTATCTCGTGATGCGGACGGGTGGTGAAGGATGGGATGTAGTTGTGGCTTCAGCTATGGAAGAATTGAGGATCACAAGTAGAATTATAGCGAGCCCCCATACAGAGCCAGGTCAGAATGGAGGGTAGAGAAATAACCCGACCGGGTATCTCGTCGCTGTCTAGCCAAGTCCAGGCGTGTATATATTCGGGGGTCATGGATATCGGAGATATTTCTGCACCGGCGTTGCTATAGGCGCATATTAGGGGCTTTTGAGCATTGTGTGGCGTTGCATTTTACCGGCTGACTACACCGGAGCTGCGAGGAGAGGATCCGGCGGGGGACGGTAACTGTCATATATGTAGTACTTCGCATCCATACACATCACATATAGCTGAAATGCAACACATGAAAGCATGATGATGCCCATTTACCTGATCTTTATTTACCTGATCTTTATTTACCTGATCTTTATTTACCTGATCTTTAGAATCATTTCCTAATTCGGCCTGAAAGAGTATTATACAAAACCATAATACATACAGATGAACGAATGCCCGCTCTAATCTATCCCTCGACTCGAATGATTGATCCTCCCGCCCATGTACCCCGCAGCCTGCAGTAATTCAATGTTCTCGTCTCTATGCCATAGACGAACACACCGCTAAATGAAAAGTGTGGTATCATCCCAAATGCAAGTTTCCCTTTTCAAAATCCATTACTCATACTGAACCTAGACTTGCTCTTTGCTTGTCTATCCTTGTTTCGGCCACTGACATCGTGTGCTCGGACAAGCAAGGATGACGCGGCCCTCGCTAAGGCATGGTTGACAACCGGCATCTTGTAGGATTCGAACGTCCCATCAAGGACCGGTAAGACATTTAAGCCGAAATATAAGACCTAGAGCCTAGAGCAATGTTGCTGCGACCAGAAAAGACTTTCAGGCCTCTTCTTGACTGCTAGCCTTCTTGTGCTTCCTGCTTTTAGCGATAAAAGCAAGGCATACAGCCACACCTAGTCCTGCAAGACCAATGCCCATATAGAACGCCCCCCGGTAACCTTTGAGTACATCAGCTGGATTACCTCCTCCATTGTTGACCTGCGTCTCGACTGTTCCGGCGAAACCTAAGCCCAGCGAGATGCTGTAATTTACCACCGTGTTGACCAAGCTCGCGGCGATTCCCTGGTGCTTTCGGTGCACGGCGTCGGACAGAATAAGCGTTGCTGCCGGAAAGCTCATATCCATACCCCAAGGCATAACGACAATTGAGACGAAAAGCTGGGCCCAATAGATTTGCTCGACGGGGCAAGTAGCGATGATGGTTATGCCTATCGTGAAGAAAACGAGGGCCATGGTCATGACTACCGGCGGCCGCAGACGATGCAACGAGTAGCCGGTGAAGAGCGCCGCGCACAATCCCGAGAGAGCTGCTGGAGCAAACTTGGCTGTCGCTAATAGGGGGGGATCGTGTCGAAGGTTGAGCTGGAACTGCCAAGTGTAGAAGAACCAGATCCCGAAACAAGACCAACCACACACTATGGCACCCAAGACGAACGATACATCGAAAGAGAGTGCGTGGAAAGGGATCAAGGGGTTTTGCGCATAATTCAACTCGTACACGAAGAACGTGCCCAGGAGCAGCAACCCGAGGATCAGTGTCACGTAGACATAAGGTTCAGGCCAGCCCACAATAGGGGCCTGATTCCACGCGAAGTTGACCAAGACGAGACCAGCCACGCCGATAACTGTTCCTACCATGTCGAGCTGCTGTAGCGTGTCCTGTAAGCCTTTCGGTTTCTCGTGGTGGTGCGCATTCGAAGCTTCCGGGATGGCGTAGTATCCTATGACCAAGGTCGCGGCGAGGACAATACCAAATGCCCAGAAGGCCCAAGGCCACCAAGCTAGGGCAAATATACTGGCAAATAGCGAGCCGAGGACAGATCCTATCGGGGCCATAGCGCCGAAGAGCGCGAAGACCATCTCCTTCCGTCGTCCGGGAGCGTAGGTAACACCGAAAATGGCCAATCCGTTCGGGAGGATGATAGCGGGACCGATTCCTTGGAAGACACGGGCGAAGATAAAGAGGACGTGATTCGAGTAGATGGCAAGCCCGCAGATGACGCTCCAGATGGAATACCAACCCATGCCGATCAGGAACATGGTCTTATGACCATACAAGTCTCCAAGCCTCCCCGAGAATAATATGAACGTTCCTATAGTCAAGCTGTATCCGGCTATGAACCAGCTCAGCTCTCCGGGATTCGTGATGCCGAAACTATTGCCGATCGTCTGGATAATACTTATCACTTGACCGAGGCCAGCCTCTTCATCGAGCGTTAGCTAGAGGCGAACTCAAGCAACGAAATAAGGGACGGGGACTTGGACACTCACGCGTAAAAAGCTGCGCTGAGCAGATGACCATAACGAAAAGAGCTTCTTGGGAAAAGGGAAGCGTTTCGGCGATGGATATGTTAGTATCGGATCTAGTCAGGCTCCGACCCTTAATACGTCTCCCATTCTCCTCGCTCTCCTCGTTCTCCTCGTTCTCTTCACTCTCCCCTTCGATACCCTCAGCACCGTCCTTCTCGTCGCTACTTGTCCACGTGTCATCTCGCATAGGCGTCCGCGTCCCGGCACTCATTATCAAGGAGCCGGCAGATAACGGCGGCACACCCGGCGAGTCCGGTGATCCCTCCGTCCAGAAGCTGCCATGACTTCTCAGGGGAACCTCAGTGACGCTGGAAGCCCCTGAGCTTACGATACCATCGCCGGGCACGGCCTGGTGCTCATCGTCGACGCCCATATTCGTTCAATATAGTGAGTGACCCAGCGCTGTCCCGAAATTGTCTCGACGTCTCGATATCTTCTCGCTCGCTTAGCTAATGGACGCTCTTCGAGGCGATCAGCGACCCTGGCGCTCGAAAACGGCGGAAGAATCAAGAAAGCAGATAGATCGGCTGGGTAGGAAGGAATCTACGCCGCAAGTCTCGATGTGAGAATAAGAACTCGACAAGAATTCTAGAGCCTCAAGGGACTAAATTGACGGGGCCATCCCACCCTCATCAGATGGCAAAGAGATCACATAATCTTGGACCATAAATACGTACCTTCACAACTGAACGGGCCTGAAGCATTTGTAAGGATTAATAAAGGGCAGTTCGAGAAGGAAGATAAGCTTACTTCTCCCGACCCGTTCCAGGGGCTTTCCTAGCAAGGGTATTTACGGGTACCGATCCGCCAGGCTTGTGGTGGCTTGTCAAATAAGAGTTAAATAACATGAGGTACCGGATCTCAATGGGTCTCTCTAGTGCTCTTCTAGTTTGATTTTGCATAAATTACATGTGTACCTACCTAAAGCCTTTAGTCAGAGACATACATCAACGGCTTATCGACGGATTTGGGGTCGGAACGCCGAATAAGTGCGACTAGCCTCGGAGTTTTTCGCGCTTTTTCTTTCAACGATCCCAGCCGAAGTTTTCTTTGACCGGCCCGTCAGTTACGTAGGTAGTACGTCGTCGCGTAGGGCGGTAGCTGCCATATTTAATAAATATGGTAAGAACATTAATTACTACTTACATGTACCTAGTGTTTATCCACCTTCTCGCGTCTGCGACATCGGGCCGCATAATATCTCTTTCGTCGAGTATCAACTACCGTATGGCATAATATTACTATTTACCTAATATCACAACCTTTGGAAAGGCTATGTCGCTTCCGTTCGAGACCAGCTGAACAAGGCTAGACAAGCTCGGAGCTGATTTCTGGCTTCGGCCGGACCCAACGTGTCGATGATGCAAAGATGCAAAAGAATGCAAGGGGATCTGCAGCCATCACCATAATCCCTGCGTCTTATCATATGGCAATACTACTAGGTAGGCAATGGTACTACTCACACATACCCATTAGCGACTATGAATAGCGGCTCGCATGTGTAGATGCCTGTAGATGCCTGTATATGCCTGTAGGATCCCTTTCTGACAACCTCTAATAACACCCCGTTAAAGAAGGTCTGGGCCGGTATTTGGAAACATGATAACTTACTTCCCTAGCACTGCTACCTTATGCTCCCACGTCCTCATTTATCTTATGCATAGAAGTCGAATTGCGTGGGATTGACAAATAATCCTAGGTATGGACCCCGTGGGATTTGTTTGACATTGATTATTGCAGATAAAGACGAACGTGGTTCCAAGGTTCTTGACATATCCTATTGCAGGAAAGTCTTAAAACCGATACCATCGCAACCCAATTACTCCAATTATCGTCATCATCGTGCATGCTTCTCACGCCGAGGGAGGTGACAGGTTATCGAAGCCCAACATTTCCCTTTTCGGCATGCCGACTTACCACCACCACCACGACATATCCAGCGGCAATGCAACCTGCCGTAGCGGACGGGCGGGACGGTACATACCCGTAAGTACGCAGGAAGGTGAAAGATCTCACCGATATTTCGAATGGAATATGGCTACCTACTTGCTTATATTATAAGCCGCGAAGCTGTGAAGCTGTTGGAAGAGATAAAAAAGCATATAAAACCCGGTGCCCTCTCCCTTCCAATGATGGGTAAGTACGTTAAGCCGAAACCCGATCTTGATCGAACGCGGGTGCAGACATGTTTGCCAAAACCCTCAACTGGATGGGCGCATCACTTACGAATTACGTATGTCGGTGTATTACTCTACGTTACCTGCTTTACCTAGCTCTGGCACGTTTGTGAAACGTTCTCTTCTGTCAGTTTGCTGCACGCAATTCTATTCACCGCTTAGCCCCCCCATACATGACGGCAGGTAGACGAGACGAACGCGTATAGTTGCTTTCCCGTTGTGCATTCCTAAACAATGTACGATGCCTCATGAAGTGGTAGCGACATTCAGGTGGCAGGCTAGAGCAGGTCTTCCGTCCCGTCTTAACAAAAGCAAAATCATTATGGGAAGAAAGGATGACAGACCGGCCATATTTAACATTGATGCGGCCGGTCTACTATGGCCGCATCTCTCCTATGCGTTTAGTGCCACCACACCTCTGACGTATTACAGCAGAAGTTGACCAAGTCACGCTGTTGTTGAGCCAATTTCTCTAGATTGAAACATGACTTCGCCTAATGACCCTCAAGCCAAGGTGTATTCTCACATCAACGGCGAAGTGAGCGACTTCCAAGCTAGGCTGATCGTTTCCGAGCTGTGCAAAGGTTGGCCCGTTTATCGGGACGCATCCGAATGGAAGAACTTCCGCTCTCTTTTCTGCGACGACGCGTATGTCTGGACAAGTTAGTAACTGCCTACTTACCTATCTACCCACAGCGAACGAGTCCGGGTATTTCGAGGCTGATCACCGGGTCGTTTAGCTTGGAGTAAGCGTCAAACTATCGACAACTTCATCGAAAAATCAAAGGAGGGGAAATCGAATGGCGATTTTATCATGCACCGCGAATGCGGCACGTTGGTTGAGCTTAACCCCTTTAAATCTCGAGCAGTCGGTAAAATGAAGGCGACCATTACTCAACGGTTCAGGATTGGTGGAAACGACTCTACAGGAATCGAACCGATCGTATTCGACGTGGACTGCGATTGCCGGTTTCATTTCTTCTGTCTCCGCGACTCCGCCTGGAAGGTCAAGTACGTCAAGTTGGTATACGAGAAGGATAAGCTCGTTCCTGTCGACGGTAAGATGACGCCAAGTTTCGCCAAGGAAACCCTCGACAGATACCCAGAGGGCTACAAATATCTCGGAGCGGCCCAGAGCATGCTTGGCCATGACGTTGACGTCTGCCTTCCGACCATCCAAAGCCCAGATCTAGGCGCAGCCAACCCCCAATGGCTAGAGTTATACGACAAGATGGGACAGTGGCTCGACGGAAACGATATTGATCTGTCGACCTCCTCATAGTTAGGGAGATATCGGCCAAAAAGGGGGTCGTGTGTGTGACGAGCACGAATCAGAGATTACCTACCTAGATAAACGTCTATACTCAATTAGAAGCCACGGCTGGGAATGAGCACGGGAATATCATGAATTGTGAATAAAATGGGAGTATCAAAGTGCGTTGATAGATTATGTGGTATTTTCATTCACTATAACTCAACGTAAATGATATAGCAATGTTCATTCGAACATACCATGTTTCTTACTTACATTTCATGGTAGAGCCGCAACGACATAAACGCGAAATAAGTTTAACATAGGTAAGGAAATCTTTTGGGCAGTAGCAAGCAGAAGCGAACGACGCCCTAACACCCGATGGCATCTCTTATTACGGCCGATTTTTCGTAGGTATGTATGACCGCATTATTATTAGCATCGCCAGCGCGTATTATTGTCAGGCAATCGATTATAAAACGTTCGATAAAAATTTTCTATTGAACCCTTCGTATATTACTTCTTGGCGCCAGTCCGCACAGCGTCCCGGATAGCTTTATTGAGGTTATAGTTGGAAGTGAAAGTATAATTATACGAATCTACTTACCTGCCTTTATAAGGATGATGTTAAGCCACTGTATACGGTTGGTTCTATTCGGAGCCTCAACGTTCCATCTTTTGATGGGCGTCGCATTTGGAACATGGCAGACAGGATGACAGACGCAAGTACTATGTAGGGTTTCAAGTTGCATCTAAGTGAATGAAACTTCCCCAAGTAGATTACCGTACGGCCGCTGATCGTTTAGGGCCACTAGCCAAGATCTCGGTTGCGCGCCTATAGAAGAAGCGGGATGATTGGGGCGGTGCAGATTCGATGCAGCTTCGATTTCTTGGCCCTTCTGCCAGGTGGTAGCACTCAGGGGCAAAGGGGAATTTTGCCGAGGAGCCGACGGATCTACAGTGGCGCATACATAAGCGATAAACGCTTCGGTGAGACTGTCAAGCATCACAATGGTTGCAATATACTACTATAATTAATGTTAAGCACGTTGGCACGATGAACAACTCAGTCTTGGTAAAGGACAAGGCAGCTGATAGGCTAATTTCTAAGGTGTAAGGGAGCTTTACGAACCAGATGTCGTTTGCGGAAGCCAATCATGACTTGAATCAAACCTTACACCGAGTTCTCTGGCTGATCATTTGTTCCTCCGCGTTTTCACGGCGAGCTGTCCGGTTTTCGAAATACCAACAATATAACTACTAGCATTGATATATAACTCTTGGTGAACACGATTTTAACGTGACTCTTACCCTTTCCTTCAGCATGCAGGACACTCGGTAATCCGCTGAACACTCCCACGTTAATATTCTAATATAGTCCCCCCCCCCGAAACCCCTATCATACATACCTAGATATTTAGGGTTCACTTCAAACCAAGGCAGTTAAGATGTCGCGTCAGAACGGCCACTCGATATGGTTGAGTCTCTTAGCATTGTCCACTCTTACCAGCACCGCCGTCGCGAGCGCTTTGTTAAAACGGGATGTCACGCCAACATCTACAACTGCATCCGGGACACCTAAAACCGCCTGCGAGAACCCTACCCAGACATCCGGCTACCCGGACTACAATTCCTTCTGCCAGTGTCCTCCATACACCGCCGATTCCCCGGCCTACGGAAACCCGTACATCGGTCTGGTCCGGTGCGACACCAAGTGCACCCCCGCCAACGCTACGCAGACCGCGACCCACCCGGAAAACGACAGCCTGGAGTCATGCATGAACGCTTGTACCGGATCCTTCGAGAAGGCAAAGCGTGAGGAGTCCGAGCTAGAGAGAAGGCAAAGTCCGGACTGGTTCTGCCACGGCGTTAACTTTATCAAAGGCGAGCTTTGCGAATTTATCGGATCTCTTGGCTCGAGGGAGTTTGTTGAGGGAGGACCGGATTGCTTTTACATCGACGGGCTCGATTCCTAATATGAAAAAGTATCTCTTCTCTGCAAGTATCGTAAAGGTTTGGGAGGACGATGTGGTAGAATTTGGATGGTCCGGACACACACATCTTTCGATCCCTCAACTCTTTACCTTAACATGAGTACCTGGTTTAAAACACATTCATTTCTTGTTATCATTCAAGTATTCATTAAGGAACTTGCTGCCACGAGATTCCTAGGTAACGCGCGATTCGTATAAATACCTATGCATGGATAATTAACTTATAATAGTTAGAAAGGAAGTTGTTTTTAGATAAATCTTATATTACGTAAGTAGATTATGAAATAAGCACTTAGCTTTAAGTAAAATCACCATACATAAGCCTTGTAAATTATAAATAGATTATAATATAAAACGCAAGCGCTTAATTCATATGCATGTTTCGTTAATATTGCAAGGTATAATATCTCGAGCCACGGTAACCATCATTGATTATTCCCGGGCTGACGAACGTGGCCTAACCCAACTACGCTTTCGAAAGATATAACACCTTGTCCCAGCCAGCCCCGAGCACGTTTTCGAGCCGAATCCCGGAACGCTAAAATTCCTTATAATATAATAAAGATCATACGGGTCCCAAAGTCTTGGGCTAATGGTATACTTGGAGTTTGATCTTGCTAAGAAATAAGTCCAGAAAACTGAGGGGCTTGCAAGTTGGTTACCTGGATCCGATTTGTACCTAAGCACTCAAACAGCCTCGGAGATGGAGGATATCAAGATCGCGGTCATTGGCCTAGGTAGGCAGCTTCAAGATGTATCCTCCGTATGTCCATCAGCTAACTCCTCTTATGACAGGCCCGGCAGGACTCACGGCCTTGAAGACGTTACGAGAGGAAGGGTTTGACGCAGTCGCGTTTGAGAGACGAGATAAGCCCGGCGGCCTATGGTCAGTTAGCCACAACCCTGAATTTACTTCGGCTTTGGACGAGACGGTTTGTAACGTCAGCAAGTTCACGGTGCGTAATCGAAACATCCCGCACCTCTTACCCACGACAATTAACACGATGTAGTCGAGTTTCAGCGACTACCCAATCCCCAAAGGTCAGGAACCTGCTTCGATGCAATGGGAATCGGGATGACATGTAAGGCTGACACTTGTCCATTTCAATTTCGAGTAGATTACCCACTGCATCCCACAGCCCCTCAAATGCAGGAGTATTTCGACTCGTACGCCTCGCATTTCGACTTACATGGTCACGTCCACTATAATAGTACAGTTAAAAGAGTGACCCGAAACACATCCAAGGACGCATGGGATGTCCGAGTCACAAATCAAGAGGGCGACATTACCTTGTCCTTTGATAAGGTCGTATTTGGCCACGGTAGCCAGACTGTCCCCGTGTGGCCTGCGATGCCCAACAGAAATAAGTTCAAGGGGGAGGTTATTCATTCGCAAGCCTATAGGAGGTAAGAACCGTATCTTCCAACCTATAGTCACCAGACCGAGATAACTGAACACCAGGCGCAAGTCCGGAGCCCTACCGGGGCAAGAAGGTTCTCGTCGTAGGAATCGGCAATACGGCCTGCGACATCTCCCTTTCCTTGCGAAAACACGCCACCAAAGTGTACCAGAGCTACCGACGAGGTAGGATGATGGTCTCACGATGTACCGAAGAGGGTATCCCCATGGATTCGGTGCTTTCTTGGCCCATGATGCGCCTTAAATACTTCCTCGATGAAAAGATGCCTTGGTTGATGGCGCCTATCGCGGATAAAGTGATGACTAACAAAATGATAATCGATACGGCTAGGTTCGGACTCGCGACTCGGGGACTTGCTAGGAGTGAAGGGTTGAAACGTGCAGCTCACAAATTAGAAGTAGACTGGCGGTTGCTGCCTGGTCCTAGCATAAGTCGTGTCCATCCAACGGTCCAGGAGGACTTTATCCCTGCTCTAGAAGAAGGGGACATTACTCCGGTTAGAGGGTTCAAGGAATTTGTCGGAGACGATCAAGTACTGTTAGATGATGACACGACAGTTGAAGCCGACGTGGTTATATTTTGTATGGGATACGAAATTGACTTCAGCATCTTTCCCGAGCTGGAAATGGATGGCTCTGGCGCGGTGCCGCTCAAGAGAGTAGGAGATGAATTCCGGGGCAGTGCGAAGGATCAGGACGAAACCGAAGAAGATCGGGACGGCTCGGAAAAGCCACGAATTCCTCGTCTATTCCAGATGATCTTCCCTCCGCGCTGGGCCTCCTCCGTAGCTTTCTTGAGCTGGATGGCACCGCAAGAGCCCGTATGGAGCGTGTGCGAGCTTGCTTCGATGGCAATAGCGCAGATCTGGGCAGCAGAAACCACCAAATCTGCGGAAAAACAGCCGCTGGCGAAGAGCCCTCGCTCGCCTGCTCTTCTACCATCCTTGGACGAGATGAACGCGCAGGTTAACGCGTACCATGATTGGTGGCGAGGCGGATGGGAGAAGGACCATTCGATGCTTCCCGGTTACATTAAATCATACTCATTCTACCGGTTCCTCCATGAGGCGGCAGGCACCGGCATCTATGATAATATAGACCATATGTTCACCGGCCGTGGCTGGGGACTTTGGTGGTATGACCACGAGTTATGGACTTGGCTAGCTAAAGGACCGATGAATAATCACTCCTGGAGGCTATTCGAGACCAACCCCGACGCCGTTCCTGGATGTGGTCGGAAGACCTGGCCTGAAGCTAGAAAGGCAATGCGAGAAGAGGTGTGTTTGACAAAATCATTTAGGACGAAAAAAAGGCTGACCCGCTGACGTTCTACCAGTACGAAACTTATGAAGAATATAAGCTTCAAGCACAGTCGAGACATTAGGGCGAATGAAAGCAGACGGGAAGGTGTTCTTAATCGGAATCGAGTAGGTTATATGTTACTATACGGTGTCCCCTAAACGAAATAAACATGTTGAAGCCATACCTACTACTACCATAATATTGGAAATTCTCTGACTCCAACTTATGCTTGGTAAGATGAACGATGAGATTGCCATGGAAGATGTTTGCATCCCCTCGCCCTTTTCTTCCCGGCTGAAGAGAAATGACAGCGGATAATTGGCCAATTAATAGATCCTTCGATCTTATTCTAAGTTGCAGGAAGTTTTCTTGTACATCCATGTACCGAGTACCGCATAGTAATGATAATGACTCCAAGGTTGCATATTTTAAGTAAGCATAACCTTGTATCCGTGAACCCGCCCTTTCAAGGTTTTAACGTTAAAACTAGGTATGTACATACCTACCTAGGTAGGTAGGTAAGTACATATCGAAGAATCATGGAGTTCGGGAACCTCTTAACACTAGGTACGCGTTTTCTACTATTCCGAAAACATCTCTGCGTCTTTTTTCTAACAAATCGTTCGATTGACAGAAACTTGAGAAATTAGTTAACTCCTCCCATAGTTTCATTTTCATAACCCGAGTTTTTCCATATGATGAGACGTTATGTAGAACCTGCATGTCAGATAATTAGTTTAGTGGACGGCGCAGTAGACGGCGCCAGCTTTCACCAATTTTTTTCGATGATGACGACATGGTGGACATGGTGGCTGCGAAGCCTCAAAAACATTTCAATCGCTTCAATCGCTTCAGTGTTCACAAGCTCCCGAACATTCCGTGATGCACCACCAACAACAATTGTCAAACCATCCAATTGAGAACATCGTGCATACCATCAATAGGTACTCACAGATCTATGCACCTTACACGAGTCAACTTCAATTAAGGTTAAATGGACCATGACTTTAGGGAACATTAAAGCAGTGAAACGGCTTCACGCATCGTAAAGCTAAACCCTTCCAACCCTTCTCCAGTATTTTACTTTACATCAAATACCACCTGGCTCAAGTGCTCCAGATCGCTACGATCTCGTCACTACATAGGTAGGTATGTAGCTGGTAGGCAGGTATGTATAAAAGGTACCTACGTAGCTCGTTATCCCGGCAAGTCGGGGAACACACGGCATTTCAAAAATAACTAAATGAACCTTATTAAGGACCCTAGCCAACTTGGCTAACCAGGTTAAGCAGATCAACCTATACCGGCGTAACTAAATACTAATTCGGTTAGTCTCAATAAATAAATGCCGTAGCCGGAAAGTGGAAGGCGCGGTCGGATAGGTAGGTGATGAGTTGTGTGGGCGTTATATTCCGTCGCCTCTCTTGCCTCACGTTTCTTCGCCTCGTCGGCCAAATTGTTGTAATTTCCGAACAATTAAAAAAAATAAGATGGAAGAAAGTTCCGGCTCGTCTCTCTACATATGCGGTGTGACAACTTAAACCTGCCGGTCTAGCATCGGAAATGCTGCTTCTACAGAGCTTATGTATGCATTACACGCACATATTGAATGCATTGAGTGTTCTTTCAGGGATTACCTAGCGATTACCAGAAACAGCCTGGCCGCGGCACTGTATTTGGTACGCTACATACGCTACATACGGCACCGCATACGCTATTGCGTTTCTTTCGTCTTTTTCTCTCCACGATTCTATGGATTTTGTCAAAATCGCTGCTATCTACTGGCTCACACTAATTCGCTTGTGACGTGGGAACTATCTCCAAATCCTCACATGACTGATTGTTCCGAGAAGTGATTGCTGACCCCTGCTAAAGCCTTACGAATTCCTGATTTGGAATGAACCGGGTGGCACGGCGACTAAACACGCAAGTACTGTCGTACCTACCTAGGATATGATCGTTTTCAATACTATCCTACCGTTGCCCGTGTCGTGAGCGCGTGGGGATGTCACTTGTCAGTATTTGAGACTACCTAATGTACACTCGCGATAAATGACGAGTGATTTGAATCCGGTTTATGAGTAAGGCCCTTTCCGAGCTACCGAACTCTTGGTATGGCATTTGGCAATGATAAATACCTCCTCCTAGTAGATAGGTACGAAGGGCCAGAACGCTTTACGTCTATATGCGCATAGTATATCGAAATACTACCAGCATCGACAGGTTCTCCGCCGTGGATAGCTCCATCATTAGCGGGGAGGCGTTCTCTTATTAGCTGCTTTTCCTTTCCAAGCTACCGGCTTATGTCAACGGCACCAGCAGGGGTATGCTTGAAAGCAATACATCATAGGAATATCATCTGCAGTTCTCCCGCTCAGCTTTACCCAGTCTTTGTTATCTAATTAGTTGCATACCGTCATCTGCGACTCGAGAACCATCTCTAGCCCTGGAAGTTCGACCCGTTCGACCCAACCTCCATTAATATCACATCAACCTGTCGAAAAGGTAACGCAGACCTCATCCGTGTCATCAGTCATCCTGCCCTCCTTGCCTGCTTGTCTTTCCGCCCTCCTGCCGCTTTCCTGTCCCCTCACCGACCGACAAGAAGAGAGAAGTCTAGCGAATAGCGTTCTCGTTATACCCCAAATAATCGCTCAGGACCCAGCCGACCGCATCGTACAGATCATACAACCTCCCTTGACCGCATCAGGTCTGATCAGGTCCACCCCAATTCATCCGTACGACTTTAGTCTTATTTTTTTTCTCCCCCGCGTGTTGCTGAAAACGTTCCCTCATTGTTGCGTTCCAACCTTATTACTACTATACGCTACTAGTAATTGTTACTTCTTGATAGTACCTTTTAAGTACATATATAACTACCTACCTATACATATGTACTTGCGCATATACTTACACACTTCGTTATAGGCGGGTCCGCAACCGCAACCGCAACGAGCGTGCTAGCAAGTGTCATCCCGGAACCTTGAAACTTTCCAGCCAGGTGTTTCCTACCACACGGCTATTCAACAGTACTTCGTGCCTTGCCCTGTCTCCGTCACATAGAATTGAACCTTCCCCCAGTTATCCCCCAGTTGTCAATCATGACCTGGTTATGATTCACCTTGTCGTAGGTACTTTGCCCTGCTGCTCTCCGCACCCCTTCCTAGCTCTTTTCTTTTTCTACTCCCTTTCACATACTACGCACATACGCACACATCATCGTACTTCTCTTTTCGGTAAAAGAGGAAACCCTTTATACTTTTTTCTCTTTCCTCTCGCAGTCTATTATTCCTAGCCCGTGTTTCTACCTATGATGCCTATCACCATCCACCTCTGCCACCGCACCAGCTCCCGTTTAGCATAGACCGTCCCGCATGACCTGGTGCCGTGCCATCCCGCCCGTTCGCTTGCTTGTCGGTCATCCCTATACCGCGTAGTCCTCGCTGGCCCACATGTTAGCATGTGCCTCTTGGACAGATATAGACCCATCCTCTTAACCAGCATATACTCATCCGATCCGGCTGGCGGACGACGACGGGAAAGCTCGCTCGCTCGTTTTGCGCATTCATATTAGTCGAGTATCTCTTAATTACTTATTCCTAACAGCACCATCATGACAGACATAACTGGTCGAGATCGCCACCGCCCGGAACATCATCACGCATATCCCGTAGCCGGCAACGTTTACTATAGACCGAGGTCGACGGAGCGGAGGCACCGTACAGCTCCGAGCCTTCCCACTCCGCATATCCGGCCTCGTCCGAGGAGACCTCAGTCTATCCATATCGTGTCCTACCCCGCCGGGTACACGCCGCCCGATCTGAGGCCTACTGCCCTAGCAAAGTCCAAGTCGTCTAGGTTCAGGAAGGAAAAGAGCAACAGGGAAGACTCTAAGAAGGAAGAAGGGACTGTACATAGGAGCTCACCGCGACGGGTAATCGAAAAGGTGTTGGGGCCCTTGAAGTTTCATCTCTCCCAATACGTAGCTGTAGATAATCCTACGCCCCCAACCGTTGCTAGCGCCGCCGGCGATTTGATTCCGAGACCGAGACCGAATACGATAGGCGCCCCGCGTCCCAGGCCTCATTCCATGCTCGCAATTCCTCCTTCCGCCACCTCTTCGATGCTCGGTACCGCTAGCATGACCGGCTCAGCGAACTCGCCAATCGTGGCAACGGCCGCGCATAATTCGCACAGGAATAGTACTATGTCGGTTCGCTCAGCTAAGAGCGTAATGAGTTCATCAGTGACGGAGGTTCCAAAACCAGTGGCAAGCGGGAGTGGAGTTTCGTGTTCTATAATATTGGCAGAACCGAATGTATTTCTCACCGGGTTCGAACACGACGGACACCCGCGAAACGACGCGGCCAATTCGACCGCGCTTCTGAGGGGTAAGTTGCAGCTGAACGTGTCCAAGAACGTGAAGATCAAGTCGGTCACTCTCAAGCTCCACGGTAGAGCCAGGACAGAATGGCCGGAAGGTATCCCGCCCATCAAAGTCGAGCAATTCGAGGAAGAATCCCTCCGGACGCAGGTGCTGACGTTTTTCCACGCCGCGCACGAGACGTGGGAGACCGAATTTGGTAATCAATGCGCTTACTCGTTACGGAGCAGCGCCGAATGTCCCGGATCCCGGCGTCCAGCATCCCCTTCCCAATCGACGGTATCTTTAGCCTTGAAAAATAGACCCGCCGGACATCTGACGGCCCGCGATTATAAGCGACTCTCGTTGCAGTCAGTTCAGTCCCGAAGCTTCGGGAAAGGGGACACGCCCAATCCGAACATCGTACAGCCGAAGACGTACAAGGTTTTTTACCCCGGCACATACGAGTATTCGTTTGAGCTACCAATCGACCACCATCAGCTCGAAACTACCAAGCTCCAGTTCGGATCGGTCAAGTGGGAGCTTGAGACGATAGTAGAAAGAGCAGGCGCCTTCAAGCCTAATCTACACGGGGCGAAAGAGGTCTGCATCGTCAGGGTGCCGGATCAGCTGTCCCTCGAAATGACGGAGCCCATATCTATCAGCAGACAGTGGGAGGATCAACTCCATTACGATATAATGATATCGGGGAAGTCCTTCCCCATCGGTACCAAAATACCTATCGCATTCAAATTGACGCCACTGGCCAAGGTGCAAGTTCATAAGTTGAAGGTGTTCGTGACCGAGTCCATCGAGTACTGGACTAACGACCGACGAGTCACCCGAAAGGATCCGGGGAGGAAGATTTTGTTATTGGAAAAATCTGCAGGGAAACCTCTCGACAAGCAATTCGAGGCGTCGGAAATAAACTTTCTGAGCGGTGGCGAACTGACCCCGGATCAGAGGCACGAGGCACGGATCGCGGCGCAACGACGACGGAGCCAAGAAGCATCTAGGGCTCACACCGCACCACAGCCGTTGCCCGATCCCGCAGATAATTTATTAGGCGATCTAGACCTGGGCTTGGAGGCTTATTGGGGATCGACAGAGATTGAGATGAATGTCCAGATTCCGACGTGCGAGCAGATGGCCAAAGACAAAAGCCTACGACTTCATCCGGATTGCAGTTGGAAGAATGTTAACGTGTATCACTGGATAAAGGTATGCTGATTCATCCTCCATCTTTCCCCGCCTACAACACACGCATCGGGAACCCATTGCTAATCGTTTCCACGTAGATCGTCATGCGCATATCCCGCCTCGACCCCGAAGACCCGGCAGGCAAGCGGCGTCGACATTTTGAGATTAGCATCGATTCGCCCTTCACCGTCCTCAACTGCCGCGCGACGCAGGCCAATACCGCCCTGCCAGAGTACTCGGGCGCTGATCGGCCTATGTATCACCAGCAGTCGAGCTGCGGCTGTCCCGACGCCGCAATACTCGCCACCAATCCGAGTCCCGCGTCGAGCACCGGCACGATACCGTCCGTCGACCACACCGTCAGCGCGGCCGGCACCGGGTCTCAGGTCATCGCACCGCCACCAGCCGCACACATACAGCAACATCCGGCTGCCGGATCGCAATCCCTACAGAGACAACCTCAAGCTCCGGTCGCCCCGAGACCCATGCACCTCCTTAGGCATCCTAGTTTCAATCCTCCGGCGTTCGACGACGACGATCCGCCACCTCCGATGCCCACACCTCCGCCGCAGTACGACGTCGTCGTCGGAACACCTAGCGTAGACGGTCTCGCCGACTACTTCGCACGGCTAGCGAACTATGACGATGGTGACTCGGACAGCGCAGACGAAGATGGTGCGCCTAGCAGGCTCACGGAGCGAAGCGGCCGGGTCAACGTGCCACATCCAAGAACGCCCGGCGGCAGGTTGGTCCCAAGCAGAAGTCTAGAGATTCAACGCCCACCTGTGCCCGCGACATTTGGTATAACTGGCGGCTTATCGGAGCGCAGGGGTTAGTGGTATAATTAATGATACTTTGGTGAAGAGTTGTCACAGTTTGCAAGAAAGAAGGTTGTTCAGGACTACTGATGATGGAACCCGGGATTTTCTGGACTAGGTCTGCAATTATCATCATCGGCATGGGAGTATTGGATTGATACCCAAGCACGGCACATTGCGAAAAGTTGCATTAGGAATTCTCATTAGAGGCTGGCTTTGGGGGAACACATTTCCCAGTGATAGGACAGGAGTCGCATTAATAGAATATAATCTTTTGGCCCGAGCAAATCTCAATGATGTGAAGGACATAATAGGGTAATTATGATTAGAAAAGGCATCGTGCTAAGTATGGTATTCTTCCTAGGCTTTTCTTGTTGGCTTGATGACTCGGGCTACTAACTTAAGGACATAGAATGTTATAGTGTTACAGGCTTCAATAATCACGTTGAACAGCTATGCCAACTTACCATGATTGCTCATTGTTCGGCGAAAGGAAAATTCATGTAATTGTTGTTCGTCCAATGCTGATATGATCCTTTTTCTTCGATGATCGGCTGGGTCAAGAAAGCAGTAAGTGACAAATCTTTCCATTGCCTTAAGTAGTATGTACCGGGCGCAGCACCAGTGGATGTGGGGAACATGATGTATAAACATTGCTTGTGCATTACGCTTTACCCACTTGGGCTAGAAGCTTATACCCACCTATGGTAAATCTTTCCCTAGCTCCGACTGGTTTATTCACCAATTACAATCTTGGAGCTTTTCCAGCCCGGCGTCGTCGGCGGAGCCCCGCGTGAAATATCAACGTTATTATCCGTCCGCATTACAACATTCTCATCGCGATAATTAATACACCTACATTTAAACCAATCTAGGAAACTTTTTTTTAAGTATCGTGAATTAAAGGTTTTAAAGTACTTGCAAAGTTAAGCATATGTACGGAAGATTATTTTTTTCATTATCTATTAAACCCCTAAGTTTTATAATATGGGTGGGTTTTCCGCGGCCGTATACGTATCGGGATAAAAACTTGATGTATTCTTTAAAACCGCCATGCCGAGTCGCATTCCCCGCCCACGCCGTACGATAGCATAAAGTTATCGCAGATTTTAAGTCATGAAAGTTGTGGAGCTTATAAAGCTTACAAATCTTCGGCGCTACAACTATCGCGCAATTCCATGCTACCCATGGCTTCTTACTAGCCAAATCCCACCTTGGACGGTTCTTGCCTTGAATTGTAAATCGGCCTACCAATCGTCGGACCCAACACGTGTTTCAGTCAATGCTATATTACAAATGAAACCAACCTAGAAGGTTCTGTTAACCCCTACTCACGCAAGTGGATATTTACCTATATAAAAGATGGCTTGTCAAGTTATCGACTTAAGAAGGTTGAGTGTCATCATCGGTACACTACAACACGCCAGTTTAACTCCCTATCCCCAACCTAAACTAAATCTTCGAAAATGGCCCAATCATCACGTCTCTTCCAGCCGTTAAAAATTGGAAATGCCACCCTTCAACATCGTGTAGTAATGGCGCCCTTAACTCGGTTCCGTGCCGACGCGAACCACGTACCCCTCCCTTTCGTGAAGGACTATTACCAGCAGCGAGGGTCCGTACCGGGAACTCTGCTGATTACGGAAGCGACTTTTATTACTAAAGAAGCTGGAGGATACCCCAATGTCCCCGGAATCTGGTCTAAGGAACAAATAACAGCGTGGAAAGATATCACCGATGCCGTACATGCCAAAGGCTCGTACATCTACGTGCAGCTGTGGGCGTTGGGTCGAGTAGCAAACCCGGCCGTTGCCGAGGCAGAAGGCTTTCAAGTCAAGGGCGCCAGCCCCATACCTCAGGCCGAGGACGCAACTGTCCCGGCTGAGCTGAGCTTGGACGAGATTAAGTCTTTCGTAGCCAATTATGCGCAAGCAGCGCGAAACGCAGTCGAGGCCGGCTTCGACGGAATCGAAATCCACGGAGCCAACGGGTACTTAGTCGACCAGTTTATCCAAGACACATCCAACCAGCGTCAAGACCACTACGGTGGTAGCATCGAAAACCGCGCTCGGTTCGCACTGGAAGTTACTAGTGCCATCGTGGAAGCTATCGGCGCGGACAAGGTCGGAATTCGCCTGTCACCTTGGTCCAAGTTCCAAGGCATGGGTATGGAAGATCCTATCCCCCAGTTTACCTACGTCGTCAACGGCTTGAAAAAGCTGAAGCTGGCGTATCTACACGTCGTCCAATCCTACGTGCAAGAAAGCGACGCGGATATCGAATCTAGCAAGCAGATCACCTTCATGCTGGATGCTTGGGAGAACACGTCCCCTGTCTTAGTCGCAGGTGGATTCCGGGCCGAGTCCGGAAAACGAGTCGTGGACAACATCTTCAAGGACAGAGAAGTCGCAGTGGTATTCGGTCGATATTTTATCTCGACACCAGATCTGCCTTTCCGGTTGCGGAAGGGCCTGCCCCTGACACCGTACGACCGCGACACGTTTTATAATCCCGGCGCGACCGCGGGTTATATAGATTATACTTTTAGCGAGGAGTTTATTAAGGCTGCAGCTTAGACGAAAGTTGAATCGTTGTTCAATTCATTATTAGGTAACGACGTTACCACGAGAGATTACGGAGGTTAGTATGCGTGATTGCTCGGGGTTATCAATAATTTTGGTTTGGATTATAACATGGAAATAATACCCCTTTCCCAGATGTGGATAGTGTATTGGAGGATATGTTTAACCTACTTAAATAACTATGCCTCGCCTATGGTTAAACGTAGCAACCAATATGGGAATTAAGTCGCAATATCGAGTCCACGTTTTGCTTGTGCCAATGTTAAGGCGCGTGCGTTCTTAATAGTATTAGGAATATTATCGTCGACGACTCCCTTACGAAACTTAAGAACGGCACCTACATTTATTAGCTAACTTTGACAATCTCATTCTTAACCTTAGCTTCGGACGTTTAAGCATTTGGAACATTACGTCACATTCCACGCAAACCGAGGCTGCTTACTCTGGTTGGGAATGATAATAAGCTAGGAGCCATGCTCACGGCGGTGGTTTCGAGTTTATTCTTCGGTTCCTGACCCACGCTTCTGGACCCGTTTCCCGAAGCATCGATGACGTGTACGGGTTCTACATGAATCGCGGGGATGGCTTCGTCTCTGCGGAACTTTTGACTTTTGTCGCAGTCGCGCTCGAAATAAATTCCAAACTCTGTGGCCCGGTTGCCACGTCGCCTTGGGCGTGAATTCGCTTGCTAATATTGGGGCTTTTCGCGCTTGGAATCTACGATGGCCGATGAGCTAGGAATTGACGGCTATTATAAACGGGAAGGCAAATAAACTAGATATACCATGCGCCGAATAATGGGCCGTCTTAACATGAGAAGTACAAGATGAGCGCACTTGGTTAGTGATGCGGCGGATCTAGAAGAGCTATTATCCCGAAACGCCACTTGCGCGGACCTTTGAGCTGTATCTACATAAGTATCAAATCGACCTTCGGAAACGGCGAGGAAAATAGCCCGACGACGGCTTCATATTCCCACGATCCAAGTACTTCAGTTAAATTACCTACCAACACTTGCGTAAGTGAGAACCGTCGGACGTTACCCGGCCAGCCTTAACACGTGCAAGGTTAAGTATCCACTGGATTGTCTCGCCCACTAGGTAGGGACGGTTGACAGACATGTTCCAGACGCGGTTGAGGGAATCGCGGAATCGTTCCTGGTCGGGGCCCTACCGCCGCATAACAGTACTTTAACGGGTCGTCCGGTCGAAGACTAGGTACAAGGCTCGGCCCGGGATCTCTGTCAATTTAGTCACAGCTTCCGAAGAATACAGGGGCTTACTAAACACAGGAGGGAGCTGGTGAAAATCGCCCAACAGGGCGCAGCTGAGGCCATCCATGGGCCGGCTATCGGAAGTCGGGAATATCTCATTGAGGCGACTACCGATCCACGCAAGGATTTTCAGGCTAATCATCGACTTTTCGTCGATGATCAAATACCGCACGCTGGCAAGGTTAGCCTGGGCCCGGCTAAGAGTGGAATCGGAGAGAGGATCCATCTCACCCTTGATTGGCAAGCGCAACGCCAAATGCAAGGTCCGACCATTTATCAGATAGACAGCAACGCCCGTAGGAGCGGCGCGTAAGACGGGATTGGGGAGACTGCGAGCGCTGGCGAGGCGCTGCAAATGGCGGGAAACTACGTTGAGCATGTACGACTTAGGTACCACTGCCCCCAGCACCATCGACGTTGCCTGGGAGCGCCGGGGGTTGGAGGCCCTCAAGGACCTGGCGATAGTGACCTATGAATATGTCATAAAACTGACGCTGTTCCAGATGAATCGTATCCTCGGCTCCTTGCGGGATATTGTCCTCAGCGTCGTCGGCGTCCGGAACCCCAGCCTTTAAAGCGGCCCAGTAACCATCATCTCTGCCAAGAGCAGCATACTTGCCCACGTGAGGGCCCCAGTCGAACTCTAGGTCTTCGGGCTGGTGGCCCAAAAGATCCCAGTTTGACTTCGTGCCGGTTTCTTCGGGCCGAAGATTCGCGAGCTCGTTCCAGGAGTTATCTATCTGCGAGGCGGGAATCACCTCGTCTTGAAACTCGTTGTAATCGGAAGGGACCTCGTCGACCTGGAAATAATCAAAATCATGGTTCTCTGCATGGTAGAGCTGGCTGACGATGTACGCTCCGACATAGGTAGCATAGCGAATACCTTCTACTACGAGGATATCCTCCACGGAAGCTCAGGAGGGGTGTTGAAGCAACATCTTCCCCCGACAAAAGTCCTCGAACTGCGGGCCGTGCGGCTTGTATTTTGGGCAATATATGAGAATCCGGGGCTTGGCTCGAGGGCGGGGCGTAGGGGGTTTGCCGTATCAGTTGTACAGCGTAAGCTACTGGAAGTAAGTGACCTGGCCGAGGCAGTCGTCTTCGTGCCGGGTTTCGTACTGATCCACAGCCGAATTGTCCTCCTGTACCTCGCCACCCTCCGCTACGAAGCGCCGGGGCTGGTCCTTCTCGGGCCGCGTATCGAGCCTCAAGACGACGCGGGAACCCTTCTGCAGCGGCGTGCCTAGGAGCTCGTACATAATCTCCTGACCCGACACGTCCCTCTCGCCGATACGCTTGTTCATGAACTTGGCCACGAACGACAGCAGCGCGAACCTATGGTGACCAGGAGGAGGATCTCTCGGGCTAACTCGTCGAAGGAACGGCTCTTCTTCCCGGCCTTGCTGCAATAATTCGCTATGTACGCTTTCATGGCGTACGTATTGGTGCGAAGGGAGAATTCGACGTTTGCCTTCAAGCCCAAGGTAACCGTCCGGTTATAAGGATGGACACGCGGGTCGTTCCGAACGGGGACGAAGTTGTAATACATCAGATTCAGGGACTTGTCGACGCGGGCGACGGCAACCGACTCCCGAGGGTAATAGAAACGGCAAGTGAGATCCCACAACTTAATGCCTTGCTCGGAGGTATGCGGCCGCTCCGAGCCGGCCACAGTCAATAGATTGTGCTCAAAACTACGCCCGGCAGCCAGGTTGACGCCCGATACGTGCTTCGCCCAGAACCGGGCGAAGGCGTCCCGGCTCTCCTCGGTGCTCATATCACACTAAACGGCTCCCTCGCACCTGATAAAGTCGTGGACGTGAGGGCTGCCCCGGTCCTGCCGCTCCAACCGGTACCAGCAGCCGATCACCTTAAACTTCGGGATCAAGGCTTGACCCAGGAACGCGGAGACACGGGCTTGGAGGCTATGTGAGAATATCGCTTAAGGTTAGCGCGAGCGATCTTCAACCTCCCGTCGTTATTGACCGCCAGCCACTCGTCATACCGCAGCATCAACCGCATCAGGCTCTCCCACTGGAGGTCCACGGGCGACAAGGTGAAGAAGACAGATGGGCAGCCGAGCGCTTCCACCTGGGCGTCCAAGCTGAAACGCTTATTGGCTCAATATGCCCTGGTCTCTGAGATATTAGTCAAGTGGCGGACAACGGAACCGAGGAAGTTCGAGCGACAGACGAGCGAGGCGTAGAATGCCGCCCCGATGTCGTTGGCACTGGCGAAGTCGCTGGTGGCCAGCCGGTTAACGAAGAAGGAGCTCTGGGTGTTGACCTGGCGCCGACGGAGCATGTTGAACGCCACGAAAGCGAACCGCGGATGAGAAGCGAATCGGTCGTCGTACCATCGGAGGGTGTGGAGGATGTAATCCTCGAGCTTGACATCACACTCTCGGGAAGCAACGAACTCCACCTCGCCAGGGGGGAAACAGCAACGGAAAAGCCAGCGAGAACAGCGGGTGCGACCGGTCGAACTCGTTGATCGGCGTCGATCGGATAGGCGTTAGATCCATCATTGCATGCTTTACGGTCATCGTTCCCCTGCCGACGTCTAGCTTCTGCCGCGGCAGTACAATGTCGGGAACATTGGAAGCATCGTATTGATTCATCAACTCATGCAGCTCATCGCCGGAGATCTCGTCGTCCAGGGTGCTTAACTGCGCCGGCAGCTTGCCGAGCACGTCACCGTTTTTAGAGAATTGGAAAAGCCGTTTTTCGCTGATTTAAATGCCGCGATGTCCCGGATATTTTAAATATAAAAATTCGAGTTATTATTAAACCACGCCGCGGCGAATTTTAAAGCCCCGTAATTTATTTTAACGAGTTTAAATTAATGGGCCCGTTTTTAATTATATTTTTTTAATTATAATAAAATTTAATTAATTAAATTATAAAAGTTTTTAAAAATATTAAAAACGCGTTTTTAATTTAAAAATAATATTAACCGCGTAATATAAAATAATTTATTTTTACCGCGTAATATTATTAAAATAATTAAAAATATTTTTATTTTTATTATTATATTTTAAAAAAATATATTTTAATAATTATATACGTATTTAAATTTTATTATATATATTTATTACGTTTTTTAATTAATATTTAATTTTATATAATAATTATATTTTTATTATTATATTTATTAAATAATATTTTATTTTATTTTATTACGTTTTTTATATTTTTATTATATTAAATTTTTTTTTTTAAAAATAAATTTTAAAATAATTTATTTTTATAAATAATAAAACTTTTATTCGAATTTTTTATAATAATATTTAAAAAAAATAATTATAAAAATAAAATTATTAAATATTTTATTATAAAATATATTAAAAATAAATTAAAATTTTTAAAAAATAAAATTATAATAAAATTATAATAAAATTATAACGTATTTAACGTAAAAACATTATATAATTATTAATTAAATTTAATAATAAAACGTTTTACGTTTATATTATTATTAATATATAATTAAAAAACGTAATAATTAATATATTAATAAATAATATTATTAAATTAATTAAAACGAATTTAAACCGCGATAATAATACGTTTAATAATAAATAAATTATTAAAATAAATAAATAAAAAATATATTAAAATAATTAAAATATAATTAAAATATTATTTTAATAAATAATAAAAATAATAAAAAAAATTTAAAAATTAAAAATAAACGAAATTATTAAATAAATTATTTAATAAATAAATATATAATTTAATAATAATAAATTATTAAATAAAAAAAAAGCGATATTTTATAATTAAAAAATATTAAAAAAAATATTTTTTTTAATAAAAATTAAAATAAATATTATATATTTTTTTCGAAATTAATTTTATTACGAATTATTAATATTTTATAATTATATAATATATAATTTTTTTTATTATTATTAATAAAGTTTAAATAATATATTAATAACGTGTATAAAATATATATTAATTAAATTAATTATATATAAAATTAAAATTATATTATATAAACGGTAAAAGTAAATTAAAATAATTTACTTTAAATCGCACGGGTTATAAAGTTTTAATTTATTAATTAAAATTATATATTATAATTTTAATATTAATAATTTTTTTTTTTTTTTTTTACGTTATTACGTAAATCCCCGAGTTATGTGTTAAAATTTTTTCTTAAAACGTGGTATGTTATATTACCCGTATTTTTTTTTCTTTTTTTTTTATTTATAATATTAATTTTAATTTATTTTAATTATTTAAATTAAAAAAAATTAAAAAAATTAAAATATTTCCGCGTTATTTTATAAATTTATTTTTTATATAATTAAACCCGTGTTAATATTATTATTATAATATTATTAATTAATATTTTAATATTATTTTTATTTTTATATACCACGAAATAATTAATAAATATTTTTACATTTTATTAATTATTTTATAATTAAATTATTTTAAATGTTTTAATAAAATATAAACGATACGTTTATATTCGTAAAAATTATATTTTTATACCGTCCCGTTATATTTATATTATAAAAATAACGGTTAATACGTTACTTTAATATTTTAATATTTATCCGGATACCGTTAAAAACGTATAACGGGATTTAAAAAAGTATTTATTATAAATAAAACTCGATAAAAAAATAAATAAAAATTATACGGTTCGTTAATATTATAAATTTACGAGAAAAAGAAACGAATGTTTTATAAACGCCGTTAAAAATATTTATATTAAGTTAAAAAAAGTTGCCGTTAAAATTTATTTTTTTTATAAAATTATTAAAAAAGTTTTCATTTTTTTTAAAATATATATTAATATACGTTCCATTAATATTTTTAATTAATTTTTTTTTAAAAAATAATTAAACGATATTATTAATTTTTAAATAAATTAATAATTAATTATTTTAATTTATTATTATTCATTAATAATTTTTAAAAATAATAATATAAAATTATTATAATTATGTTTTTTATTCGATATTTATATTAAATTTAAATTATTTTTATTTTTTTTTATTTAATTTTAAAATTTTATTATTAAATAATTAATTTTAATAAAAGTTTTTAATATTTTATTAACGTTTATTTTAATTATTACATTCGTAAAATTATTTTTACCGTGTATTTATTAAATATTAAAGATTTTTTAACATTTATACGATTAACGTAATAATATAATATTTATTATTAATTTTTTTTTTTTTATTATTTTAAGTTTTATTAAACATTTATAAAAAGAAAAAATCGGTGTATATAATAATTTAAATTACCGGAAAATTAAACTTTTTTAAAATGGAAATAATTATTATATTAATTATTATAATTATATTTATACCATGTATTATTATATAAATTTTATTTATTAAAATATTTTTTATAATTTATTTATATTTCGTTAAACTTTAATATATAAAATTTTTTTTATAATAAATAATTCGTTATTTATTATTTTATTTATAATAAAAATCTTATAATTAATTTAGGAATTTAAATTTTCATTATTCGTAAATAAAACGTTAATAAATATAAAAATTTTAATAATTTTTAAATTTAATTTAATAAATTATAATCCGCGTTTAAAATTATTTTATTATTATTTTAATCGTTTATTAAATTTTAAAATATTTATTTTATTAAGTTCGCGGTATTAAATCGTTTTAAATATATTAAATGTTATTTTTAATTAATAAATTAAAATTATATACACGCCGTAAACTTTTTATTAAATATATTATTATACGGTATTATCGGTATTAAATTTAATAAAATTAATTTTTTTATTTTATTTTTTTTATTATAAATATAAATTATTAATTTATTTTATAAATAATATATAACCGTTAAATATTAATAAGTTTTTTTTTAATAAATACATTTTTAATTTTATTAAATATTTCGCTTTATTTAATTTATTATTTTTTATTTATCCGAATATATTATTAAACATTTTAAACGTATTATTTATTTACATTTTAATAAATTTAAATTATTTCGTTAAATTTAATATAAATAAATAAAAGTTATATATTAACGTAATTATATTTAATTTATTTTTATAATATTTAAAATATATAATTTATTAATGTATATTAACTTTTAATATTTTATATAAAAGTTTAATAATAATTATTATTATATTTTTAAAATATTTATTAATAAATTCCGGTAATAATTTAATTAATATTTATTACTTAAATAATATATTAAATTATATATAAATTTATATAATATTATAAATTTATATTAATATATTTTTTTAAATTAAGTTTAACGTAAAAACGACGATAATTTATTAATTTAAACGTTAAATTATTAATAATTACGTTAAAATTATTTTTTTATTTTTATTATTATATTTTTATATAATAAGTTATAATTTTTTATATAATAATTTTATTATTTTATTTTTTATTTTTTATATAATTTAAGAATTAAATATACGAACGTTATTATATTTTATATTATTATATTTTTTAAATATAAATATTTTTTTTTAATGAAATTTTTAATTTTTTAAAAATTTAAAGTTTCGAATAATTATTTTAATGTTATAATTTTATTTTTTTTATAAAATTTAATTATAAATATAATATCCGTTATTTTTTTTTATATAAAATTAATATTATTACCCGTTATTTTTTTTAATTTATTTTTATTTTTAAAAAATTATTTTTATTTTTTTTTAATTATAAATTATTTAATTTCGGGTATATATTTATCCGGTTTTTTTTAATTTAATATCGGATTTATTATTATCCGAAATATTTATTATTTTATTACGTAAATATAATTTAATAATAATTATATAAAATTTAACCGGTTTTTTATTAATTTTAATAATATATATTTTATTATTTCGTATAATAAATTTATAAAGTCCCGTTTAGTTTTTATTTTTTTAATAAATTTATATTTTAAATTATAAAAAAAAATTTAAAATATTAAATATATTTAAACCGTTTTTTATATTAAATATATTCGTTATTTATCGTTTTATTTTAAATTTATAAAATTTATTTATTATTTTTTTAATCGTAACCGTATAAATTATTAAAAAAAATATTAACGGAAAATTTTTTATTAATTATAAATATATTTTAAATATAAATAAAATAAAAATTAAATTATTAAATTTTATAATATTATTAATAATTTTAATAATTATTTATAAAATATAATTTAAATTTATTTAAATTCCTTAAAAATTTTTAAATATTATTTTATACGTATATTTAAATAATTTATAATATTATTTTAATTATTTAAGAACAATGTTAGCCGCGCAGTATGATGTTGCTTATCTCC